CGTTGGTGGCAGGCGAAGGTGTGAAGGCGGATGAGAATGTCAGGAAACGAGACTCGGAGGAGGAGAGGCAGCGACAAGGTGCATGCACGGTCACAAGACAAGAGCAGAACTCCGAGACGCGACGCCGCGGCGCGTGTTGGATTCCAGCCACAATGGTGACTCTCTTCCGTCCCTTCAAAACTCTGCATGCTTGCTAGTCCTTCATCGCCTCCTCTCCTCTCCTAGACGGCTCTTGTCTAATGCAATCTATCTCTCTACCGGCCCTGTGTTCGCCAACTTCGTGGACCGTACCATGTCATATGCTCCAACCGCCCGCCTCGCGGGTGCGGCCTTCTGGTGCCTGACTGCAACTCATTCGCGACTTTATACTGCACTCCGGACGCCTTGCTACCTCTCTGGTTTGCGTGCGACTGAGACACCATCAAGTTTGTGTACTAAGTCGGGCCTTGACAGATCCTCAAAAGACGGTCGCCGGCAGTGAGCGCGACGGTTTCTGTCAGATAAGCTGCGGGATGAAAGGCGAATCGAGCGGATTGTAACGTCGGTGAGTGGCTGTACCTGCCGTACATACCTGTTCTACACGCGTCGGGCACAGAGTCAATGCGAGATCAGTATCTACTACGTACCATGCGCGTGGCGTCGGTCAGAACGCAGACGTCGTCTCCGCTTGCGCGATGTAGGGTCCGAGCAAAAGTGACTGTCCGGCCACCCGGAGCGGCCTTGGCCTTGCCCACCGCATTCGTCAGCCAGGGATAGTGCCGGCGGAGGCAAGTATCATAATGGGACCGCGCACAGACCTGGCTAGGCTCGGCGTGTGCGGCTGCACCTTTGTTCACCCTCAGGGTCCTACCGCCGTGTTCATTGTCGCTCACGCTTGATGAATGCTCACCAACCTCTCTCAGATCTCATCCCCCGGGACTCCCCACAAAGCGGGAGTCGATGATGCGTTGCCGGCGCCGACTCGGCGGGCCTGCGAGCTCAACAGATCCTGTCACTGAACAGGTTGTAATCGAACACCATGATCCGCGCTCGAATCGGGACCAAGGGCGTTGTCGCGGGTGAGTCTCTGTTCGTATATATGCCGTACATAAGGGCGGAAAGAGAAGGTCCGTTCCAGATGCGTGGTCATGATCCACTCATGATGCGGGTGCCGCGGCTCAGGCTGCTTCCCTGGCGAAGCCCCCTGCTGTCATTGAAGAACATTTGGACGTCCGAGACACCCCCGACCAATGATGCGTGTGCGTAATCCTGTCACAATCTACGCATACCATCATCTACCCTCTCCGCCGGAAAGAGTGCTCTCAAAGAGACTCAAACGGTGCTTATGTTACGATCCAAGTGGCTGATGGGCAGGGCCACCATCTGCTGCGTCGTACACGCATCGATATTGGGCAACGACCCGCGCTGGCATAGGTACTTTCACCCGGCCAATGACCTGCTGCAGATCCTGGGGGTCACCGTCCCTTGTGGCTGTCGTTTGCGAATTGTGTTTCGCGCGATCGTGTACGGTGCCTTCCCCGCTTGCGATCACATCGGCTATCTGCGAGTCGGACAATGGTAGAAGAGGGGAAGGCGCATGCATGACAGCTCGGTGGCCCAGTCTTCGGCTGCACGAGCCAGAGGACAACGCTCGATTGGGGTACCACCACGGGTATAGTACATACAGCGCAGCTCACGGCGCACGACATATGCGAACACATGCTGCGTGCTCTAGAACTGCCCACGACCTCCACGCTTGGCACATGGGTTGTGTTTGTCGTAGCGGGACTCGGAATGACAGGCCAGAGTAGACCCTCAAACGCTTGTGGCGTGCGTGCGATGAACGGCGGGTGTATATCGCATGTTCGGTCGACGTCGTGATGCGTACTTACCGTCATCGACGGGTCTACATCACAGTGTCGATCGGCGTATCAGACAGGGTGTTCGTATTGTGATCTCGAGCACGGCAGCTGCCCGACAGCGGACCGTGTGCTACTTTGCTTGACTATCATCATATCACAACTGCCTTTTGAATTGGCATTGCCCTTGTAAAAGCGCGGAGACGAGTGATCGAGGATAGCGTAGTGGCGCTTTCCTATTTACCTTTGACCCGAATTTGGTCTCTCGTCGGGCGAATCAGCTACTGTCAATTTTCACAGTGAACGTCCGCAATCGAAACGGCAATTCGTATGCTCCGCGCATGGGTCCTCTGCTCACGCCCTGTGCGCGTTCTTGGTGTGACTCAATTCAATATGTTCTCTGCTTCTGTTCCTCGCTTCTTCATGTCACTCCCTGCTTGCTGTCGACCCAGAGATCAGATGTATCCTCTGGGTCGATCAGATGTATAACGGCGAGAGGCTGTTGACCTGTCACCCCGCTTCCGGCATTTGAAAGGGAACTGTGTAGCTTAAGGATGACCCGGCGCCGGCATGGTGGTCCAGTAGTATTCGCCGTCCGCCGAAATACCTTGAACGCACCCCAGAATTTCCAGCTCGTACCCTAGACAGCGTGCGGATCATATCTTGTGATCGGTCTGCTGCCTGCAGATGTCTTGAGGGTGCTGTGATGTGTGCTCGACGACACAGCGGGGCGCAGAAAGGGGTTTCCGCCGAGCATAGAATCATCACTGCATCGTTGCGTAGAACACTCGGGTCCGGGCTGTGTTCGTGCAGCGAACAGCCAGTGGGAGTGATGGGTCTAGAAATGCCCTTTGCACTACTCAATCAGGGACGACAGGCGCACTATACCGAGCCGCACGTCTGCGACATGGGTTTGCGTACAGGAGCGTCTCGATGGCAAGGCTCATACATACGCGGTACAGGCCTGAACATGCTTCGAGGGCGACAGGATTAGCTACACGCTGTCCAGCTATTCTTCCGCCGTGTCGGCGAAGGACGGCACTCTCCACGAAGCATTGCGCGACAGCGACGTATCTCGAGTCCAATTATGCCGCTGACTCTCCTAGCTGTTCCACGTTTTCAAGTGAGTAGCGTGCGGCCACCGAAAACATGAGGGACGCACGGGCTTGAAGAGTCTCGCCCGTGCGTAGCAGTCGTGAGACGCGCGAAACCGTAGTCGTCTGGGACTGAGTCACTGAGGCCACCAAGTAATGATGAGTGAAGCCGGCCGGTTGGCCATGTTTCGTGCCAGTCGATCATCGCGAGAGGTGAGTGTTTCATTGGATAGCATGTGTACACTGCTCAGCAGGCTTGCGTCCGCCGTCCGCAATAAGTGGTGACCGATGACCCGCTACGTGCACGCAGTCGCATGGCGATTTATGCGCAGTGGCCACGGTTGCGCTTCGTACTGTGCGTCACCATGTTTCGCTCTGTGCATTACCTGGCCACGTCTGACTCCATCGGCCACACAGTCCGCACTCACGGCTCGCGGATATTCATGAAGCATGCGCGAATGCGAACACAAAAGGTGTTCGGAGAGACTGCCATCAGTCTGTCGACAGCCAGTTGTGGACGCTTGCGGCCCTTTCCCCCCTTTCTGTTTGTAATAGCTGATCAGCGCTGTGGCGGGGCCAGGGCGATACATAAACAATCATGCAAACGTACAAGTAACCTGAGCAATACAGGCGCGAAGGTCTTAGACTGGATGTGCGTGATCTCGCTTGCAAGTACTACCTGCTCGACGACCGCACCGCGCAAACGGTCCTACTCGCGCGGGCCTCCCTAAGATATCTGCTGATGCCCGGTTGTCTAATGGGTTGCTCAGACGTGATAGGTCATAGCTCGAAGTCGTCTACTGCATCGATGCGATGTCCCGACGCCTCGGCGAGAGACTCCACACGCCGCATCATTGGGGTTTCATAAACGGTACCGCCAGGAGCATCACTCTCGACTAGCCCACTTCTGCGCTGTAGTACCTCTTATGCAGCCGATGTCTGCTCAGTTACTGTGCCAATCGATCACTTGGGTACGACGTGCAGGAGGTGCGACATATTGGCAACGGCCTGGCAAAGTGTCGTGCTCTCAGACCACCGTCACTCCTACGGTATGCTGCACCTTTATGGCGGCCTTCGGAAATTCAGCCCGGTGAGTCCTACTTATGCGCTCTGGGTCCTCAGCCGGTATCATAGGAGACTCCGAACCGCGCCTGCGTCACAGCGGCGATGTGATCATGACCACTATGTCCGACGGCGCGATCATCGAGAGGATGAGGTCGCCTGAGGCTGACTCGGAGTCTGTGGTGCCTGCGTCTAGCTCTGCAGGTATGGAGACGACGATTGCTGGTCACAGGGTGCTGATACTGGTGAGCCAGCTGGTATCAGGGGTTGATAGAAGGCACGGCATTCGGAAGTGCGAAACGTATCATACGCGCCGCCGTCGGCCTCGTTGAGCAGGTGAGTATTCCCGCCTTCTGCGTCGTGTACAACTCCTGAGCCGGGATCCGTGTCCAGGTGCGTTCTCCGTGCATCGGCAGCCGGCTCCCAGGACCCTCTGAGGCAGGAATGTTCGCCGTGTACACTTACACAGACCGGACAAGCTCAGTACTGGTAGCTCGACGCGAAGCGTACGTGGTGTAGCCAGGAGGCTAGTTATCGAGTACTTAGCGGTAGCAGCAGCAGCGTCAGTTGGAGGTGCGCCATTACTTCGAGACGGACGAGAATGCTGCGCATTCCCATGCGACCCACGGGTGGGCGTGGCCATAGACATTGCGGTTCCGCCCTGTGTCTGCTCGCTGGCGACGAAACTCGTAGATCACAACCACAGCACCATGTTCGTAATGAAACGCTCAGTATATCTATTCGCACAACACTACGTATGTACATGTTTCCGTACCTACGCGGAGCAGTGCTCGAGACAGCGACGCGCACGCCGCGCCGGTCGTCTCCCGCAGCACCAACCGTCTACGTAGCGAGGACCGACGCACACGCGTGTTTGCGGTCCGCAAGTATCGACACCACCATCCTACGCCGCGTCCTCGCCCTCGTCGCCATCCCAGAAGCTGCGCGCGAGCCGTGACAGGTCGTGCGTTTCAACTGTCGCGGCGCGTTCGGGCTCACTATTCCCTTATCCACCCTCGTCCGGGATCCTCAGCTCGCCGCTCGCCGCACCCATCCTGAACCGTTCCTCGCAGCCCCGTCCCCCATTCCACTGCACGCGAGAGTGTTAGCACCAGAGAATGTTATGATCGCACTCACCTCGTCGCGCATGCTCAACGCCGCCTGGGGCACACAGACGTAAGCGTCCTTGAGAGTCGCGTATGCCGGGTGCGGGCGACGGTGCGGGCGAGGCGCTGCAGGCAGCGTGCAGTCGGCCGAGAGACGCGAGTCGAAGCGCGGTAGGCTGGGAACGATGGAGACGCGCCACTGCCCGCCTGCACGAACGACGCGCAGGCGAGCATCGAGCTCGCGACGACTCGGAGCATCTCGTGGAATGGAAGGGCGCCGTCTGTGTCCGCACCGTCTCGGACGACGCTGCAGCCTGTCCTATGGTGTTGCGTCTCCCGGGCGGCGCGGCGTCGTGTCGAAAAGCACTGTACACGCATCGGTCGACCATCGCGCACCGTGCAGAGCAGCGGCGTTCGTCCGACGCGTCCGTGCATTTGCGTTTGCGTCTGTGGCGCCGAGGTTCTGCGCCATCCATGCGCTGCGCTCGCTTCCGCGGACATCGCGCACGGTACGACGAGCAGCACTCGGAAGGGCGACGGGGACTTGGCCGGCGGTGTCAGCGCGCTGACGAACGCCCTGAGCGAGCAGCGTATAAAGGCGAGGGCTGTGGAGGCAACCCGGCATCGGTGAGTTGTGCATTCGAGTGACTGGTAGATGGCTGAGCACTGACACCGAGCTCGAGGCTGCGTGGCATGCCAGCATGTGCGCGGGCCTTCAAGGATGTGTGTCGAGCGTCGCCCGTTGCTGCAGCACGACGACGGGAGTTAGGTGAGTGTCTTCGATTCCGGCTGCACACTGGTCCACGCTGACGATGCGCGACCAGCTGCAGACATTTCTGGGCCGCTAACGTATGCACGTCAATGCACAGCTCGTCGCTACGACAGCGTGCGGCGCGGGCGTGCGGAGACTTGCACTGGCGACGGCGGTAGATGAAGCTGATGGATGGGTGGGGAGTGTCGGAGGGCGTGCTCGTAGGTAGTGTAGGGCAGATGACCGTCTCCCGCATCGTCCAGTGTGTGATGCAAGTGGTGTTCGTGAGGGCCGTCGTGGTGCGTGGATCCGTGCGCGGGTGGACAGCCGCGATGGAGCGCATCGCCGGGTGTGTAGGCAGCGCAACACCAACACGGACGGCCGCATGCGCACGAGACGAGCAGAGGAGCGTTGCTCGTGGGTGTTGGGCGTCCGTCAGCAGAGTCGCTGCGGAGACGCCGCCTCGAAAGTGTTCGTCTGCGCGCGGAACGAGGACGGGTCTGGGTCGCGCTCTGTGCAGAGAAGACGAGGGCGTCGTATTGCGCCTACGGGCATGTAGGCTTTGTGAAAGTAGTAATGGCGAATCGAGGTTGCTGCGAAGGTTGTCGGGCGCTTCCGACCAGTAATCGCGCGAGTGCTTTGTAGCGAGCGGTGCGATGCGAGGAACCGTTGGCGATGAGCTAAGGCGACATCTCACGATGCTCGGGCGATGCTTGCGAGTGTGCTGAGGCTGCGAGTAAGGCACTGGACGTCAGGGACGCCAGACGCAAGTCAGTCACCGGGATGCGAATGGCCGGGCGGGAGCCGATGCAGCCATGAAGCGCGTTGGGGAGCGTTGCTCGTGGCCGTCTGGAGGAGCCGCGAGGAGGGGATGTGTGGCGAGCAGAGAGTGCAAGAGTGCGCTGCGGGTGTGCCGCACGGAATGGTGCGTAGCGGGCCGTCCCGCGCACGATACTGCGCGGGGCAACTTGCAGGCGCATGATAGAATGCTTGCGCGTCGCCTATCAGTGCGGGCGTGCCGCGTAGGCGAGAGACGGCGAAAGCAAGTCGGGGGCGGGAGCTGGGGAGATGGGTTTCGTCGATACATGCGGGCAATGGAAGAAAAAGACGAAACCGGACCTCTGCGCGCATGCGGGCACGAAACATGGCATGGGGGGTGTCTACGGACTCGCCTCAGTGACGTGGATCAGGCTGTTGCAGCGGAAGACGGAGGAGCAGCGCGCGTAGAGGACGGGGCGAGCAGAGTTGTCGGGAGGTGCTGCCAGAGGGTGCGCCGGTGCAGTCGCCGTACTGAGGGGCGAGACACATCAGAGACCGAGTGAGGCTGTCGCGCCGCCGACGACGGAGCCCGATCGGGAGACGCGGCGTCGGTATGCGCGGGGGCCTCGTCGTCGACTTCAACGAGTGCGCAGTCAGCGAGCGCATGTGCGTCGGGCCGCGGGCCGGGGACAGCAGTTGAGCCGAGGGCGGATCGTGCGCCGATCTGGAAGGCCGTCGGTGCCCCTTTTCATGAACAGGATGGGCCACCGCCTGCCCCTGCCAGCAGCCCAGCCACCCTCCTCTTCGCGAGGCCCACCATGTCCAAGGCAGCCGCCCTCCGGCGCGCCCTCTTCTCTCGCAGGTCCCTCGCCGTCGTCTCCGGCGGCACCCTCGTCGCAGCCGGCGGGGGCTACTGGTACCTCAACTCTGGTCCCACCTACCCGCCCTCCACGAAGGAGACACGACGTCCCCCGCCCCCATGGACGCCCCCCTCCAGGCAACACATGCTCGACGCCCTCCAGGCGTCCGACGTCAAGCAGGGGGACGACTACCCCGAGGAGTTTGACCTCCTCATCGTCGGAGGCGGTGCGACAGGAGCCGGTGTCGCAGTCGATGCTGCCAGCAGAGGTCTGAAGGTCGCACTCGTAGAGAGAGACGACTTTAGCTCTGGTGAGTCCCAGCCTCATATACGCTTCGTTTTTGTTCGCTTCTGGACGCCTGGAAGGGCGAGTCTCCTCCCACACTTCGCCCCGGGCCCCTGACCAAGGACAGTTCAGGATGCGTAGCCGCATTGTCCACTTCTCAGGCCGCTCTTCCTCGCTTCTTTCCGCTGCTCTGCTTTCCCGGGCCATTTTGCGCACACTGCGTCATGGTCGGAAGTTGATCCGAACTTTCTCCCTGACGTGCTCGATCGCGTCGTTGTCGGCTACAGGCGCGATAATATCCAGTGATGTCCTCGTACTGTGATAGGACCTCTATCAATTGGGGGAGAGGCCTCATTAGTCCTGACAAAATCCGACCGTTTGAGGCGAGGGGGGTGGGGGTATGCCTGATGCATCCGGACAAAGTCGACGATCGTGCGGACGGAGGCCTGTGTCAGTGTCCGGACATGGTTCCTCCAACCCTGCATGGCCTGATCCTGTCTGAACGCCTCAGCCGTCCATGTAGCGTCGCGACACAGCCTGCAGCTGACCCACACGTCCGTTGCATGCGTGAGGTCTGCGTCATGGCTTCCCTGACGTTGAATGCCGAGCAGCCGTAGCACGCTGTGCACGACGAGGACGACTGCTGGCATGATCATTGACCAATAGTCACCCCGTCCGCGCGCCGTTGGTGCACACTTGCTCAACACCTATCATGGGTTGCCTTGGGTTGCATGACTGGCAAGGCCTGATCCTGTAATCCGGACATCAATCCACTCGTACCGAGGCCTGATGCACAGTCCCGACAGTAACGGACAAGACTCCCTGAGGCCTGACTTGATTCGGACAAAGTTTAGACGTCTCCGTCTCCGTCCTGACAAAAACGCCAAATCTCTGGCGCAATACCAGGCATCCCCACCATAAATGGGGGTTCTACATACTCGCAGTCCGACTTCTGTCCAGTCTAGCCGTGCTAATCTCCACTTCCGCGTACAGGAACATCCTCAAAATCGACGAAGCTCGTACATGGCGGTGTTCGCTACCTCCAAAAGGCTGTGATGGAGCTCGACTACGAGCAATACAAGCTCGTCCGTGAGGCGCTCCACGAGCGTCGCATCTTCCTTCAGACTGCGCCCTACTTGTCGGCCATGCTGCCGATCATGTTGCCGATCTACAAGTAAGTCAAAGAGATGTCCTCAGTTGCCGGGAGGCTCACGAGTAGCAGGTATTGGCAGGTCCCGTATTATTGGGTAGGTTGCAAGATGTACGATGTCCTCGCCGGCAAGGAGAATATGGAGTCCTCCTATCTAATGAGCAAGGGCAAGGCACTTGAGACTTTCCCTATGCTCAAGCAGGACGGACTTGTCGGCGCACTGGTTTACTACGACGGTATGTCTTCTCAACGATACTTCGCTCATCACCTTATATGTGGTCGTTCAGGACAACACAACGACTCGCGGATGAACATTGCCCTCATCATGACGGCGGTGCAGCAGGGCGCGACCGTCGCAAACCACGTCGAGGTCACATCCCTGGACAAGGACACTTCCTCCGGCAAGCTTCACGGCGCACGCGTCAAGGACAGGCTCACGGGTCAGGAATGGAACGTCCGTGCCAAGGGTATCATAAACGCCACTGGACCCTTCGCCGACGCGCTGCTCACGATGGACAACCCCTCGCACAAGCCGATCGTGCAAGCGTCCTCCGGCATCCACATCACGCTCCCGAACTACTACTCCCCGCGGACGATGGGCCTGCTCGACCCCGCGACGAGTGACGGGCGGGTGATCTTCTTCCTGCCGTGGCAAGGAAACACGATTGCGGGCACGACGGACACGCCGGCGCGTGTGGAGACGGACCCCCGCGCAGCCGAGGAGGAGATCCGGTGGGTGCTCGAGGAGGTGCGGCGGTACCTGTCGCCCGACATCAAGGTCCGCCGCGGCGACGTGCTGAGCGCGTGGAGCGGCCTCCGCCCGCTGGTGCGCAACCCGAACGCGGCGAGCACGGAGGGCCTGGTCCGCAACCACATGATCCATGTGAGCGACAGCGGCTTGTTGACGATCGCTGGAGGCAAGTGGACGACGTACCGCGCGATGGCGGAGGAGACGGTCGACCACGCGGTTGAGGTCTTCAAGCTCAAGCCGAAGAATGGATGCGTCACGGAGAGCCTCAGGCTTGTCGGTAGCGATGGCTGGAGCAGGAACATGTTCATCGGTCTTATTCAACGGGTGAGGATTTTCCACTCGACGCGTATGTGCAGCTGTCTGACCATCTGCTTCAGTATGGTCTTTCTACGGACGTGGCTAAGCACCTAGCGGACAATTATGGTGATCGCGCATGGACGGTGTGCTCTTATGCTGCACCCACTGGCGACTCCTGGCCTCTGCACGGTGTCCTTCTGGCCCCAAGCTACCCCTGTGCGTCCCACTCTCGTCCGTGTACTGATGCAAGGCACTGACCGCACTGCCACTAGTCATCGAAGCCGAGGTGCGCTACGCCGTGCACCACGAATACGCACAAACCGCCATCGACGTCATTGCGCGCCGCTGCCGCCTCTCCTTCCTCAACGCACAGGCCGCACTCGACGCGCTCCCGCGCGTGCTCGACATCATGGCCGAGGAGTGCAAGTGGTCCAGCTCGCGCAAGGCTGCGGAGCTCAAGCGCGCAACGCACTTCCTCGCGAGCATGGGCCTGCCGCCGGGCGCCGAGCCGCTGCGGCGCGGGTCGCACGGCCTGCTCGAGAAGGTCGAGGGCGCGCTCGGTATCGTGGGCACGCGCAAGCGCCGCGCTGGCCCCGAGATGGTGTACAGTCGTGCGCAGTTCGAGGCGGGTGAGGTCGAGCAGCTGCGTGCCGCGTTCGTGGGCGCTGCGAAGGGTACGGAGGAGAAGCTCGCGCATGAGCACGTGCTGGACCTTGTGAAGGCGCTGCCCGGGTACGAGGCGGTGAACAAGAAGGACTACGAGTACGTCCTCGAGGAGGCGGGCTTCTCGAAGGCGCAGCATGTCGATTTTGATGGGTTCATCGAGGTGAGGCGATTGTTTGCACTTGGTGGTTGTGGATATGTGCCTGACGTGCTCTTTCCTTTCAGATCTGCGCGGAACTTCGCGAAGTGCTGTTCTCTACGGTTCCCAGTAGGCCGGCCGGTGAGACGGAGAGGACGAGGATCCCGGTCGAGAAGAGTGGTGGCGGTGTCTAAAATCCAGAGCTTCGTTCCCCTCCTGGCACATCTCTGACTCATGTGGGACCTAGACTGCAGTAGCGGATATCACAGGTGTTGATACTGTCACTTGGGCCACGATCGCGACTGGCACACCCTAGTACTTATTTATCTCTGATTCCTTCGAGTATCTGCCATGCCACACACATTTGCATACGTTCAGGACATCTCACGTTCAGGACAGCACAAACCACGACATTGGCCAGGACCACACAAAACAACATAGGATGTCATTCGACACCAGTAGACGACGCTGGCTCACGTAGAGGTGAAAGTAGTACAATATTACATGACTAGAAGTCCACGTGGACGGCCAGAACATAGGGATAGAAATCATGACATATCAAGGTGGAGCCAGGCGGTGCTCAACTAGGACCAACTTAAGACCGCTCACCGCGGAGACGGCGGGCAAGGGCGAGGTCCTTGGGTTGACTGTACACAGGGGTTAGCGCTCACGTAGGGCAAGTCGTGCAACAATACAACTTACATTGTGACACGCTTGGCGTGAATGGCAGCCAAATTGGTGTCCTCGAACAGGGACACGAGGTATGCCTCGGCGGCCTCCTGGAGAGCCATGACAGCGGATGACTGGAAGCGCAAGTCCGTCTGGATAGAGCACGTCATTAGTTACCCAGTATAGGCAGCCACTGACTAACGCACCTTGAAGTCCTGCGCAATCTCACGGACCAACCGCTGGAAGGGGAGCTTCCTGATGAGCAGCTCGGTCGACTTCTGGTAGCGACGAATCTCTCGGAGAGCGACCGTTCCTGGGCGGAAACGATGAGGCTTCTTGACACCACCGGCAGCGGCGGTCTGAGGGCCCACAGCGTAAGCAACGAGCGCGAGATTAGCTGACAAAGGAGATACTCACCGGCGCAGTCTTGCGCGCGGCCTTCGAAGCGAGCTGCTTACGAGGAGCCTTGCCACCAGTGGACTTGCGGGCGGTCTGCTTGGTACGGGCCATGACTGATGGAGGACGAGAGTGGACGGAGCGGAGGCAGGTGTGCGGGTGCGGGAGGGGGCCTTGTGATGGCGGGAAGAGAAGGCGTTGATTGCATTCAACAAGTCGCGTCGTGCCTTTATATATGCGCGACGCGTGACGCGTGACTAACGCGTCTGTGGCTGTGCCACTTTTGGCTTGCTGTGGCTGAGTGCGGCCGCGTTGCTTGTTACCACCTGCCACGACAACAACAACAACCGTGGTCGCTCCCGTGTGTCCTTCAGCGAGCCATTATCAACCCTCTTCGCAATGTACACGATGCTGCTCATCTCCGACATCTCGAATCATCTGGGTGGGTACCCAGTGTCGGTTTTGACCGCGGCTCCGTCATGTCCAGAATGTCTGCATACGCGCAAGTCAGCCTCGGGCGAGTCATCAACGTTCAACGGCATCCGCTAGCTTGTCCTCGGAAAATTTCTTGTAGTCTCCAGCTCTGACGACCATCTCAACCACGCTTCTCAACTCACTTGCTGTATAATTTGAGTTCTATTCGGACTGTTCATCCAGGCGCCATGAAGGTTTTGCTCCAGTACTCTACTCGCGCAGAACTCGACCCCGTACAAATTCAGCGAGACTGTATGCTCATTGGCAGCGAGTTCAGGATGTGTCCTGTCGATATCGCGACCTTCGGTGAGTCCCTTACCCGGAGTTTCCGTGCTATATGGTTTATTGACACAGCCGTCGCTGCTATGTTCTACAGCTGCTGTCGGGTTTCTGATATTTCTCATTCTCCGGGGAATTCCGATGACTGTGGCCTTCGTCAAATGGTGCAAGTCCAAACGGTCCAAACAAACCCCTCGACGGCTCTCGCTATATGCATCGGACGTTGAAAACAGTCCTAAAGTCGAAGAACCAGATAGCCCAGCTGAAGGTACGCTGCCAATTTTAGACTTCTGCCTTGTGCCTGATGCGTCAAACAGACGCGAAGTACGATCGTGATCCGTACCTTTCGCCCACAGAACGGCTCTTCACTTTTCTCCGCTCAGACAGTGCTCTTCCACATCCTATGCCTGCGGTTTCTCCACGACACCGATGCAGCATAGCATTAGCTCCAACCGAAGAGGCTGTCACAGGGTCACCTTCTGACCCGATGTTCAACGTTGGTCAGGTGGCTGACGGCTTCGTGAAGCCCCAATCTACCTCATTCCAAGCAGCCATAGCGGGAGAGGCTGTACTCAGGTCTCCTCCACCGGTATACTCAAGCCCTAACAGCGGAGGGAGGGCCTTGTTGCAGCAGTGAATGCTCGTCCGTCCGTTGGTCTTATTTGTAAGCATCGTCCCACTAAGTGAGCCCTTGCCGCTCAAGTCTAACCGTCTTCTACGGGTTCAGTGTATTCTCGTCGATTGGCAATTGTGCTTGATGTCTATTCGCTTTAACTTCTCGACCAAATGGCTTTTATGATCACCATTAGACAACCTCGCGCCTTGAGCGATGCAACAAACCGAATCATGTGGCAAGCTGAGTGACTTCAAGATCGAACAGTAGATCAGCGTGCTTCCAACTGGGGATTCGGGTTGACCGTGAGTATCGGTGTACCATCCACTTCGCGTATGTGAGTCATGTGGTAAGTGAGGCATCAGCTTCGATGTTGAGCATCGCTCACGAAGTGCCACACAGATAGAGCGGGCGGCTGTGAGCGAGGTGGAGGGTTAGCCTTGAGGTACGAATTCCGCGTCATCTCGGTAAGTACGTCCCGGAGTTGCGTAACAGTACATGCTGGAATCTCATGACGCACAGGTGTGTGGAGTGAAAAGGGGATGAAGATGTACAGTCTATCGACCTTCGCGCCGATTGCACCGCGTACCTTGTCTAATCCGAACGACCTACGCATCTACTCGCCTTGGCGCGTACCCGCGTCCGTCAGACAGACTACCGATTTCCTGGTCCATATCCGCTGACGGAAGAGGCGGACGGGTGCCCCGAACAGAATCGGGACAGGGTGTGATCGCGAAGAACGCTGCACGTGCCGAAACACGCTGCAAACGCGTGTTGCGACTTGATATGGACCCTCAGCCACCGTATGACCCATCGATACGTTCTCCCCAGTTCTCATCCAGCAGCGTTTCGGAGCGGTTCTTCGGTGGGTATCATGTATATGAAGGACGAGGCGAGCGGTAAGTCCATTCATTTCATCCACGCACCTTCCTCGTTCTAAACATGACTGCATCATATCATTCGTTCACCCCTCTCGTCCCATGCAAAGACGCAGAGTTCAGTCTTCACCAGGGCCGCAACTATGGCGGGCTGCAGCGCTCCGCACGGCGACCGACCCGCCCGCCAACGAGCATCGCGCTCGACGACAACTTTGACGCACTCACAACGGAGGTGCCGACGGAATGGAATGTTCCCTATCACGAAGTCGAATACGAGGAGTCTATCAGTGGCTACCAGAACTACGTCAACGAGATCGAGCGCAAGATGAGCAGCGAGGACGAGCTGCACCGCCAGGAGATATCCGAGAGGAACCCGGCGCCCCTGTTGCCCAGCGCTCGTACCAACGGCTATGGCTATCGAAACGAAAGCGAGGCGGGGTCGAAGGCGGGTGGCCGAGGTGGAAGAAAGAGTTTGGGTGGCGCAGAGATGCCACATAACGCAAGACGGGTGAGCGGGCGCAAGGGTAAGATCGAGGTGTTTGAGGAGAAAGTTATGCACGACGGGCCTGAGCGTACTATCTCCCTCTGGCGCGAGCGTGTTGCGGATAGCAGTCGCGGGGGCAGTCGGGTAGATGATGAAGGTCGTAGCGTTGCCACTAATCACGTCCACCGTCGGATGCCTTCATCCCAATCACTCCGACGTGTCGTGAGCGACGGGCCGAAGGGGAACGGGAGCGCTCAGGGCGCTCATGGGGGGGAAGCACAGATACAGAAGACAGCGAAAGCAACGTATGAGCGCAGCGAGGTGGGCTTTCCACGGTGGACACGTTCTCATTTGTTGACAGTTGCAACAGTACATGGTGACCTATCGCCCGAATCCACTGGACGGCTTCCTGATGCCGGTGCTCTCTCGATCAGAGAGCATTTCCACTATTCCGTTCGCGACCATGGAGTCACGGCCGTTCAGCCCTGAAGTGATGCCTAAGAGCCCTACGTCACCCACCTCGCCGACCAGGAAACGGGCACATGGAAGAACATCCCTGGATCGAAGCGAAGTATGTACACAACGATTTGCAGGGCCGCTGTAGCTTATCTTCATCGTCGTAGTTTGTCATGACGTACCCGCAGACACCGCCGCAGAGCGGAAGTACTGTCAGCTCGCCGAGTCCTGTTGTGCCGAAGCCCACCCAGCGCCAGTCATCCTCGCTAAGCCGTAAAATCTCGGGCTCCATGGGCACAGCGGCAACCCCTGCGGACGGAGCGAAGGCAACGTCGACTTCCCCCGTCGAACTCATTCTAGCGTCATGCGAACCGTCTCTGTTGCACATTGCGCCGATTCTCTCCGAGCTCGGCATGCAACGCATGGAGCATCTCAGGGCGATCGCACGCCTCAGTGAAGACACGCGAAATCGGGAGGTGAAGGAGTATGCGTTGAAACGTGGGGTTACTGTCGTGGAATGGGCGATTCTACTCGATAAGCTGCGTGCGCTGTAACTCACTTGGGACCGTTATAGCATCAGTATGGCGCGTTGTGTCTGCAGTAGTTCCATTGTAGGTTGCCAGATTTAGAACGTCTCGGCACAGAAAACACTCCTTCTGTAGGTTACGATATGTGTAGCTTCTGAACACATAACCGCGCGTGGAGTCTCAATTCCACAGTCCTGGTCTTGTGGGTGATCCTCCAGCTCTGTCAATGAGGCATTGACTGCTGGGGGCAAGGGGCGACGCGCGAGTGCACAAACCACAGTACTTGCCTGTTATAGCTCGAGGTGTCGCATGCCGAACGGCGCGAATCGAAGTCCTTTTGTCCTCACCATGTCCTGAGCAACACCTCGCACAAAAGCTATGGACACCAGACATAGAGCTAGCCTCGCATCGACTCGTCCCATGCACCGAGTATTCCGGGTGGATGAGATCCTACTTCTCGTCTTGAACAATCTCGACTACGATACGAGCAGCTTGGCCAGCGTTGCAAGAACTTGCCGCTTGCTGCATAGGCCTGCCATCGTCGTGCTGTGGGACAGCCTCTACAACATAGAACCCCTTATCAGGCTTTTCCCTTCCGATGCCTGGGAGCTCACGGACTCAGTACCACATGCCAACGGAGGAATGCCCTGGACTCGGACGCCTCGACGCCTTGTAAGTCCTCATAGTATAGTGACATTCCCCCTCCTGAGGCATTTCCGTATCATCAGAACCTGACGCGAGCTCTTACTGCTCCGGAAGACTGGTATGCATTCGACAAGTATGCATATTTGGTCAGACATATCACGCGTATTGCCCACTCGGGCGAGCTCAAGGCAGACGTCCGAATGATCAGACCCTTGTACGGCCTCGACCAAATCACGCTGGAAACATATCAAATGCTTTCTTTTTGTCGCCGCGGCTTGCTTATACCTCTCTTAAAGACCATTGACTGGTCTTTTCAGTCCAGCGCACACGGCTCTCCGACTCTCTGCGCCGATATGCTCCCGATCCTGCATCTTCTCGTTGGTCCTGAGCTCAGGCATCTCAGGATCGGGCGCCTTTTCTTGTATGCTTCCAGCAAATATGCAGCTACACCAGCCCTCAAATCGATTCTGGGTGCTATCCAGAGCACTTGCCCCCTCCTGGAGTCAATCACATTTGATACTATCCATGGCGGATCTGCCGAGCTATCACGCGTACTCGGCCCACAGCTTACGCGTCACCACAATCTCAAGTCGATCCGATGCCCAGGTGTTGCGCTCGCTATTCATGATGTAGTGAAGCTGTCATCCCTTCCGTCTTTGGCGTCGCTGCAAATAAACCTCTCATTCGACGGTCTCGTCAGGTCAAGTCTCCATGCGAGTAGGTCATGCCATCCTGCCGAACCCGTCACGACATTCCCATCTCTCCGAGAGCTGGATATCCAACGGTGCGATGCACAGAGCTATCTACAATTTGCTTCCATCAAGCTGCCCGTCGTTGAGGATTTCAAGTTAACCCTCGACATGTCAACACACCGGAGCTGCCCTCGGCCGCTATTCGCCGTCATCGCATCGCAATGTAACCCCGAGACCCTGTCCGTGGTTAAACTGCGCGATGACCGCCTCGACGACGACTTGATCACCTGTCCTAACTTCGCAGTTTCAGCGTCGAACCTCCGCCACTTCCTTGCATTCCGCCATCTGCGCTATCTCAACATAGACACGAGGACCTCGTGTACAGAATATGACGATGAGGTTCTCGTCGAAATGGCTACTGCGTGGCCCAAATTGGAGCATTTGCACGTCAATGCTGGGGTGCGGAAATCAGGGTGGAGGAGATCATCGTCAGTGGCTACACTACTCGGTTTATCCGCTTTCGCCAAACGTTGCCCCGGACTTACCCATCTCGGGCTGCTGCTCGATGCACATGGTCCTCAAACCGACGAAGAGCACGTTGTCCATGGCCATCTGCATACCCTGCGCAACTTAGAAGTGATCCACTGGGGATGGTCAACGGTCAGGGGCCAGCTGGAGTCGGTGGCATCGATGCTGTCGTATCTCTTCCCCCCGGATGTCCAATGGCGTCGTGGAGGCGATGGCTATTTTCATGCGGAGCCCGAGGAGGTCGCAGAAGAGGAAGACTCTGCCGAGAAATGGGACAAAGTGATGGCGCTCTACCCGGTCATGTATCGCGTACGGCAACAGGAACGCGAACGAGCTCGCAGACTCGTGGCAAGCGGCGACTCGAGCGCAATTTAATGGCATGCAAGGTGAGTGCGGTCGTTGTCGTATCATGATACAGATACGCCATCGAAACTGCTTGTCCGTCTCGTTGAACCAGAACAACTCGCTCACACTGCCTACCCATAGGTTCTGGCCGAGACATCGCCCGAAGCCAGGTGCTGTACGCGCTAGGAGCGGTTTGAAGGATGGGCCAATCGATCGAATGTGCTGACCGGCAGGGACTCAGACAGTTCTCGTTTGTTTGTTTGTTTGTTTGGTTTGTCCCTTTAGGGCCACCGAAGGCGAAGCCCTGTGTAGACCTAAAGACATCCTGAGATCGTTCCGTCCTGTCCCTGCCTCCCCCTCTCCTTCCATGCACACGTCCAGGACAGTTCTCGAGTCGAGGCACATATCGCCCCCGGCACTACTGAATGTAGTACGCTAAAAGTGGATCTGTGACTCATAGCTGGGGTAGAGATTGGGCGAGAAACACAGGGTTATTTGATGCCATGTTTGTCCCGTCGATCAGCCTTGACATGACATTGCCAGCGGGCCTCAGCATAGTCACTGAGACTATGCCTTGGGCTACATATGGTCCCCTGCTTATCAAAAAGAGATGCTTTCGGTTGTCAGGATACGTACGAACTACAGCACCTGCCAAATATAGACCGAGGCATGGCGGCCATTTCAGTATTTCAATTTCAATCCGCAGGGAGGCTGCCAGGGTTGATCTGTAGAGACTGAACAACCGGCGTAAGCAGCTATCCAGAGAGTAACTATGGTTATCAATGTGTAACGTAAAAGAAACTCTACCTCAGTCGATGCTACAACACGACCGAGGGAACAGAGGGGAGACTCCGAAGGGAACGAACTTCGAAGGCCTACAAGGACGACTCCCCCTGGCAGCAGCGGGGTATCACGTGCAGGGTGGCCGGCGCGTAGTACGCGCGTCCTCTACATGTGCCTACTACCCCTCCAACGCTCAATGCTCATTCACGTTGCTGACTCCTGAGTGCTCATCATAGTTGCAGCTCTATTCCGCTTTCGATGCATCAGGTGATCTCAGTGACAGACATCCTCCTCGCAATTCTCGCCAATCTGGACGCACATCCGTCATCGCTAGCTGCATTCGCAAGAACGTGTACATCATTGCACGAACCCGCGATCGGTGTCTTATGGAGCAGACTATACAACCTCGTCCCCCTCATCAAGCTCTTCCCCGATGATGCCTGGGAGATGAAGCTTAAGGAGGAAGAAGACGCGCGCTATCAATGGCGATCGCCGATGCCTGTTGTCGTGAGTCGTAGATAAATTAAAACATGGGCCCCGACGGACAGCTAAGGCAGTGCTGTCACGATCAGAACCTGACGAGGGCTCCAGTCGCACCTCACGATTGGTTGGCTTTCGATAAATACGCATGCCTGGTCAGACACCTCGGCTCGGACATGCCAGTACACCAGGAATTTGACAATCGTTTTGCACACGAGCATCTCTACTACGCCAGGGAACACATCTCACTGACAACATGGCAAATGCTTGCCGTTTGTCGTCGCACCAGCCTGGTACCGTGGTTGCAGAGCGTTGTATGGCCTCTCACTCCATGTCATAACGACATAGGCACCATCTTGTACCTGCAACTTCTGGTGTGTCCACAGCTCAGGCGCGTTACAGTGAATCCAGACTTCCCTCTTCATGACGAGGAGTCTGTTCGATGTAACCTGCCACCGCTCGAATCCATCCTGGGCGCCTTGCACACTACCTGCCCAAACTTGGAGGCCATCACAATGTTGTCGTTCTCTGGTCCACTCCCCTCTGCACCAATCAGGCTGTCGGTATCCTCTCGACTGTCTTCACACCTCATAGCATTCCGTCATCTGAAATCAATTCAATGCCGGGGTGTCAAATTTTCAGTGCGCGATGTCCTACGATTCTCTGCGATACCGGTGTTGGAATCACTGTCGATTGATATGTTCGATGACGACAATGCGCCAATCGCGACAGAAAACACGTATCACACGTCTACCCCCTGGATCTTCGCCTCCTTGACAAGGATGTCGATTCGTTTGTACTCGTTGCAATGCTACATGAAGCTTGCTGTTGCCTCGCCTTCCTTTCCCCAGGTCGAGGAACTGGAGCTGTCCGCAGACGCGTTGACGCAATCGAGTATCCCACAGCTGGCGCCAGTGTTCGCCAACATCGCCTCATTATTCCCCCCCGATACATTGACGAAAATCACCATTCGTGACTACTCTTCTTATGCGCATCTAACAATCTCTCAGAATGTAGCGATCACGCCTCAGATCCTTCGCCACCTCTTCATCTTCCGCAATTTGCGACAACTGCGCATCGCTGCTTGGAGTTGGCGCACGGAATACGGTGACAACCTCCTTGTCGATATGGCAGCCGCTTGGCCCAATCTACGTCACCTAGATCTGAACACTTCAGTCGAGGCGAGCGGCTGGGAAAAGTCGCGTTTCCTCGTCACATTGCGTGGCATGCTCACTCTCGCCTGGCGCTGCCGAGAGCTCAACTATCTCGGTGTACTGTTCCACGCAGATCCGTCCAGTTTCCCGGACCACGAGGAGCTGCTCGAGCAGGATCTCAGGGTCGTTGATGGGAGCCCTGTGTTGGCTAGCCTTCGCCGTTTGAATGTATCCTGGTCAACCATCACGAACCCGGAGCAAGTAGCTGCCATTGTGTCCAAGTTCTTTCTGCCATCCATGACCGTCGATAGCGCCTGTGGACGATGGTCCAACGGAGACTTTGAGTCAGATACCGGGACGGAATCATCAGACAATGAGGCCTGGGGCAGCGTCGCAGGCCTCCTCCCGGTACTCTGTGGAGTGCGGGAAGAAGAGCGCAAGCGTGCCCGTAGACTGGTGGCTAGTGGCAGGTTCAGCGCGATTTGAATCGCATGCAAGGTTCGTACACTCACAGCCAACGTCACCTCCGACCCTCCTTCAATTGTTGACCACCGCTGACACATACCCACAGTATCATGCCAGAGTACAATGCGTAGTGCCCTTCGCGCTGTCGATCAGCGCACCTCGTCGATTGTCCGGATACTGTGGGATCAACAACAAAAGATTGCAAGTTTTCGAAGAGTACAAGGCATGGTCATTGTACATCCTGGGATGATGAATATATACGTTACGTGAGAATAATACACAGCTTGATTATAACTACAGGCATTGTGCGCACTGGTCAAACTCTCTGATACCGTTTGAGCAGGAGCGGCATTTGGTTCCCCTTATCCATCTCACTCTTGACCATGGGGCGCTGCACCACCGTCGCCTTCTTGATAATATCGATCGCGGGCACAGCGAGCTCGAACTCGAAAGCGCGAACGAGGGTGAAGATGAGTGCCTTCATCCTACGCGCAAGGAAACCATGTGAGTGAACAACACCGGGCCGCAAGAGATTATGTGACTGACTCGACGAGGGAGAAGCGGTATCCGATGCAGGACCGAGGCCCGCCAAGGAAGCTCATCTGGTTGCCCCACACGCCGGGGATGCTCTGTACGGCCTCTGGCACGTTCTCCCACCGCTCCGGCCTACGCGAGACGCATATCAGCATCGACACACGCCCAATAAATCCATAAGGCCCGCACGCACTTGAATTCGAACGCGTCCTCGCCCCAGAGTTCCTTCGACCGGTTGATGGCAAGGATCGGGATGAAGATCGGACTGCCCTTCTTCACGTGGATAACGTCGTGAACCTGACCGTCGACGTCGACGTACGGCGTGTTGAGCGGGATTACGTCGTCGCGCACGGCAACCCGGATCGAGGACGGCACCGGTGCGTGCACTCGCATTGTCTCACGCACGACCGCGTCGAGGTACGGGAGCGCGTTCAGCTCGTCCATCGTCGGGTTGTCCGTTGAGATGCCGAGCAACTCCTCGCGCAGCTTCTGCTGTACGTGCGGCGCTTGCGTGAGCGCGTAAAGACACCAGGTGGTCGCGTTGGAGGTCGTTTCGTGCCCGGCTACGAGGAATCTGTGAGAGCATAGCGTGAACGAGGGACCCCTTATAGTCAGCTGATACGTACGTCGGTACCTCTGCAACAAAAGTCAACCGATGTTCCGTCGTGAAGGGGAGGCAAACACTCACGGGCCAGAACATCCTCGTCCGAAAGTCGCTGGCTCTCTGGAATGTCAGTAGCCATGTTCGCCTTGATGAGCAGCGTCAACAAGTCCCGGCTGTGTAGAGTGTCGCCGCCCTTCTCGCCCGTGCTGACAGCCTTCACGATCTCCGCCTTCTTCTCCGCGACAAGTGAGAGCCCGATGCGGCGCATGGCCTTCTGCGCGGTGGCGATTCGCTTCGAGCGCGCGTCGGGCTTCCGGCCAAAGGTCAGAGTGAGAATGGTCAGAATGGAGATCAAGGGCAGCGTACGATGATGCGGAGGGGCGGAACGTAGGCCTTGATCAGCGGAAAGAGCGAAAATCGTGCGATTGAGCGGAACATGACCTCGAACGCCGCATTGAGCTCGTTCGACTTGCCCTCCGTGTTGAGAGAGTCAAACTGGTAGTTAAAGCCTACCAACATGGTTTGTTGAGCATTCGTCTTCGTTTGTAATAGGCGTGCAATCACTCACCGGCGAGGCCGATCGCGTCGAGGGTCATCTTGCTGAGACCTTTGAGGACGTTGATTCTCGCCGGCTCGCCTGCCAGGGTTATCTCTGCGTCCCAGACGTCGCGTAGCTATAAATGCGCATAGGTAACCGAGCACCCGGCAGTGTCGGGCAACCGTACCTGGATGGCTTTCTCAACGAAGATTTCTGTCAGCTCTCTGATTTGCGCGGGTCCGAACGCTGGGTTCTAGAGGCTTATATGAGCGACATCTTTGCATATGATCCTGACGACTGGATGAACTCGCCATGATCCGTCTCTGCGGACAAGATGTAAGCTAGGTATGGTCTTAGGTAGAACGGGTCGCGTACCTGCTGGCGATGCTGCTCGCCTATGGCCCGGACATCAAAACAGTCCTGAGCTCACAGTATCCGTCTGCGCTCACCCTCTACGACCAGAAGTCCTGGGGTGACACAATTGTAGCGCATCCAGTGCAGAGCGGACTGATCTATGTACCTTCGCCTAAGATCTCGCCGAGGTTGAACCTCGCAAGCGACGGCTTCTGGTAGTCGATAGAGTGACTGAGGACATGGTTCAATGCTCTCGTGTCGAGCGTGTATAGCCTGTCTTGCTGCACAGCCGTTCAGCACACCCAATATTTCACGCGTGCTGTACGTGATTACAGCACAGAGCTGCGCTGCACGCATCACACGCACAACGTCGCGTCGCTCTGTGTTGTGATATGCAGTACGCTCAGAGTCTGACCACTCACATTGAACCATGCTTTATACTTGAATGTGTTGCCGTACTTGTCTGTCCAAGCCTCATGCAGCACGGAGTTCTCTGCGTCAAAGATCTCCTTCAGGTTGCCAAATATGAAGCTGGGGCTGGGCGGTCCGGGCAAGTTGCGCAGGGGAGAGAAGAGGGGCGCTACCAAGAGCTCGACGAGCTTGTAAAGCCCGTATCCCAACGCAGCGAGACTCAGCGAGAGCAACAGGTTGCCTACAGTGATGACACTCATCCTGAGGCGGACTCAGCGAGTGAGGTTAGAGAAGAAGGCGTATAGCCTCTATGCGGGAGTCGGAGTAGGCTCGGTGGGGACAACCGCGGAACGAGTTATATTGGGCCTGCGCAGGCTGTTACAGCCTGCGTGTTCTCACATGGTCAAGATGTCCCGCAATGGGCTGCTGATACCAGTACATACAACTGCGGTTTGCGATGACGGAAAGCGATGAATTTTCACAAGGAAGACGAAGATGCCAAAGGCCGTCAGACGAGACGTACTACGTTGAGTCGTCGTTGACGAGCTTACCGTTTTGGATGAGGATCGCCTCGACAATCCGGTAGACGCCCGAGCGCACACCGAGCTAGGTGCAGGGCAACCAGGATGAATACAGCACAAACTCACATTTGTATGCCGTTGTGAACCAGGAAGCAGCGAGCCTGGGACTGCTCATATAAATACTCACCTATGTGAAGGATGTATACATGATATTCAGCCTACAACCCTGCTCTAGCCTCCCAACGCGCGATGCAATGCATGGCACCCGTGGTCGTCCACCCGTCCTGACTCTGGTCCTGCAAATGGCTCATTATCATACGGCCTTTCTTAGTCCTTCCCCGAGCCGATGTTGATGTGTAGAGCCTGTAGGGCGTGGATCAAGCGAGATATTGAGCGTTGTGTGAAGGCGAGTCGCGACAACCTGCAAGTGTGAGACGAACTGTGGCTGCAGCTGCCAGGCACGAGACTCTGGCCTTTCTCCCAGCTCCTCATCTACTTCAGTAGACCCTCTAGCGCGCACTCACAGGCTCATCCTTGCTTGCAAACGGCTAGGCAAGCTCTTCGTGGCTGGAAAGACCGTTGCTCAAGTCATACCGAACAAGGCGGGCCCAGCATGGCTTCGAATCCCATTTCGCTCAAGCAGCGACTGGCTGCTTTATCTGCAAACATGCCCGGAATACGCATGGACTCCCCGCCTTCATCGCCAGGCTGGAGACGGAAGAACTTCTTTGGAACACCGTCACGGTCGCGGACTATGGACAGGGATCCTCCGAGGCAGGGGCAGGACGGCTTGGAGAGCGTGATGAGCCGGGTCATCTTCCAGGCAGGAGTGGACTACGAGTTAGTGATGTGCTCTGCTGCATGAATCGTGTGTGTTGAATTCTTTGTATTTTGCACGTATAGAACAAGACCAATGTGCGTCTAGGATACTGCTACTCGCGGTTGATGGAATTAAGAGACGCTGTCTTCTAGGGTGGTCATGAACGCTTCAGGACTGCCAGACCCACGAGAAGTCAACTACGATGAGCTGCTAGCGTGAGTTGACTACATGTTCACCCTACACCACCCGCTGAGATGGCCTCAGTCGGATACTATCGTATCTAGACCTCTACGGTGAGTAATGTGCTCCTCGTTCGTGCCCATATGGTCTCCTGACTGTCTGCAGTCGAGTCTGACTACACGGTCGTGTTCTTCGCTGCTGGTGGAAGGAATACACCAGGCTGGAACTGGGTATGGAAAGCATACCGCAGTTTGAGCAGAAAGTACCGTAAGAACCTCAAGAAACTAGTGAGTTCACTACACCGCGGTCTCGTATCATTTCGTCTGATATAGTTTAGTTCATCGTTCATTCGACTTTCTTCACGAAAAGTATGTTGACCTGCCTCGTGCCGTCGTCATACGTGAAGCTGAGCTGCCACCACAGTGCTCTTCTCCCTGGCTGGAACCATTATTAGGTACGGACGCTGTCGATGCTGCCAAGGACATTATTAACGTGTTCCACTCGTCCAGTCCCAAATTTTTCCGCAAGATAACTTATGTCACTACGCTATCGGAACTTGCATGTCATATACCACTTACACAGATAGATGTCCCTCCAGCCGTATACCAGTGAGTGGCCGCAAAGTCTGGCTTGTTTAATACTTACACGGCGTCCATCAGGGAGAACCTCAAACATGAGAAGCAGATTACCCTGCCTATGCCTACTCGAGCTGACCTGTTCGGTGTTCCACTGGAGGAGTTGATGGGCTACGATGGTGAGAAGGGCGGTTTGCCGAGAGTCGTGAAGGACTGCATACAGTACCTTCGGGCAACAGGTAGGCGCCCTTGCGTTAGGAATACTGACGGGCTTCTAACGACTACATATAGGGTTGCAAGACGAAGGGCTGTTCCGGCGATCACCGAATTCGGTCATGCTCAAGCAGGCTCAGCAGGCGTATGATAGAGGTACATTGAACCAGTTAATTTCCTGTACCTTGACTAACGAGCGTGTAGGACACGTCGTCTCACTGGACAGATTCGGCGACCCGCACCTTGCCGCAGTGCTGCTCAAGAAGTACCTGCGGGACCTGCCTACACCGCTGTTCCCTGAGCACCTCTATCCCCTCATCTCGAGGTGTCCGCAGCCAAGCGATGACCCAACCGATATATCCTCAGTGATCTACATTCGAGAAACGCTCATGCCTGAGCTGCCGCACTGCTCTTACATCCTACTTGCCACCATCCTCCGTGAGTCATTTCGCACGCCTTGTCATTCAGCTAGCATCTGACTCGGCGGTGACAGAGCTGATGCACGAGGTATCATTGCGCTCTGCGACGAACCGCATGGACGCGCACAACCTCGCCTTGGTCATCACGCCCAACCTCGTCTCAGGCTCGAACCCGCTCCGCGACGTCATGATGTGCTCCATCCCCTCCGGGCCCGCACCCTTCCCCACGGCACCAACGTCCCCGACTTCCAGTAACATGGGCAAGACGACCCTCGGCGCTGTCGTCAAGCTCTGCATACAGCGCTACTACGAGGTATTCGACGAGGTGCCCGACAGGAGCGAGGCGATCCCGCAGCGGGAGTTCGAGCCGCGCCCCGCCTCGCCGGCCTCCTCGAGCGGGTCCGCACGGGACAGGCGCGCGCACGACGACGACGAGGAGATCGACGACGCGATGCTCGTCATGCCCATCGGGCCCAGCGGCAGCGGCAGCAGCCAGCCCGACGGCACACACAAGCCCGGGCGGCCCGCGCCGCCACCGCCGCTCCCCTACAAGCCGCGCACGCTCCCGAATCGCGCCGCGGCGTCACCGCCGACGTCGCCGAGCGGACGGTCGGCGTTCACGACGCTCGCGGGCGGGCGGAGCGGCGCGCCGTCGAGCTATACGCCGTACGGGACGGTGAACAAGGCGCGCTCGACGATCAGCATTGAGCGCGGGACGGCGCGCGGGAAGGGGAGCATCTCTGTCGGGCGCGGCGCGGCGAAGCGCACGACGGGCGCGGGCGTGGAGGCGACAGACATCACGGCGGAGGGGTTCTTCACGGCCCCGGACGCTCCGCCTGTGCCTGTGCTGCCGAGCCAGGTGAAAGCGAATGGGGGCAGCTTGCCTGCGGGGCAGTCACCTTAGGCTTGGGGTCTGTGGTCTGTGTGCTTGTTTGGGATGCCTTTGGATGTGCTTTCAGTTATTTACGGTATTGTTCGGTCGGCGCGGCTCCGAGACTATTCCTTTTTGTTCTGCGATGTATTTTATGGGTTCCCACCGGTAATGACCAGTCCGCCTCAGCTGCTACCTTGCTGCTATGCTAGGCTATGCTCCATCCATCTCGGTACCGATGCCTTTGGTCATCCACCGGCACACGCTGTACGTGGCTGGTCTGCATGATTGATCAATGATACAGCGGAAGATGGAAAGGCGCCCATTAAGCCCCACCCAAAATTTCCTTTTACAGGGACCGAGCCACCTCCAGCCACTTCCCGATCCATCCCGATCCGTTCGGTAGCCACGCGGCGACTGAGTCAATGATCGATTGGGCCCCGAAAAGGAAGGTCTCATGGTTTACACGCTGACTCGAGTGGGCGCATAAAAAGCCTGCATTCCGCGAGGCAGACCTGCTTCCCCTCCCGGCCCCCCTCCTTGCTGCCACTCCTGGAGATGCTGCTCGTTCGTCCGCTCTTCGTTCTGTTTTTCTGGTGATTTTGCTGGATTTCTTGGCGGGGCCTCGCCCGGGTGTCTGTTCCTCGAATGTCATTGGCAGGCCGCTATCGCGCGGCGGGACAATTTGGCGGGCCGTCTTTCCACTTTGCTGAGCCTGCCTCTCCCTTGGGTCGATTGGTAAGCCTCTGTATTTGCCTTCTTGAATTCAGACATTTTGTCAAGGTTTCGGGTCTCGGAGTAGTGATTTGTCAGTGCGGCATGCGCGACGGTCGGGGCCCGTTTCGCCTGCAATTGGCCACCTCCAGCATCTCTCGAGTCATTTGCGGGCTGCCGCCGATAGCTCAGAAGGTCCTCGCAGTTCATGCACGTCCATGTGCACGTACTCCAGCCCCACCAGCTTCGCAAGCCCGTCGTCTCGGACTGGAGCGTCTGTCGTTGAATTGACCTCGCCGAGGCTGACGCGGCGGACGCGTCCAACTCAGCGAGCATGCCCTTCATTCCGACGCGCGGGGGATGACCAACTGCGCCTACAGCGAATGAGGCATGGCGAGGGTCTAAATTGAGATGGCAATGTGTAAGTGATCGACTGGCCTGGCCGTGGGCAGTGTCCCACACACGCCTGCGGGGGAGCTTCTGCTGCGATGACCCGGCACAGCAAGTGCCTCGCGGTGATCTATGAGCTCATGTCCAGGCCTCCGGAACGCTGCTGGTGGACTTGGTGGGCAGCGGACGCGCCGCAGGCGGTGCGCAGACAGGCTGAGCCACCAGCAATATGGACTTTTGCGGGTAGGTGTACTGGACGCGCATGCACGGCAGCGCATCCGTGTACCGCATGCGCCGCTGCCGCTGTTCATCGCAAGCCAATACCTTGGTTCCTGATGCATTTGCGCAGATGCGCCGCTCGGGTGCGCGGTTGGCAGATGCGCGTCGCTGGCGTCGGTGAGCTGCATCACTTCGCTGGACGACTCTGCGACGACTGGCTGATGCGGAGGGAGGCCGGGCAGCGGTAGCCGCGTGGAAGGGCAGCCACAATTAGAGTGCGCGCGGGGAGGATCTGGGGAGGGCGCTCCGACGTCGCGGCTGATCGGTATGGACGGCCAGGGCGTGCCCGCTGCCCGCCGCTATCGTGCCTGCGCGCCCCCGCCGAGCACGCGGTCGCTATCATGGCGTGCGCACACCGCAGCCGGCCACGTCCCCTGTGGCGCGCGACGCGCACCCGCACGGCGGGCGCACTCGCTGCAGCGGGCATCCGGTCCGCGGACGGCGCCCCGCCTGCGCCTCATCGATGGACATTCCGCCGATTGTCCGGCGCCCCCTGTGCCCTGCGCTGCCCTCCGCCCAGGATGCATGCTCAGGGACGCGAGTGCGGGGCCGCGCACGACGAGGAACGTGTTCGCAAGACGTGGCGGACACGCCCCGCCACGCGTGCTGCGGCGACGCCCCGCCACGCGTGCTGCGGCGACGTGTTCGCCTGCGGTCTGTACACGCCCTCTGCGCGAGGCTACGTGCCGACTGGCGGCCATTTCGGACGAATCTGCGCGGCCACACCGACGCGGCGGATGCATGGGATCTTATCAGGGTGCCTGATCCGGCGACCTAAATGTTGACTCGTCTTCGGTCCCTCACAGACGCCCGTCCGCGCGCCCGCTGATTTGCGCAGGATCGGGCGGAATTTGGCGGCAGGGGCGTCGGGGATTGGCCAGGGCAGGCAGAGTGTGCCAGATAGTTAGCCAGAATGGACGTGCGACTTGCCATGTATGGACCCGGCGGCGGGGGCTAGGACACGCGCGCCTCTGAGTGTGAAATGCGGTGAAGTTTGCGCGATAAATAGCAGGCGCGAGTCAGACCGTCTGCCGTCTTTCTCTCCTCCCCCCACCACAACCCACCGTCCCGAACAGTACAGGGCTGTTCGAGACAGGTTCGAGTCAGAGCACTGTGAGTCCCCCCCATTTGTCCACCCCGAGTCCGTCTGCCTCGTCCGCTCGGCGTAATCGTCAATCATCATATTCCTCGTATTGTGCGGCAGAGTCATCCCGCTACTGCTCCGTATCCATCGACGCGACGATGTTTGCAACCTTTTCGTTCAAGGATCCCGAGTCGGGTCCGAGCGTTTCCGTCCGCGAACCGCAGAGCGCCAGTTGGTCCTACTACCACACCCAGGTCGGGGCGTCGTCGTCCCCGAGGGTCGCGCATGCGCATCAGCCCGAGTCACAGTCCCCTCGCATCGCATCGCCGGCGGACATTCAGATGGCAGACTCCAGTCATGAGAGCCCACAACTGACAAGGCGCACGTCGTCTCCTTCCAGACAACCTCGTCGGCCGTCACGCTCGCCCGTGCCGCCCACCGCCCCCGACCCCCAACCCGCTACCGCCTTGTTCCCATTCCCGCGTAACCAAAACATCTACCGTCGCCAGAATGTTCCGCCTTCTTTTGTAAGCGCGTCGTCTCGCGACCAACCCGGACCCTCCACTCGCCCGTATGGATTCACTCGCCCCAGCACTAACCTTGGAAGTACTCTTCCAAGCTTCTCCCCATCCCAGTATGGATCGATAAGCACGCCTAGTGATCGTCCTCGGACAACGCACCCGGTCTTCACCTCGACCTCGGATCTAGTCGCCCACCATGGCCTTCCCCAGTCTCTGCCCCCTGTGCCTCGTACAACAAGATATTCGACCCCAGTTTCCGACTCTCGCTCAGAGTCCATCTCAGCGTCAAACGCTAATCCAGATCCCGACTTCTCCTCTTTGTGCTCGAACTACCTGGCAATGCTGACCAAAAAGCCTGAGGATAGGCAACAATCCGCTGCGGACGCGCTCCCCGATGTCGACAACGGGGCTGCGGTCCAGGCTCTCATGGAGGTGCTGCAAGGTGAACTCGATGTTGACGTTGCATTCGCCACATCGCTAACCATGTCTGGTGTCGGCGTCTTTTCAGCATCTCCTGAGTTCCAGGCAGTGGCTGACTTCAACGACTTCCTCACGTCACCGATGGAATCCCCATGGGACGACTTCCTCACAACACCCGTGGTCGGAACCGACAACGTCGGCTCGGACATGTTCACCAGTCCCGCCATCGTCGACGACGATGACTTCGACGGCTTCGGCGGGCCCTCGCTCTTCGGTGGCTCGATCGGCCTGACCGGCGGTATACAGGGACCTGCGAAGGCTGACCTTCCTCCGCCCAAATCTGTCCCACTGCCGACTACTGATGGCTTCGACGGCCTGTACACAATGCCGTCGCCGACAACACCTGCCCTCGACCCCGCATCCCTTCATTCGTCACCCCGCGTCCCTCCGCTAGCGGCGACCCCGTCGACACCTGGTCAGCCTCTTCGACAAGGTGGCCCGACGGGGACACGGAAGAACGTCACTCCCGACTCGCTCGTACCCCTTGACGCGCCGATCCAGCCTCGCAAGTACGTGCTGCCTTCGTCGACTTCGCGCAAGGAGGTCCCGGCTGTCTTCGCGCGTAAGCGTGCACGCTCGTCAGCGTTCGGCGATGAGGACGAGCTCTGTGCGGATGACCTGCCACAACACGACTTGGATGCGATCGAGGCGAAGCGGCGGCAAAATACTCTTGCGGCGCGGCGCAGTCGGAAGCGGAAGCTCGAGCACCAACGCGGGCTGGAGATGACCGTCGAGCAGGAGCGGACGGAGAAGGAGATGTGGAAGGCGCGGGCGACGATGTTCGAGGCGCTCCTTCGGAGCCATGGCCTCGAGGTGCCTCTCATCAACCCATGAACGCTGTGAGCCTCCGCCAATCTCTTCGTCTCCTGCTTGTAAACAGTCGTGTCGGTCCTCGTCGTCGTCATCATCCCCTATGCTTGTCGTCCTCATCCATGACGTCCTCATCAGCGCTTGCCAAATCTGAGCGCGTACATTATGCTCTATATGTGTTTTCCTTATTCTTACTGATACGAATCATCACTCTGTTTACCCTCACCCCTTCCCTTCCCCCATATTCCCCATCGCCATCGTTTACTACTGTTTACGTTACAGTCAATTGCTCGCCGCCGTTTCGCATCCTGGCGGCCTTCGCTGCTCCGTGTACCGTTAGTACCACCATCGTTCCCCCACCCCACTTGCTAGGAGCAGCGTCGTATCCCCCTTCCCATGTCCCCCATTCGCGTATAGTCCAGTCGAAATTCGATCTGCGTAGTCTCATAGTTTCCGTAACGTGTCGATGCGACTAGTCAGTAGCGCACGAACAGATGATATCCTGCAATACGATGATGTGAGGCCAATGTGAGGCACTGTATTATTGCTTGTGTGACGTGGGCTTCAAACAGTGAAAGCGAGTGAACTCTTCGTCTTGCGCTTCGTAGTGTCCGGAGTACGATGCTGGCCCGGGGTTGCGTGCCGTTGTACTAGGAGGTTCGCAGCAACCTGGCAGCAACACTTCGACGGTAAGAAATGGAATAAATAGCACGAGCGCAGGTCATCTACATGATACGCAGGGTATGATACATGTTATCCACGATGTCTGCTACAATACCCTTAAGACGAGGGCGAGCTCTATACCCTGCACTTGATGTCGCCGCCGACCATCGCCAGCGTCGCACCCAAGCACCAGCCGAGTTCCGTGCCCTCAATCTTCTTGCCAACCTGCACCTCGCGCTGGCCGTCCAGCTCGTATCCAAGCCGCAGGAGCGCGTGCATGAACGTCAGGTCAAGGCACCACTCCGGGCGGCCCTCGAGCTCCTCCATCAGCGCTGCATTCGAGCCCCAGTGCTGCGTCCAGCTTGGCTTGCCGGGACACACCTGCTGCGCGAGCGCCGCGAACGTCGCCACGGACAGCGGGGCCTTCGCGAGCGCGGGGTCCGCGTCGAGGAACGGCTGGAGGCGGTCGTAGAAGTACGAGAGCAGGAGGACCTTGCCCGCGGGGAACGTCTCCATGAGCGAGGGCTGGTACACGCCGTTGAACGAGCACGGCTTGACCTCGCAGATCGCGTCCTTCGCCATGACGAGCTCGACGACGCGGTTGCACGCGTCGAACGCGCCGACGTCCGCGCCGACCATCGTCACGCCGAACTTGCCGCCCGGCGCGTGCGCGTCCTCGACGTCGACGGGCTTCGCCGTCCCGCGCGCGAGGCACGGGTTCGCGATCGTCGCGTTCGCGCCGCTGCTCGTCCCGCGGAGGGAGCCCATGAACTCGACGAGGCGGTGCACGCTCTGGCGCGCGCGCATGAGCCCGTAGCCGAGGTAGGAGTGCTGGTAGAGCACGCGCTTCTTGCCGCCGAACGTGAGGTCGTATTTGTGCTCGCCCGGCTCGAGCGTGCTGTCGGGCTTGCTGAAGATGGGCTCGAAGACGATCTGCGTGGACGCACCGCCGAGGTCGAGCACGGCGTACGAGGGCGTGCCCGCGGGCGAGTCGCCTCGGATGGTGTTGAGCAGGTAGTTGGCGGTGATCCAGGCGTAGACACCCTCGTCCTTGCCGTCCATGATGACAACGCCGTCCTCGTCTTTGAGGCTGAAGAGATACTTCGTGTGAAGGTGTGCCTTGACAGCGTCGAGGATGGCTGCGCTCTCCGCCGCCCCGAGTAACCGTAGACCTGCCGTCGCCTTGACCTGGACAGGCGTGCACGACTGCAGATTCTTGGGGATGATCTTCGCTGCCTCGTCGAGCAGCACGTCCAGACTCTGCGCTGCCTCCTGTGGCCTCCCAGAGTACGATGATAGGCCAGGCTGTGTCATGCGGAAGACTTCGTACTCGTACATCGGCGACTGACCGCAGTTGTTGAACTTGTAGATGTGGATGCGCGAGCCAGTGGAGCCGGCGTCGATCATCAGTGCGTACTGAACGAGAGGAAGGGATGGCTTGAAAGGCGCTATACAGTGGACAGTTTTGGAGAGGTCGGGGTCGTTCTCGGGGCCCGTAGGCGGTCCTGGCGGTGGTTGGGGAACCATGTCATCGTCGTGCACGGGGACATGGACGGGGTCCGGTACTACTGGCGGCAGTGGTGATTTGCCCATCCCCGACCAGTCTGGCCGAAGAATTGCTACAACGACGCATGCATTCAGTGAGAAGTCAACAGCAGAGAGCGGCATACGTACATGGTATCTCATGCGGGATGATCGTCTCTTTGCGGGGCCCGAAGATATATACGAGCCCAACTATGACCACCCCGGCCAGCGCGAATTTCTTCCATCCTGCGAGACGCATGGCTGTCCCTATCCTGTTCACCCCATGCCCGCCCTCCAATCTCTCGTAGTTGCTTGACGTGGGGCTTCGTGAGCCGAACATGCTTGTCTTCCGCAGGTGTGTGTTGCCCCTCGCCTGCTCAATGGAGGTCGAGTGTCCTCGCCGGTGATGTGGTATGGTGCTAGAGATTAACGGCGGAAACCGTGCATGTAGGAGTAGAGATGAACGAGCGAGTGAAGGGGTGTTGCCACCAGCGTGTTGCAGAGCACGCTCGGCGCTGAGCGCTGAGCTTGTTATGGGCGCTCCCGACATCCAGGCACCCTTCACTGGACCAGCTCGTCCTCCTGCCGCGTCCACTCTCCACAATGCTGACTGACAATCACTTTTGCTTTTAATATTCATGCTGATTTGCGAAACACCTCAAAGTAGGCGTCCGATGGTGCCAATCGCAGCCTTGGGAGTCCAGACCACTAGTAACCGACCTTTCTGAGGGGAAGAAGGACCATTGTCCGGGAAACCTGTGAGTACTCTCAATGTGGTAGCTCGATGTATCTGCTCTGAATGAACTTTTGAAAGGAACAGAGAGCTCATGCCGCGTTGTTCGTTCATCGACTTCAGTGCGCTCCGAAATCTGTCTAGCCCCAGACTGACGGCGTTTGCTCACGCTGAACATGTCAGGCCCGAGTTGGACACCCCGCACAGAAACCCACAATGCATGCATCACGTAGCTTGGACAAGCCCGAGTAGTGTCAGCCCGCTGTGGCTGGCATCGCAATCCTGACTCTCCCCAGGGCTGGGGGCTGACCTCGGCATTAAACGAGGCTGACCTTGGGCTGGTGGGAGGCTAGCACTACCATTTCAGCATATAAAAGCGGGCAACGCTACCATTGAAGTCATTACCTACGTCCGGCTCAACCTTCCATCTCCCCTCGCAGATCATCATCTACATCTCACATCTTCAAGTATCTATCTCATTATGAACTCGTTCACTTCGCCTCATATTATTCAGAGGGGACGCGCCGTCCCCCTGAGGTTCTCTAGGCTCTCGTGTGTCCCTTCCAGAACTACCAGGGCCGACATATCCTCCGCCGTAGGTCAAGAGGTGAGTGACTCCATGTTATGACTCCGTCTTCGCTCACATCACTCTTCAGAGTGCGACTATGGTCGACGACTGCGTCGTTACGTTCGAGAAGAGCGTACTTGGCTGGCACGGCACCGTACCTGACGACGCTGCGCTTGACACGGACTCCTGGAAGGAAGCCTGGCTCGAGGACGATTTCAGCTCCTCTGGCTTCGTCCCCCTCTGTTCACAGCCCGAGTACGAGAAGACGTCTCTCAAGGCGAGAATGCAAACCGACAGCAAGCTCTCGCGCAAGCTCATCAAGTACATGGATCTTGCGGAGACGTACTTCGGCATGTCTGTGGACACGCAACGCAAGTTGGCCAGGGCCGGGAACGAAACCCGCGCCCTCGAGTTCGAAGTCGGCGAACTCCACGGACAAATAGACACTCTGACTGGCGAGCTCGCTGGCGCGAAAGCCCTCGCCGACGACCACAAGAAAGGAGTCTCTGAGCTCGAGTCTGTTCTGGATCTGGCTATGACTGCGATCGGCCAACTGCAGAAGCGCAACGAGGAACTGGAAGCTAGCCAGGTCGACAGCGAGCATCGTCTTCTTGGCTACGATGAACGCCTCCGGGAATCTCAGACTATGCTATACTCTGCTGTGTCTCAGGTTGAGAAGCTCTCCTCCGAGAACGAGAAGGTCGCCGACCAGAAGGCCGCTCTGTATGATGCTCTCTCCAAGTCTCTCGCCACGTCGGGTCCGAAGCAGAAAGCGTTGGAGATGGAGATCAAGGAACTCAAAGTTCTCCTTGCCCAGCGCGACGCGGACGTTCTTTTTGTTCGCAAGGAACTCCAGACCATGCGCGAGGAAGCTGCTGAGAAGGCCAAGGTTGTCGACGCTGCGTGGGACAAGAAGCACACCGACGCCGTCTGCCAATTCGAGCAGAGGCTATCCTTCATGCGCTCTGAGAGGGCCCGTTTCCGCATCGAAGCCAGGGAGCATAAGCACAAAGCGGCATTCGTCGAGAAACAGAAGGAAGCCTCCGAGGCCGCGCTTGCAACCTGCAATGCCAACCTGCAAGCCACATCTCTAGAACTCAAGAATGCGCAAGAGGATCTGACGTACGCTCAGAATCGAGTGGAAGAAGCTCAGAAACGCGGGGAGGCTTGCGAGCGCCACATCCGCTACTTGGAGTCCCTACTGCCAATCGAGGGCGAGGGGGCAAAGCGTCTTCTCAGCCTCGGCGACAAACTCGAGAAGGCCATGGCGAAGTCTCAGCACACGCGTACTCGCAAACTGCAGGACATCACCAACCGTCGTACCAGTGATCTCTGCGCTACGACCCTCACGCCTGCCCCAGTACGACCCTCTAGCAAGACGACCTTGCCTGTCTGCGCCAGCAGCTACGTACCAGGCCTGCAGGGAACCCCCTACGTGCCCACCCCGCCGGCGAGCTCCTTCCCCACGCCCGACTGGACCATGTCGGATGCATCCTCGCTCTCCTTCATCAAGATGCACGCTTCCAACCTGATAGACGTGTCGGAGGGCGAGATCCTGTTCGGCTCCATGGGCACGACTGCGAACCCGATCGACAAGTCGCCCATTGCGCCCCGCGCAGCCCCGAGTCGGTGCCAAACTGGGAGTGTGGGGTTGAACAAAGCACCCCGGGTGGTGGGCAGACGGAGGCTGTGAGACTCTCCGCGCGTCGTCCCTCAACCTAAGGTGTGTCTTGTCGTTTCCGCTGCCGGCGACGTTGTCTAATCGCGCGTTGACTTAGGGGACGACGCAGTCGAACCAACGAGGGTTCGACAACAAGTGACACGCGATAGGACCAATGGGAGAGTTGGCCACGGTAGTCGGGACAATTGCATCAGCGCAACATCTCGCGGGCGACCCCGGCATTATGGTTACTTAAGGAATATTGGCCGTACCTCGCGTGCCGTATAGCGTGCGTTGACCTCAGGACAAGTGAGTTGCATGTAAAGCTCGAGTTCTCGCTGGACAAGCTGACATTCTTGACGTGGTCAAGGCTTACCGCATGAAGACATCGCTCTGCGTCTTTACCGCCGTCTGCGAGTCCAACGTTTTCGAATCGGTCACGCACAGAGAGACATCTGTTTCGTTTCTTCTCGTCCATTTTTATTCCACGAGCCTCGATCTTGGATTGTGTATTTTCTATATGCATCACAATGGCAATGCAGACTGTTCAGAGATATGTACACCGTCAAACGTCGTATCTCTGTTATACACTGCTCGTAGTATCCCATTGACCCCAACAATATCATACATGATAAATACTCTACCATTCTGCAAACAAAGAGCAAGCACATAGCATCTCTACGTACGAAGACATCTATCCAGCCTTGGCCGCTTGCAGTACAACAATATCCGACTTGCAGCGAGCAGCCATCAGGATCGCGGCTACATCTCCAACCGTCTTCTTGACATCACCGCCAGAGCCACCATACTGCTCTGTCAACTGCGTGATCTCGCCATGGTGGTTCACAACGGCAAGACGCCGCGAACGACCAACCATAACGATCAGGTGGGCGCGGCGCTCAGCAGTGGATTCCGCGAGGCTATTCGCGTGCTCGACCACCGTGTGCAAGGGTGTGGGCGTCCGGATCTCCGAGAACTGGATGCGAGTCAATGCACCAGACAGTGGGCTATCGGGGGACTGTCGGGAGTTGTAGCGCGCCCAAATGACATTGTCTGCGGTTTCGGATTGCATGCGTGTCTGCGTCGTCTGGACATCATATACTGTGTCCGGTAACGCAACCTTGAGAGGCACGGAGCGAATAAATAAGTCGATGGTTCATCAAGGGTTGCAAACACATACCGAGTGTATTGTAGCTTCGTGAGGCAGTTCGCTACCCAGGTAGGCTATCTTCGGCTTGGCCAGGGAGTCGACCCTGTCGAGTTCGTCGAATGCGCTGTTCGTCATCCGGACAACGGTCGCGCTGACGCCAGGATGCGAGCACAACTGTACTACGAAGTTGAGCGCAAGCCTATCGTCCGGACCCCCAAAGAATGGCAGGAAGAGATGGTGTTCCCCATGCGGCAGACTGAACTCGCTCGGGTGCTGATGGTCAATGAACAGTGCGATGTCCGTGCGAGCCTGGGCGAAGATACCGCACACGAAGTTAGAGTGTAGGGTCGATGAAGCCTGGCCGGGACCGGAGCCAGCTGCACGGAACAGAGCTTCGAAGGGGTTCGAGCCGTCTGCGCTGCCGGATGGCATGTCTGCCATATTATCGGTGCTGTGTGGAGCCGGGACCCAGGGTACGAGGACGAGCTGGGAGCCATGGTCCTGTGCATGCTCCAAGACACTCGAGGAGAGGTCTTCGTAAGGAACTACCGCCAGGGACGCGGAGACGGAGACGCGGTGGAGGCGGCCAAATGTGCCAAAGATGTTCAGTAGCGGGTCCTTGCGCAACATGCTCTCCGTGTTCGAGGAGCGCATAACTGCGGATGTTCGGTCGGACAGCTCAACCAATCGGAGAGCATTGATGCATATGTCCGACGAGCGCTGCACAACTTTCTCCTTGGGCGAGCTGTTGTGGATGGGCGCAGGCTGGATGAGCTGCGTAAGCACCATCATACCCGGGAGGTGTTCGATTCTGTCCAGTACAACTGTGAAGCGTGACTTATGTTCTTCGACCTCGTTCCACTTTTCGAGTGTAGGAGCATTGATCTTCTCGGTTGCGGCGCCCTTCTCGTCTGCATCCGACACCGAAGAGTTGACATCGGGGTGAGAGGTGTGGTGCCCCAGGCGTACGCGCATCGAGGGCGGGTAGAACTTGTTCACGAGCGGCGTGGTCATAAATGTGAGGACGACCGCTTCCAGTACGAACATGGAGAAGACCTTCTGTGTGAGGATTCCGGCAGAAAGGCCAACATTGAGGACGATCAGCTCGACCAAGCTGCATACAAGTTTGAGTATCGCTGGAGTCACTGCAGGGAGGCGCGACGCACCCCTTGCAACTCATGAAGGAGCCAATGGTGCCAGCCTCCCGCCAGGAGAATCCGAGTATCTTCGCTGCGATTGTGCAGCCTGAAAACTTGCCGGAGAAGGACAGGGTCATAATGGCGATAGTGAATCCCCAGGTTATGCCTGGAATGCATGGGACCATTATATCTCCGTCACGCTTCTGGTCAGACAGTACGCACCGTCATTAAGCAGACCAAGGTTGGTGTTCAGACCTGACAGCGTGAAGTACTGCAGACGATGAAAACTCGATCTCCTGGGGGGTAAGATAAGGGGTGCCTACCAGTGGCAGAAAGATGATCTGAACCATGTCCTCGAGCTTTTCCGTAAGGGCGATACACAAACCGCCCTCACGAGGGATGATGAGGCCGACTAGGAAGGCGCCGAAGATTGCTTGAACCTGAAGTTATGTCAATAATCGCATAAAACTGGATCCTGAGAGCAACTACTTACGCCAATGACATCCGTGAAGAAGGCCGAACCAAACATAAGCAGGATAATGACGGTCATAAAGAACATAGTGGGGCCATTCTCTATAGAACCTGTCCTCCGCGCCAGCCAATACACGGCAGGCTTGACGGCTACGAACAGAACGATACCCCATGCGACGGTGATGAGCAGAATCCACAGGCATGTCAGCCCCGAGCCCGCATTGACCAGTGCCACGCTGAGAGCGAGGAGGGTCCATCCGACAATATCGTCAATGACGCCAGCGGAAAGCACAGTGACACCAACGTGAGTATCAAGGAGCTTCAGCTCGGTCAAGATACGACAGAGAACGGGGAAGGCAGTGATGGAGTATGCGACGCCCGTGAAGAGCATGAAGTTGGTGTATTTGACGGAGCTGCTGATGAAATGATGGTATAGCGGCACTGACAACGCAGCACCAAGGCCGAACGGTAGGGTGATGCCAGCCAGCGCGATGAAGGGCGCCTTCTTCATGTTGCGCTTGACGACAGACCAATCAATCTCGAGACCGACCAGGAAGAGGAACAGACATAGCCCGATGTTGGCGACGAGCGACAGGTATGGAGTAGCCACGGCCGGGAATATGTGTTGCGTGAAGCCAGGAATCCGACCAAAGGCAGTAGGCCCTACGGGGACGCTTGAGATCACGAAAATTGGCCGTCCATGTTCTGCACGCACCCAACAGAATACCTCCAATAACCTCTGCGATGACCTTCGGTTGTCTTATCCTCCGCAGGATTAACGCAAGGAGCTGAGTTATCATCATGATGACACCTGTTCCAGATTAGCACAGCGACGATCCTGCAATTGGCTGTAGACGCACCCAGCTGGATGATCCATGTCTTGAGAGGATCTGTCGTAGTGAATGCGCTCGGATCCTCGCCAGTCAATAATCCGCCCTGACCGGAGAAGTCAATTCGGACATCGCGAAGAGGATAGTGAACCGACGCTGCGCACCTGTTCAGTGGCGTCTCTCTTCCACTGCAGCGACCCCGCGAGGTGGAAGACACTGCTGGAGAGCCCGTCCATGATGGTTGAAGCCAAGGGGAGTCAACAAGAGGGCGGGCCGTTCCTTGTTTCATGGAGTACTAGTTTGTCTCCGCATCACAGCCCGCCGCTAAACTCGATGTGTTAATTCAAAACATCTAGGCGCTGATTGTCATTATGTCAACGACTGCGTGATATGGCGGAAGAGACAGTAGACAGCGCTGGGTCGTAGCCATCTTCAACAGCCTCGTTTCCGGATGGACGTAGCTAGAACGTGTGGTCATGAGCCTAAGGTTTGCTATAGTGTTGACTCGAGCTCGCGGGCCCATCGGTAGGCGGGCTTGGGCGGTGTAGGGATTCGGAAGCTACCCATATGCGGAAACCCGGGCTGATGCCGCAGAAACAGCGCGTGGATTCAACGTACTTATGATCAGAAAAACATGTCAGGATTGTGACCTATGTACCAGCGATGGACGGCAGGTTGTTGCTCATGCTTTCAGTCATCTCATGCTAGTAATATTCGCGAATTCAATATCGGCTAGTAAGATCGCAATCTCAGGCGTCTACTGTAGCAAATCTCAATGGATCTGGATTAGCGCTGACAAAGTGCACCCGTCCCGTCTGCGTCCCGTACCTCATCTTGCTCCCTGCCTTTCTACGCCTCTCATGCTTTTCTGTCCAAACTGCGCAAATTTGCTTGTCATATCTGCAGAAACGGGGTACAACAAATGGGCATGCAACACCTGTGCGTATGAGTTCCCGATAACTAAGCAAGTCCGTGACTCTGGCGGCGTTTGCGGCGGCGAACTCTGTGTGCTGACTTGGGCTGCCGTGCCTCGCAACAGATGACCTCGCGCACAAAAATGAAGCGCAAGGTGGTTGATGACGTTCTAGGAGGCGAGGAAATGTGGAAGCACGCTGACTCGACCGGTGGTACGTACGACCATCCCGCGGCGGCTCCTGCGCCTTATCCGACGGCCGTGGCTCACTCGCGACCAAACACGCACAGCGACGTGCCCCAAGTGCGACTTTGGCAGGGCGTACTTCTATCAGCTCCAGATCAGGTCCGCTGACGAACCCATGACGACGTGTACGTGCCCCTCCTCCGTCCCTTCCTCCGATATAGTTTATCGAAGCGATCGCGTCTGCTGTCTAGTCTATCGGTGCGTATTGGACATATTGTGCTACAAGATAAGAGGACTCATGCTTGACGTATCAGATGTGCCTCTTGTGGGAACAACTGGCGAGAAAACTAATGGCACGACCGCAATCGCCATGACCCGGCGTACGCGGGTACTCAGAACATCGGTATTGCCAGAACCCCCTTCCTCTACGCCATCTGGCTAAATGCATGTTTATAGCTTCTTCAATTCATCGCAGAACGCGCCGGTCTCGAATGGCAACCGAGACCAGCAAAAAGTCCGGGACAGTTACGTGAACGGGAAGGAGAGAAATAGGTATCTCCATAACCTATGACTGGGTCCACATCAGACCAGGGCCTAGTAGCGACTGCACCTGTATGCAATGCTCGCGTGCTGCCATGTGTCCACCGCGGCAGCGGCGAAACTTGTATTACCATGGGATCTCGTGGGAGGGCTACCGGTACGGTGTGTATTGAATGTCTCGTCGCGCATTGGTTATTCTGGACGGTCACCCGGGATATCTCATGTCTATGGAGCCGCGTCGCTCAAAGGCTCCGCCTAAGTGGGACTATCTTCACACACTCGCACGGATCTTCGGGGTGGAGAAGAGAGAAGACAACGAAGGTAGGACGGTTTATTCTGTCAAACAAGCTTAGTCGTTCTTGCGAAAAGAAGTTCCGTGATTATCCCAACCTTCCGGTGGTTCATGGTGACTGGTTAACATTCGTTACGTATTTGCAACGCGTGCAAAAACTTACCTTGTAGGTTGTCGGCGACTTGGTACAGATGTCCAGGATGAGGAAGGGACCGGGACCGAGGGGATGTCAATCTGATGTTCAGCCCGAATCGGTCACTTTACGTGCATTTCCCTCGGCAGTTCGATCTGAACGCGAGCCGTGCTGCGTTGTGCCTGGTAAGTCATTGAATTCCTCCTGAAATAATTGCGAAAACGTGGCTGAAATGACTGGCAGCGTCGACTTCGTGCGGATGATTGACATTTGCAGCCGCATTACAGGGCAGGTATGCAGCGGCAGCTGGCGACAGCGTGCGGCGCCGTACGTGGGCACTGATCCTCAAGGATGTGCTTTTGGTCCGTTATGCGCATCCGCGCATCAACTCATGGATTCATGCCCATTCATATTGAGTTTCGGTCTTCCATTTTCCCGGAGATGAGGGCTGGGTAGGAGCAGATCACTCTCACGCAGGCACTCTCCATGCAGTAATCGAACGACCGAATGAAGTCGGTGATCGGATCCTATGGGGTAAGCAAGGGGTTGGTGTTGTAACACAGATGGCGAGCGGCCTCCTCTTGCGCGCGAGCCCGTGGCGCGCGGTTGCTTGCTCGAACGTATGATTCATAAATCTCATCGTTCGCTATGACTCACCGTCCGGAACAGTGTTCTTTGCCGCCAAGCTTGCTTCAGTCGTCTATATTTTGCGTGATCGTCCACATATCGCGAACTCGTATACTCATTGCCGACTTTAGCGGACTATGTGTTCGCCTCCCGCCTTTCATGCCCGTAGTGAGTAGCAACTGTTTCTACGAGCAATTGACCACGTCACCGAACAATCCTGCGGCGCCGAAGTGATGTGTGGCCGGCGAGACAACTCGTCAGGGGAGTCCGGATCAACGATACGTATCACCACGTCGGCCAAATTCCAGTCATCTTCTCGTCCACATTCCGCCCCTGTCTGCAGCAGCGCTAGCGAGAGTTGTAGCTCAATGAAGGCGACGATTAATAGGATCGTCGAGGCGAGCGGCGCAAGTTCGTAGTACCGCAGGGCTGGGCGCCTGGGCGAGGTATTATTATAGGCGGGCGTTTTGCGGCTTTTGCCAGTGGGGAAGGGCGCCTAAGTGGATCAGAGCCAAGGCAGTTTGATTGTTGCCGCCACCGCCGCCACCGCCGCCTTGGCCACAGCTTTCGACCGTCTTCATCCCTTTTCTAGTCCCTCCACGTCTCTCCCCCACGCCCATGACCTGAGGCTCACGACCGTCTGCACGACGACTGACGACATCCGCCGCGTATCGTCTATCTATCGGTGCATCAAGCTCAATAAGGCTTGGCCAGCCACCGTGCTCCACTTCGCTTAAGAGTGGCTTAAAACCGTGCCAAATCAATTGGTCGACGCCCAGAGAAAGACGCTCTCTTGCTGACCTTGCCTCTCAACCACCATGGGTCAGTTCTCCGACGCCGTTATCGATGTAGCGGGGTCGTTTCGTCGAAAGAGGGAGGACACGGTATGTGGCTCGCTTCACCCTGCGTGCGCTTTATGTTCAACTCACCCTGCAGGGCGGTCTCCTCACTGGTGAAGATCCGAGTGTGTTCGTTGCCTCAGACCCTCTGAGAATGTTCATTATACAGCTCGGTAAGCGCTGCTAATAGCACATACTGGACCGTTGTTCATGTTCGGCAGGTGTGATCTTATTGCTCACCCAGCTACTGGGGTTGTTCTTGCGGAGGATCAAGCAGCCTAAGGTTATAGCAGAGGTGCTTGGTGGCATTCTACTTGGTATGTCACGCGCTTTCATTTATCTCAGTCAGTCTGACACCGTAAAGGGCCGACCGCGTTTGGTCGCATCCCGGGCTTCACGCAACATATCTTCCCCTCAAACGCGTCGTCATACCTCTCCCTGGTCGCAAACATCGGTCTTTGCCTCTTCTTGTTCCTCGTCGGAATGGAGATTGATGGCGCTATCGTCAAACGCAATTACAAGACCTCCACGGTCATCGCACTCGCGGGTATGGCCGTCCCGTTCGGTCTTGGTGCTGCGCTCTCGGTGCCGCTCTACCACACCTTCATCGCCAGCACCGTGAAGTACACGAACTTCATGCTGTTTACGGGTGTCGCCTACTCTATCACCGCGTTCCCCGTTCTATGCCGCATCCTCACCGAGTTGAAGCTCCTGGACACGAACGTCGGTATCATCGTGCTCTCCGCCGGAGTGGGTAATGATGTCGTCGGATGGATTCTCCTCGCACTCAGTGTGGCCCTCGTGAATGCCGGTTCCGGTCTGACGGCCCTGTGGATCCTGCTTGTTTGTCTCGCTTGGGCGCTGTTCCTTATGCTGGTGATGAGACATGTCATGTACTGGCTGGCACGGCGCACCGGCTCCATCGACAACGGTCCCACCGTGTTTTTCATGACTGTCACGTTCTTGGTCATGTTTGGCTCAGCGTTCTTCACGGACATCATTGGGGTAGGTTTCGACATAGTTGTTTCACCGCGCACTTTCTGAACTCAACCCTTTCTAGGTTCAAGCGATCTTTGGCGCGTTCTTGGCTGGTCTAATCATCCCTCGGGAAGGCGGACTGTGTATATCGCTCACCGAAAAGTTAGAAGATATGGTGCAGATTATCTTCTTGCCATTGGTGAGTTAAGCGCCGATGATGGCTAGATATATGCTAATCGTGCACAGTATTTCACGATCTCTGGTCTGAATACCAATCTTGGCCTGCTTAACGACGGTATGTTGATTTGTACCGGTTCGAAAAAGCCACTCACGGCACCACAGGCATTACGTGGGGTTACACCATTGCCATCATCGTCCTTTCGTTCAGTGGCAAGTTCGGCGGATGTGTGCTTGCGGCCAAGGCACTTCGCTTTTCATGGCGCGAGGCCGGCGCGATTGGTTCATTCATGAGCTGCAAGGGGTACGTTGTCCTCATGTCTGTGTTTCATATTCTAATGGCGGCCGTGATACTAGTCTGGTCGAGCTAATTGTCCTCAACGTTGGTCTCTCCTCGGGAATCCTCACGCAGCGGGTGTTCTCGATGTTCGTCCTCGAAGCGCTCGTGCTCACGTTCATGACGACGCCGCTGGTCAACAAATTCTACCCGCCCAGTATGCGCACCCGCGTCAGTCACGGCGGGCACCAAGTGGGGGTCAAGCCACCACCTTCGCCCACTGAGGTTGATGAGAATGTTTCGAGCGGCAGCTTGATGAAAGCCGAAACCACCCGGTCGACCCCGTCGGAGAAGTGGACAAGCAGCGGGGAGGAGCCGAAGACGCGCTTCACCGTTATCCTGGACAAGATCGAGCACGTCCCCGGCATGATGTCGCTCATGCAGCTGATCCAGCCGCCGTCGGCGACCTCGGAGGATGCTGACAAGGACAAACGCAAGAGTCTGAGGATGAAGCGCCCACAGCCGCTGCAGCGAGCAAGCAACGTGTCTGTCGATGCGCTCCGCCTGATCGAGCTCTCCGACCGGACGTCGGCCGTCATGCGTTCGTCCAACGCGGATACGCTGATCAACACCGACCCGCTGCTGAACATCTTCAGCACGTTCGGCGATCTCAGCGGCGTCTCGGTGTCTTCGTCGCTCGCGATCGTCACCTACGACGATCTCACGTCTAGCGTTGTAGAGCACGCGCAGCGGCACAGGTCTCAGTTGGTTCTCATACCATGGCTTCCCCCGCAGCACAGCACAGAGCACGGCGGCATGACGGTCACCTCAGGCGACGGGGCGGAGACAGCTCCGGCAAGCCCCAGGTTGGCGACCGCCTACATGTCCAATCCCTTCGAGACGCTGTTCCGTGGCTCGGGTTCCAACTCGAACCAGTCGCCCTCCGCGCTGCACTCGCACTTCGTCCGCAGCATCTTCGTGAGCGCGCAGACCGATGTTGCGCTGTACATCGACCGGCACCATCCCGGCGAGTCCAACTTGCCGATGTTGAACAGCCAGCAACACATCTTCATGCCGTTCTTTGGTGGTCCGGACGACCGTCTGGCGCTGGACTTCGTGGTGCAGCTGTGCGCGCACCCGAGGGTGACTGCGACGGTGGTGCGTGTGACACGGAAAGCGTTCGACGAGCTGGAGCACGTTGACTCGATGGGCAAGCCACAGGTCGCTCACCTGGGCGACGAGCGGCCGAACGAAGCAACGGTGCACACGGTACGTCACGTCTGAGGCTTTTTCCAGCGTAACCGACTTACCCGTTCTTCACAGACGACGGCGTTCCCAGACACGGTGTACGGTGCTCATACGACGCAGACCCGTATGCAATCCGAAACCGCGGACAATGTCACCTGGTCGCGGTACGCCTCCTATGAGCAGGACGACACCCCGCTGTCTACTGCCTTATCGCGCATCGAGTTCTCCGAGATCCGCACGCCGACACCGCTGCACACTGTGGTCGAGTACGCCACGAACATCACCAACTCTGCGAGCGAGCGCCGGTGCCGACCCATGATTGTCGTCGGCCGCTCGCGCCGTCTAGCTGTCGAGAACCACCACAGCGAGCTTAGAAAGCTCATGGAGGAGTACGGCAGCTTCGGCAGCGAGGTGAAGAAGACGGTGGGGGATGTGGCTGCGGCCCTCATGGCCACTGGCTGCAAGGCCAGCATCGTCGACCTCCAGGCAGCGAACGTTGCTCAGGATTAATGGTTGGGGTCCCTATAGCTGCATTTTTGATTAGTTGTCGCATCACGACCACTCACGATACCTGCATTTCTACCCGACTCCCATAATGACACACCTCGATCCTCACAGTTTCCGGGTCCATTGTCACGGCATACCCCTTTTAAACTGTCCATAGTCGGATTTAGTGTAGCACGCCATAGAGTGTGTACCATATCAATATAAAGAGCATGAAATGTGCGACGAGAGGGAGGGAAACAGCGGCATGAGGAACGAGTAGACAAACAGCGAGCAAGATACAGGGATGAGGACATATCGGGACAACGTCTCGGTACTACTCTTTGCTCTTCTTCTTCTTCTCCTTTTTCTCCTTCTTCTCCTTCTTCTCCGACTCTTCGCCCTGAACGTTTCATACGCGTGGTGAGTGAGATACCGCTAGCGAATCTGAAATACACGGCCGTACCTCGGCAGCCGCCTTCTCTTGCTTTTTCTTCTCCTTTTTCAGCGCCTTCTTCTCCTCCTTGGAGAGCTTCTGCTTCTTCGCCGGTGCCTCCGCCTCATCATCTACGTCCATATCGTCGTCGTCCCTGCTCTTCCGCTTCTTCTCCTTTTTCTTCTCCTTCTTTGGTGACGGCTCGATGAGCGGCAAGGCCGGCTCCTCGTCTGCCATCTCCTCGTCTTCGTCATCATCGAGGGCGAGCTGGTCGAGGACCTTGCGGATAGCGTCCGCGTTCTTCGACGGTGGAGCACCGGTCTCGAAGAAGCTGAGCCGCTCCTCAACCTGTTGCCTCAGGGCCTCGCCGAACATTGGAGAGGGTTTGTCTGTATGGACATGCGGCATTGCAAGGGGTGGGAAGATCGCCCGTGAGTAGGTGAGACGTCATCGAGGGAAAGGGCACGCACCAGAGTAGCAATCTATCCTCGATGCTATTGAGCACTTGTTCGCGAGGAACCGGGAGATGCGGCCCTTGTGTTTGGGGCCTGCGCGGCCAATGAAGGAGGAGTGGTAGATGAGGCCGTACTATCGACGGAACAACCGTTAGCCAGAAGCCCGTGTCAGGGGCGAGAGAGCCGTACCTTGGGTGTGTTACCCTTCGTCTTCAGCGCCCGGAACAGAGCCTTCTCTGCCCCCAGAATTTGGACGGTGCTCGCGGGGTACTTGCTCAGGTTCGTCAAGCTCCCCGCGTGGCTGATGAGCCGTGCTCCGATCCGCTCGCCCAGCAGCGCGGTCAGACTCGGCGCGACGACGTTCATCTTCTCCGAGAGGTAGGACTGGAGCGACTTGCGGTACTCTGCGATGGACACCACCCGCGTCGCGAACAGTTTGATGTTGAGCATGTCGATCTCCGAGAGGGTCGACCCCATGGAGCCGCGAGCCGCGTCCAGCACGTTCTGTGCGCGTGTCATGTCGTCGTCCAGGAGCGCAGCGAGGTCGGGCAGCTTCTCCTCATCCAACGACTCCTTCGCGCCGATGAATTGCGCGACCTTCGCGTACTGGTAGTTGTCTGGGACGATCCTGACCATTTCGGGGAAGTGGTAGCCGTACCATTCGCGGATACGCATGGAGAAGAGGTTCACGTCCTTGTCGAGCTGGTCGAGGAGGGCAATCGCCTGGATGATCATGTTGTCTATCCGGTTGACGTTGAACTTCAGCTTCGAGCGCGAGTACGAGTGACCCAGGCCGAGCTGGGCCTTGGTGAGATCGTCCGACTGCAGGCCCTTCAAGAGCTTTGTTGCGTGTTGCCGGATGCCGCGAATTATGTCTTTTGCGACCTCTGAGGCATCGCAATCGATGCTGAGAGTGGACTTTATGGAAGATGCAAGAATGGGGTCCCATACACCAAGGGTGACTGTCGACTTCTTCGACGGTTTCGAGAGGTTAAGCTCAAGGAGCGATTGCAGGTATTCGTTCAGGATGCCTGCATCGGCGTCGTTTGTGGTGCTCATGGATATAAAGCGACAAGGTACGTACCTTCCGACAAGTCATTCGCGTTCTCCAGAGCATGTGCAGCGCTCTTGAATGGCGAGAAACTGATCAACGAGACCATTTTGCCAAACTTCGCCAGGTCGTCAATCGAGTCCTGGACCGCCTTCGTCATGGCCCCCACATTCTCCTGGAGCTTGACCTCGAAGACCGCATAGCCAGAGGCAGATTCGAACAGAGCATGGGTAACCACCATGGCCAGCAGTCGTCGAGGGGGGATGCAACGTCGAGGACGACTCTGCAGTAGACTCTGGCTCGCCGCTCAGCCACCCGGGAGACACAGAAACTTTTGCCCTCGCGCACGTGATCAATAAACTCTAGATATTACTGTAAACGGAATTGGACTCGGCAATCGACTGCCTCCTTGTTAGTATTACTCTGTCCTGGTCCATAGGTCTCTGGTACGCTCGTCTCAAGGCCCAGTTCGCTAGACCCTTCGCGCTTCTTGGATTGTACTTCCGCATGGGGTTATGCCAGACTCATCTGAACCAAAACATTGGAACTGCAGCTGTATGATTGACTTGGCAAGATATCTCCTTCGTACTTATCTCCTTCGTACTGCCATGACGGCTGGCTGGTTTAGGTTGCTGCTTTCCTCAGTTTCTAAGCAGACGGTGCGGATGCAGAGGAAGTATTTGACTCCTGAGCCACCATCTGTCGAGACCGTTTGGGCGTTGCTTCAGAGTTCCAAGTGCTCGAGCTGATGCTAGACGCCTACTAAAGTTTTGGTGAGCTATTCTATCCTGACATCCACCGGAAGGCTGTTGCTCGGCCGCACAGAGTGGGAGTCCCATGCACCGATCTATATGTGTCTGTTGCCGGCGGGACACAACAGTATGCTTCCAGGCATGTAAATCTGAACAGGTACCTCTATTCAACGGACAACGTGACCTGCCAATCTACTCTGTGTCCCGTACTCGGGAGTCCTGGTACGTCCGCAGCTTAATGGAACGGTGATTTCTATGATTGTCAGAGGTAGGGAAGTAGTCACCCCGTCATCGGCCACAAATAGCAATGCTCGAGACCACTTCGTCCGTTGAACGCTCTCATTGCGCCGAGTCAACTGTGTAATGCATTTGTGGTCCCTGCAGGGACCACAAGCTCGGAGAATTTTGACCGACGTGTCCTGCGTCAGTGTCTGTTGTGGTTCGCAGGGTTCTGAGTCCAATGCAAGCTATACTAGTCATTGTAGTCCGAGGCCCTTCTATCCGGTCCGTCGGACTGGGCATAGCAGATGCGTTCGCTGCGCTCCGGGAGCATCATTACATCTATGCATACATTACCCCTTGATCCGCCCAGAATTGGACCAGCTACAGAATCCCAATGTCCGCCCGCGGATAGCTGGTATCGGAGGGAACGCCACTGTATTCAGAACCCTGGAGCTGACTTGTCAATGTGCGTGTCTCGGTGAATGAATTCGTAGGATGGCATTGCTAATGGCACAAGTGTGCCGCATCCAGCGCGTCGATCAGAGGCTATGACCCAACGGTGTTAGCTCAGGGTGCGCCCACACCGCTCGCACGGATGACAGCGTACCGCGACGGCGTCCTCCCACAGTGCATTGCGCACGACGTCCGCTAGACTGGATTTGCGCTGCCGAAACACTGTCGGCTGCCCCGACGCCCACTTGGTCCAGTCCGGGGCCTCGAGGCTATCACACCAGCCCTCGTATCTGTCTAAGACAATGCGGTGGCTCGCGTCCACGCTATGTGAAGCCCGTTGGTGTGCGGCGCCCGTCACGGTGAGATACAGGACGAATGTATCGGGATCGCTGAAGTCGGGGTTATCGTCGGGCGCCTGGAGGTTTGGTCAGATGGGGCACTGGCCTGCAGGCAGGATGGTTCGAGTCTGTTCGACTCACTTCGATCCGCTGCATCTGGAGTGTGCATTGCACCTCGTCTGGGGCGAGCGGGCAACCGGGGTCAATGCTACAGTCATCCGAGGTTACTGTGCTAGCGGCTATCCACCTGTCGACGGGACCCGGTAGACCCAGTCTTTCCCTGCGGTACTTCGCGCGCGCCTCTTCGTCAGATAGACGGTGTGGAAGTGACAGACGTGGTTTCACGCTCGATCTTTTCACCTTCGGCATTGCGTCGCAACAGTGGTGGTGGGAGGGGATACGATGACTCTGGCTCAGACGCATGGTCTTCTTTGAGGATTGTCGCGATGCACTGCTACGTCTATCGTAACTGATCTATTGAGGTAATCAGAGTAGGCATCATCGTTATCGCACCGATCCTAATATCCTAGAAGTAACAAACATTGCCTCAAGGCAACAGACCCGCACCGCTGAGGACTAGGATGGCAGGTCGGGAACGCCACCTGCCGTTTGTAGAGGATCTGCAACATCGGGCCCGATTCCCGCAGTACGGCAGTCCCATGTTCCTCGTGCGCCCGGGGCTTCATCTTGATAGAATCGCAAGCTTATTTCAAGTCGAGAGGGGGGCCTTCATGAGCGGAGGGACAGCTGGTCTGAATCTTGTCAGTGAAACAGAGTTGCACGGCGTGCCCAGTGTTGCCCTCGCGGACATCGGTAGCTACTCCTCACCTGCCTACTGCGGCGAGGTACATCACCCGGCAGCAAACGCATGTAGCCCCGGGCCACACTCCTACAGCAGTGTTTGCTCTTGCAGTCCTCGTCTCCTTGTCATGTGTATGGAATGAATGGTGTGATGGACGCCTCATGTGTTCCATGGTGTGGAAGATTGTGGAACGGGATCCGATAGCAGTTTGCAGCGTGCCCTACAATCGTTGTAGCAGCAAATGGTCAGGATTCCTCGCCGTCTGCGCTGCATACGAGCCCGACGGAGAGGCAGTGGCGGCAGCGGCGGGGACAGTCTGGGGTGGCGTCGAGTGGCGGAGGGGAGCGGAGGACCCACACGAACAAATAAGAGGAAACAGCGATGGGGACACGTGAGGGCCCGATGGATCTGCGGCCCGATATGGGCGACATTTAGACCGTCATGCCGCCTCGTGTCGGGGGTGAGGACAGCGGGACTCCCCCGCAATCGACCTTGCCTCAGTCCTCTCACCGTCCGGACTTCGCGCTGGTGAGGACCTCTCGGTCTTAATCTGCTCAGGGAGCTCGACTGCGAGGTCCTGATCCTCTGCGAGGAACGACCAAGGGCATTGCATGCTACGACCTGCACGACTAGGACCGTGTACGTGCGCCGCTCGTGTCCCCATACCGTTATCTGTCCGCGCTGCTGACCTTCATTCGCCCAGACTTGTCCACGACTCACCTTCCCTTACGCCCCTACCCCCTCCTCCCCTCCACTCGACAGGTGCACTCACCGCCGGCCCGATATGTTCAAGAAACTGCTGAAGGGCCTCGACTCGGCGCCTCCAACGCCCAAGATCGGCAGGATTGAGCTGCCCGAGGTGGGGGAGGGGGATGTATATTACTTTTCCAAGGCCGAAGGGTCAGCAATCGTGGACTGGTCTTCGGACAGCGAAGGCGCATCGCCGCGCTCACCCATCCTAGCCTGGCGTAGACCGTCTACGCCTCAACCAGAGGGTCCACTGAAGTCGCGACGCAAAGCCTCTACGCCTGTCCCAGAATCTCCGCTAAATCCACGACGCGGATCGTCATCGTCATCTTCATCCTATCATGTCGATGGCTGGAGGGCGCCGAGTAGGTCGTCGACACCCATGGCGGAGCCGAAGGGGCACGTCAGCAGGACATCGACCCCCCAACCGGGCTCCTCGAAGACTGCCCCGGGGCTCGCGTCGCCCGTACCCGTTAAGGCGGTGCGCAAAGGTATATTGAAACCTTGTAAGTTGAACGCGATCGAGTTCTCGTTCATCGCACGCACGTTCTCGGTGAAGACTCACCACGTGTGCTATAGCGTCGCCTCCGAAACCAGTCACCCTCCACTGGCAACTACTGCCATACGAAGCCGGGCGGTCGAAGAAGTTGCTTTACTTCAACGTCGCGTACCCGCCTGCCCTAATCCGTGATCATACGCGCATGCCGCCGATCTTGTTGCCCCAGTCGGAGATGGAGAAGCCCGCCGCGGAGATACCTCTGAGCGAGATGACCATACGCTGTTCACAGCTTCCACATTGGGATATCGTCGTGGCTCCCGCGGGCCCTGGTGGCGTAAGATGCGTCGACGTCTACCGCGCGATCTACGAGACCTTTCAGAAGGAGCTGTCCGAGACAGAGAGGGACCATTACATACCCTCTGGTCGTCGCCAACACTGCGAGGCGGCATGGCGCAAACGATGTAGGGAAGCGCCTGGGCTGCCCGAGGTTAACTTGAAGAAGGGGATGTGCCGCATCGATCTGCTCGAAGGACGGACGATATTCATGGGCCTCAGACGGCCGGTGCCGACGGATGACAAGCCGGATCGAGTTTGGGTGCTGGAGCTTGGGTTTCCGAAGGAGGAGCGCCGCTCAAGTCGTTGACGATATTTGCATGCCTACCGTATACGCGCCACCTGTCACGGTCAGTATCACAACCTTACCTCTGCAGCGCACTGTGCTGACGGCTCACCTATTCTGATGACCCTTGTCTAGGACTGGACTGGATCCTAATACCCACCCTGGATTGCAACACTCATTTTTCTTCGCATATCCCACCCACACTACTCTTGTCATCCAATATGTCGCACCCACACTCGCCCTGTGCACCCGTTCTCGCGTTCGACGCCACCCCCACTTCACCTCATCCTCATCGCATCGTGTAACACCACCATCTGTCAGAGCGGTCGCGCTGGCGTGAGACAACGCACGCTGCCGCTTACGGACCCCTGTATACTATGACCTACTTTTCGCATGTCCTAGGAGCACATGTTCATGCAATGATTTGTAGCCCACCCCTGTTCGCCTTCCAGCAGAGCTGCTCCATCAGATTTCGATAAAAGCGAACGACTCCTCGACTCTCATGTGAGGGTGCGTGGCTGCAAGCGAGTTCTCTAGAACAACTTGCCGTTAGCTGTAACGTACGCGAGACCATCGACACGACACCGGTGGGAGAGCAGGGCTGATGATCGTGGTGAATATCAGGGCGACGAAGTTGGCATCGCCGCATCTGCCACCGGCTAGCAGTCGGTGAGGTGGTGTCTGGGCCTTGCTGGCATGAGAGAGCGAGTCGCCACCGTCTCCTCGTGTTTGCAGGGTGTTTGGTCAGCCGATGCACTATGAGTGAGCATCCCAACAGCAAGGTCATGGACTGTGGTCGGTACTGCCTCACCACGGCCCACGGAGACGCATTGGCCAATGATTCTGCCTCAGCGGCACCGATTTCAGATAGCGCAAAGACCCCTCCACGGAAGGAAATGAAGCCCCAGGCCTACGACACCGGGAATCTGGGGAAGTACCCGCTTCGTTCCATTTCCGGTATGTACTAAGAAAAAGCCGGACGCTATACGTTGGACGTTCTGCCATTCGCATAGGCCTAGTCTGGGATCGCTCCGCACTTCACAGGCACCACAGAGCACCCCTGAATGACGGACGGCTACTCCTTAGCCGAGTGAGCAAGAATAGCGAGGACGACTTACTCCAGGAGGGTTCTGCAGCCTGGGCCAATCGAGTTGCTTTCGCGAGGAGCGTGTCGGTTTCGCCCCTTCATCTCCGTGAGCCAAGGCGGCATCTCTGGGGCGCCGTAGACCTTCGCGCGAGTCCGACGCTATTCGAGGCAATCGGATATGAAGCTTTCCGGAGCTGAATGCAGAACGCGAAGGGCTGGCCAATTCGCCGTAGAAGGTATGATGTCGCTACATGCGCAATATAACCATTCGTGAAGCTGAGTTTAATGTGAGGTTAACTGGATAGCTCCCGGGGCTGCTCCGCTACAGAGACAGACGAAGAGATTTGCGGACGAGTTGAACATGCACTGCATCGAGTCAGCCACAACTGTGATCAAAGGCGCGTCGTCTAGGTCACGACCACGTGGTGTGTGACAAACGCGTCCTTCGTCCGAGCCGCAGTGCCTGTACCAAGCCTGTACCGTGTACGTGGTACGCTGCTACACCGGAGCCTCGGGACGAAGATCCAATGCCCCAATGCCAATTCATCTCTGAAGTGATGACTGCAGGAGAGAATGCGGGATGTGATATACAAATGAGATGAGATTGCAAACTATAGTGATACAGGTAACGTATCTATGATGCCTAGCGCATTAGTGTCAATGAAATGTAGTGCGAGCGATCCGACGAGGGGTATGCGACGGCGAATGAAGAGGCTAGATAGAGAATTCTGCGCAGAGCGAGCGTCAGTACAATACGCACATACAGGAACGGGGCATACTCACAAGTTACATGCAAAGACATCAAGCAGAGGTGATACGCACCGCCTATGCGAGCGCGCACGCACCCTCGTCCCAGTCCGTTCGCGGGATGATGCCAACGGCCCTGCAGACGGGGCACGACACTTCGACCTCTTCACCCTCCTTCTCCTCCTTCTTGTCCTCTCCGCCCCAGCCCGCGACACGTTCCGCGCTCACGAGGCAGGATGGGTGGAACGTGTGCTCGCACACCTTCTCACCGTTGCCGCCTATCCGATTGATTGATATCTGGCGGATGGTCGATGGGTCGATGACGGGGAACGGATCCTCATCCATGGGGCCGAGACCGCAGCTCACGTCCCAGCACCGCAGGCCACGCTCACGCTCCTTGCGCTCGACACGCTGGCGCAGCGTCTGCCCGGGGGGAGCGGGCGGTGTCCAATGCTGCTTCTCTGGGGGACGACCGCGGCCCTGACTGCGTGATCCAGTCGAGGCTGCACTCGCTGGACGTTGCGGCGCAGCTCCAGCGGCCGCGTTTGCAGTCGCCTGAGGGGGATGCGGAGGGTGGACGCCGAACATGTTCTGCCATAGATTCGGGATGCCCCATGGACTGGGACCGCCCGCAGGTGGGTTCTGATCGTTCGGCGCAGGGGCATTGGACTGGGGAGCAGACGGCGGTGCTTGACCCTGAGGTTCTTGCGGCGCCTGCGGTGGAGGCTGCGGCGCGCCGCCGAAGAGACGCTGGAAGAGGTTACGTGTCGTCTGAGCGTCGAGCGGGATGTATGCAGGACCGGGACCGCCCGGACCGCCCATGACAGGGAAGAAGAGATTGAACTCGAAGGGGAGGTCCGGCGTAGGGCCCAGCCGTGGTGGCTGGCCCTGAGTCGCTTCGGGGGAAGCGGCCTGAGGGGCGTTCGACATTGGCTGAGGAGGAGGCGCAACGCCAGGAGCGGACTGCGCCTGTGCTGGGGCTTGTGGCGGTTGTGCACCAACCGGCGCCTGCGCCGGACCATGCGTAGGTTGGGCTCGTTGCCTGCGAGGCGGCGGGACGTACGTCAGGGATTCGGGATCGATGTCGAAGCGACATGAAGGACAAGTCGTGCGATGCGGCTTCGTGAACCAAGGGAGCAGGCATGACGTGTGGAAGACGTGTGAGCAAGGGAGCGCTACAATCCTAGGAAGATCCTTCTTCGTAGGGGATGGCGCCTCCGTCGGGGCGGCGGAGGCCGGCGTTGTGTGTTCATCAACGTCCATCCTCGCGTTCGCGTCTGCACCGTTACCGGCAGGCTCTTCAGCGTCGAAGCCACCACCTTCCGAGCTGAGCTTCTCCCAGCAAATGGAGCATAACGAGTCACCCTCGTCGCCACTGACCCTCTCGATGCGAGCTACGAAGCCCTCCGGCACCTCCTCCAATCCGCGCATCAACTTCTCGGCTCGTTTGGGATCGTCGACTTCCTCTTCGCGCGGAGGCCCAAAGGGGAAGAAGGGCATAAAGAAGGGTTCCGCACCCGGAGCGAGAGGGAAGAACTGCGGCGGCAAGCCGGCCATATGCGGAACACCATTGGGTTCAGCGTGCGCTCCAGCGCTCGCTCCCGGAGTAACCGGTATATGGAAGGTGAAGTTGAACATCGGCAGGGGAGGGTGACGATGGTGGTGATGCGGATTCTGTTCTTGAGCCGGGGCCTCTCCTTGCGAGCCGTGCTCAGGAGGGTCCAAGCCGGGGCCAGGGAAAATGTCGAATGAGTAGACGAGTCGGCTGTACGGCGGCGGCGGTGGCATGTTCGGAGGGTCCTGGTTCTGCTGAGGGCTGCCTCCAGGTGTTGCTGGCCGAGCCTGCTGAGCGTCGGCGTCGTCGGACCCGTCAGGAGAGCTCATGCGTTGACGATTCGTCTCGCGCAAGTCCTCTTCATCAATCTCGTCATCAACGCGCGCACGGCGTGAGCCTGCCTGCGGCGAAAAGTGGAGGTGTGCAGGGAATACATGGGACGGCTCTGCGTCATGCATCTGGAAGTCAGCATCCGCATCCGACACCGTATATAGAGACGGCATAGAGCCGACCGACTCGGCGTCTGGGGAGCGCCCCCTATGTGAAGGGCCCTCTGCAGACGATGCTGTTGAGTGGACGGTCGCATCCTGATTCTGAATTGCGGAATCAGGCGTCGGAGGAGAGGACAAAGACAGGTCTCCTACAGATCGTGCGACATCCTCTATGGGTTGCTCCTCGCTCTCTGAGGAGCTTCCGTGCGATAAAGGGTCGTCAGGTATCGGCTCCAAGGGCGGCATGTCTGCCAGGTCCGGGTCGTCAAGCGGAAGGTTCGGCTCGCGAGGAGGTTCGTGGTGGTTGGTGAAACCACGGACAAAGTTGTGGATAGCGTGCCCAATCTGAGGGTTAGAATCCAGCAGGTGTTGCAGGAGACCGCCAACTGAGTGTTGGTTGTCCATGATGAAGGAGCGCAAGAGACTAGACAAGGGTATATGTAGAAAGGCTAGCGTAGATGGTGGTGGTTGTCGTCAAAGAGTGGTGGAAGGCCGCTGCCCCAGCGGTGTATTAAGCACCGCACATCCGGCACTGCTGGTGGTCACTAGAACATTCGCTCTCGTTTGGGCAAGCCCGCGCCCCATCTGTGTCTATATCCGGCAAGCCCGAGGCTGACTCAGCCTTGCTTCCTACTGCACTTCCAAATCCGTAGCAGGTCGAACCTACGTCACATGTAGGGCTAGACACTATACGCACTCGGCCGCTGCTCTACAAACCCGACCTCTCCGTCGCCTACATGTGTTAGAGGCTCTGGACGTGCGTTGTGTGATTGCCGCCCCCAAATTGTAAAGGCGGAACTCCGGGTCGAGGATCATTATAATCCAGTCATCAAACGGTCTGACTCAAGCGGATATTTCTGGCAGTATGACGAACCAGGAGGAACTTCACAATTTGTATTCACTCCTCGCGATTACCCTTACCCATACAGCACGCTGGTTGCGTCCTCACACTCTCTATTGCTCACCGCTGAGGGCAGGGTCTAGGCGAAGATCATTTTGTTCGCGGATGAATGTGTCGTGTGCGGGTGCTCTCAGGCTGGTAATGAATTAATGACCATGTGCACAAATCCACAGTACCGTGTCGTCACCATCGGGGCCAGCTGGGCGGCCGGGACTCGGAAAGCGTGTCCAGATCTATACGAAGGTGTGTACTATCTTACCGATACGATACTCAGTGCTGCCTTCCATCGCAACCATTGGTCGGTAGCGTGTATGCTGCTATGCATATGTTGAAGGTCCTCGGTTTGCAGTGCAACGTCGCAACGCATACTAATGACCGACCGCGACTATCCTGGTCCAGCGTTGAGAAGCACCGATCTCAAAGTCAGAGCGCCGCTGGGCATGCCGCTGAACTTGCCCTCCGGTGACTCGTTCCACTGTCGATTCCTACGACGAACAAGTTTCAGCCCGAGTACGCCGCGACTGTTGCGTCGAAAGTCAGCTGCGGGAAACTACTGTTGCCGACTGGTGAGCCAATGTCGTGGGTCCTGACAGGGCTGTCGCCAGTCGAATTACCCACCTGACTCACAGCAATTGCTCTCTTTCAGCCGCCACGGCGCCGCTATTCGTCGCTCGCTCGGACAGCTCGATCGCATCAGGAAGCCATGCCAAGGGGTCGATCGTGGTTGCGTTCTGTTCTCGCCTGGTGAGACGCCGGTGGCAAGAGGGGTCGCTCTATCGCCCAACAATCTCCCCTGGTGAATCTTCCCGCCGGCTTGACTGAGCATCTGTCCGGGATGCGTTCGGAGGTCGATCGCATTCCGAATCGCGGATTCAAAGCGCTCCCGGATGCTTCTCTATCGATCGCAATCGTAGGATGCGCGATCATTGCGACTGTGGGTTCCATAATGTCAATCGAGATAGAGCGGCGACGGAATTGATGCTGCTACGCAATCACGATCACTCTACCGACCTCGTACGGGGATGGCCTGCCATTAATACAATGTTCGTATGTAGTGTACCATATAATAGAGTTCGAGCGCGGTCCGGGAGTCTGTTCTACTTCCCAAACGTCCGTGACAGCGGATGCCCTCTCGTTATGCTGCCTTGGCCTGGATATAGGACCGCGGGCGTTGAAGGTAGTTCCGAGCACTCGGCAAACCGAACTGTAAACAAGCGCCACGATGCGGTACGTCGGTTATGGGAACGTCTTGTAGACGTTAGGCGCAAGACATACCTGGATGACCGGATACAGGACAAGTACGCAGGCGCCAAATGTCCAAGCCCACTTCACTGCTGTCGGCAAAGGTGCCGGGAATTGACCCTGACTCCATTTTGTTATTGCCAGCAGCTCAGTTCCTATGGTAGCGAGTAAGAGCCAGACGTGCTGCCCCATGCGGACAGCTCTCCTGGTCAAGGGTAGAAGTGGCGCCGATGAGCGGAAGCAGTCCGTGAGCGGCGATCACTACATAGCATACGCACCTTGGGTCATTGACATACTGGTAGAGCTCTCTCACGGCTGGGAGCGCACAGAGGAATACGCCTGCCAGACGCGCAATTACAAATGGATGATCGGGCTCCATCCATAGAAGGGACTGCCAATGGTGTCAATCATTTAATGGGCCACAGAAATGAATCGCTATCAGGCCCTAGACAAACCTTGAGATAGAACGGATTGAGTTCTGCAGCAAGGAACACGGCGAGCAGCAAAACGACCGCAAAATAGTGTCCAAAGTCAGCTGTTCCCTCCCACTTGAACGTTGTCCAGTCGGCAGGAGAGAACTGGCTGAAGACACGCTTCGTCTTCGACCGCAAGCCGTGCGTCTGTTTCAGGCCACGCCATGTATAGTGCTAGCCACCGCGGTAAGGACGACGAGTGCAAAGGAAATTGAATAGAAAAACGTACCTTCACCTCGAAAATGTGGCAACTCTTCATCCCTAATCACGGGTGAGCGCTAGGAACCTCCTCGCTTTGCATCGCTGCTTCTCCACATACCGAGGTATATTCCCAGCCAATTGCAGATAAGCACGTCAAGGATCCACTGGGGCGCAGGTTAAACTTGGTGCTCGGCTGTCGCTGGAATCGAACTCACGTGGTCCCACCAGCACTGACGATCACTCAGCGATTCAGACCTTTAGAAGCAATCGAAGACACCCTACCTCAGCAAAGTTTGCCAATTGATGCTGAAGACTGTATTCAGCAAACTCGAAGGCGATGCTCAGAATCTATCCGAAGTCAGGGTCGTACAGAATCCAAGGATCAACATCGACCTTACCCAGCAGAACCAGTAATCGCGCAAGATTAGCGCTTTGCCAAACCAGCCGAGCGCATGCGCAAGGCAAAAGATATCGATAGCGTTCTACGGCGTTCGTCAGCACTCAGGAACCTGCTTATGCACCACCCGGCTTACCCAGACATTCTGTGGCGTTAAGTCACAGTTCTCCGCGTAACTCTTCTCAGGAAGGGGCCTCCCCAGACTAGGATCCAGGTACTTCATCATTGCCCTCGCCGAATCGAGGTCCTGGAATAGCAGGAACACCATAGCCAGTTCATAGAGCAAGTTGATACCTAAAACGACCCGCCAGAATGCTGTCGAATGATAACAATGATCAGTAAAACGGCGAAGCATGCGCCACCTCCTTCAGGGTACCTGGATGAGGACGAATAAACGGTCCGTCCCGGAACTGAATCATGGAGAACAGAAGGAACGAAGCAATTGCTGCATATGCACCGCTGATAGAAATAGGATGTGTCAGACAGTCGTCAAGGTGCGCGAACAGAACGAACACTCTTCGCTTGTCGCGCCCTTCCTCCAATACATCTTGGGTAGTCGCGACGTATGCCAAGACGCCCATCCCGGCGCCCAACGCGGTCAAAGTGATGGGCTTATAGAAGAACCTGAGAGAGGGCTCAATATGGAAATTCGGAGAGAGGAAGGACGTTTACTACTCTATGCTGGTATCATGCTTCTCCTGAAACGGAGTGATACGAGTGTACGGTTCCGTACGGTCGGCCTTGTAACGCACACAAAATTAGAGACGTCGCTCCGTATGCAGGATACCCAATGCTCACATCATACCCTGTATCCTCCTATCAGTGAACTTGGAACACGAACATGGATTGCGGGATACCTACAACGAACGGGCCGCCCGTCGAGTCCTGGTTTGGGTTCTGGCGCTTCCATGACGGGCGTGGCACCGTCGGAATCTTCCGCCGGCGCAGCAGCGGCCACAGAGGGCATCTGCACGGCCTTTTCGTTCGACATTGTTTCGAAAGGGCAGACCGCGACGCAATATTTGCTTGGCGCGTTCTCCCGGGAGTGGTGGTTCGATGCAAAGTGGCGGAGGCAGCAACGTTCGCCACGCCGATGACGCGCGCCAATAGCAACCGCCGTTGCCGCTTATGGCAGGTGTCGTCGTCGGTTGGTCGTCGGTGAACCGAACGTGTCCCCAGCTGCGGACGCAGCGCGCAAGTAATAGCAGACCTCTCGCATGGATTCCGTTGCTCGCTTGTGCAGTATCTGACGGCTAGAGTCTTTTTTGGCAATGCTTATCTTGAGCCTGAAGCCGAGAAGTCATGCACGGAACACCGTCAGCACAGTGAGCCTTAATCCGACTCCTGAAGTCAAGGTTCGGGGACTCAAACACTCATGATCAAACCATGATTTATGTTCGCCGTTAAAGAAGCGTCCGACACACTTCTAACCCGTTCGAGATTATTCCACAGTGTTTCATCGGCAATCGCGCTCAGGCTCCCCGTCGATGCCTGGCGGTGACTCTTTTGTTACTTCGCCGATCGCATGCCATGGCAGTATGCAGCGCAAGGTTTCAGGCAGGCCTGTGTCTATAGAGATCCTTCTATAGGTGCCGACGGCTACAATCGAAGGCCAGAGAAAATGGCTGTCGAATTGGCCTGGAATGACAGATACAACAACGAATCTTGATGCAAAGAAGTGTCGCTATGTCAGGCCCATCCATACACTCAACTGCTTGATAGAGATGCATAAGAATCCCTTGTGCCTGCAATGTTACTCAAGTCTCAAGCGAAGATGCTCGCGAAAGTGAGTGAAGCAGCATCCGAGATCACCGATAGCTGCAGTGCTAACAGGAGCGGGATAGTCCTTCAATCCGGTAGACAACGGGGGCCCCGAGGGAGAAAGCAGCACTGACGGTAGAAGCGAGGAATGTCCTGATCATCTCAGGCAGTGACACATCCACAAGCTATGTGTCTTCAGACATCGCTGCGTCCTTGACATCCGCGGCAATTCGCTCCGAACTGATCAGAAAACCGCGCAGGCCCTCGCGAAGAGCACGTCGGCGGCCACCCAGAAGTCGCTAGCCTACGTACGGGGGAGTACTTTCCAGTTCTCCGTGGGCGTCGCTCGGCACCTTTTTGACCAGGCATGGCGCAGCGATATCGTATCAGTAAGCACTGGCACCAGCGCTGGCGAAGTGAACCGACGTCTAATGACATCAGATAGTACCTGTCTATAATTGAAAAGAGTTTACATTGTGTGGTAACATGGGTCACAGATCACACTGGCCTGTCTCGCTCGAGCTGTGTTGAATGTCAAGTGAAGGAACGTACGCTGCGCGCCCCGCAGACGACTGCCGAATGCGAGTCCCCTGGACCTTCTATATTTATCTAGCCACAGCAAACCGGCGGTGCTAAAGAAGGTAACACAGCTGTAGTGACGCAGGGTCGGCTCTCGAGATACGTACCGTGAAGAGCAACCTAGGAAACGACGTGAAGTGACTTCAATCAGAATTCATCGTCGTGACTACGTCGATTGGCTGTAGTAGACCCCGGGCCAGTCGCTAGACAAAGTCAATCATATCGCTCAGTGATTGAGTCTCGGTACTTCACTCGCAGAGCGCGCGTTGGGACGGTGAGTCACCGGCCCCATTTTGAATCACGCACCATGCGGAGGTCGGGCTCAGCGGCAGGCCCCCCCGTTCCTCAGAAGTGAAGCTTCCAATGAGTGTGTAACATCTTCTGAGGTAATGCCCACTTACCATTCGGTCGCTCAGGCATCGCAGAACGTCCAGAAACCGAGTCTGAGTTAGTATTGTAGTTCAGAATCAATGATGGCGAGATAGAACGACGCCACCAAGCAAACAACGACAAATCGATGTTTTCGAAGTTGCAATTCAGCTCCAGCAGCATCACGGCACCCGACCCTTCTTCGCACCCAACGCACAACATCGATACGGCATCGGCTCAGGGACCTCATGGCCGGCGAGCCTACCTTGCGTGTGTCGCCATGTTGTCGCAGTCGCGTCCACGTACTCGTCGAGGAGCATTCCTCTGAGTCATCAAATCTTCACCCCGGCGCGCGCACGCTGATCTGAACCACATAATCTGTAGATTGATGGCTGTCGCCTCTCCCGCCCCTGTCAGCTCAGCTTCAGGGCAGCGCGTCAGAAACTCTGCATACACTTTGCCTGATCCGAACCGGTGGAGGCCGATGCCCACGCTCCTCCATGTCCCGTTCAATGGCGTCCCCAGAAAGCGAGTGGGGCTGCAATTTAACCCCATCTGTCGTCTCCAAACATGTGTCTGTTGTGAACGCCTGTCGCGCCCTGGTCGCGCCCATCAAATGCGAAAATCCGGGCAGACGATCGATGCTAACCAATAGGCTCATGGTGCACCATCCGGATCAGCGTTATGAAGGCTCTCCTTGCCAAACGCCCCAAGTTGGACTCCGGGAGGCCGACAGGCCTATCCGCAGGCGGCCGGTGAACAGCGAGACTTGGCAAGACACTAGTGGCAGTTGCCTTCTGTTGACGCTATGAGACACGCTGAGCATCACATCCACAGATCCTCGATTACATCGTCGCTGCACAGTCATGCTCACTAGGGCCCTGCAAGGTCTGGGCAAGCCGACATGTCCTCACCTGCAATACCCCGCCATTCTGTTACAATGGCAAATCACCGATTGGGCAGCGGTCTTTCTTGTCTTGTGTCCCGGCGCGTGAGCTCGAACGTCCGACGGGATCTCGGCATTGGCCCCCACTCAGCAGAGTCGGGGTTCAGGCCTCATGCACGAACTTTTCCGACACATCGCACATCGCAGTCATATTCTGCTCGGAAGGCTAGCGCGCCACCGATGTCGAGGATATGAAAGCAGTTTTGGCAATGATGACTGTTATCACGTACCAGCGGATGACTGTTGCCGCCGAGCCAATTCAACCCGCGCACGCGGAATTGGACTAGGAAGGATCCAGAGCTATATCGTATCCTCGAACAATGAGGTGAGAATATCTTCCTCTGCCACAATACACGATTATTGAAGCTCCACTTGAAAGCTTAAACCGTACGTCTCGATGCCTGGCGCTGCGACACCGAGTCGATCCCGAACGGAACTCTATGCTTCACGAATCATGAGGCTGCGGACGTCATTGGTGAGTGCACAGGTACGTACAAGACCCAGACGGCGATGGTCAATTGCGCCTTGCGTTCGTTGTACTCGGCACTCGGCGTCCTGGAACCAGTACATGTGACGTGTTGCAGCATCAGGATCGTTCCGTCAACCAGTTCCGGGAACGCCGTCGACCTGGGCATGCAAGGAACGTGGGACAGACATTGCATTGGCGGAGTACGTCTCACGCCCTTCGGAGATACTATCGATTTGGAAGGCGTTGGATTTGCCGCCTACATCTTCGTCGAAATCTCCGAATCAAGCTTTGTGTGCGCATCCCGACGGGGCATGTTCCGTTCCTCTTATGCCTATCCACTCACCAGGTGTAGTGTTTGCCCGGGAGATTGGGCCCTAACGATGGAACGCCGCTGAGTTCTGCGACGCTCCCTTTCGGGCTGGTGGGAGGAAGTCGAAGTCGCAAACCAGTGGACCCTACACGGTTCAGGCATCTGGTAGTCCAGATCCAAAAGGACGGATAGACTCAGCGCCAATTGGGCATTCGACCCGATCAGCATCCCGAGTCTCACGGCGCCCGTCCTAGTGGCTGTCCCTCCCTGTGGAACAGATTGTACGGATGTATCAGTGTGATCTCAGGGAACTGAACTGATACAGAGGGTTACAGGAGCCGAACTCGAGAGTGGTTACCGAATAGCGGGGAGAACCTGCTTCCTTGTTGGTACCTTTCTCGATAACGTACATTCCATGCATCACGGCATTCTCGATGGCAGCGGTTCGGTGGCCATGAATCTTATCTGCTTTTCACCGAATTCGCGGGACGGTTACTTCTCCGACTCGCACGTTATGTCACATCCCGCAAAGGCGCCTTCACTGTCCCGGGAAGTCCAGAAGTAGTCCAGGCCGGCCAGGGACGATACTTCAAAGTGTCCGACCCATTTCGGTGCGGCTTGTCTCCAGAACCTTGCACGATTCGCTGCATGTAGTCATTAAAAGGATTCCCTCGGAGCCACTATTGGCGTCTAGTCCATGGCGCCTGCGAGTACATAAGTACGTACGCATCAACCGTGTCGACCCTGACCATCTGCCAAATATGAGCCTCAGCACAGACTCGCACTCGCCACCCCTTCAGTTCAAGGGCGAGATCATGGACTTCGACTTGGGCATCGAGGTTGACCACCGCAAGAGGTGAGATTCACGTCTTACTTCCATGTTCTTGTACTCATCGTCGCCACTTCATCAGGCGACGGAACCGGACTACGCAGTCGTGCCTCAATTGTCATACTTCGAAGCGGAAGGTGAGATCATACCGTCGTGGTTCGACGCCGGGCTGCTAACACAGTTTGTCGACAGTGCGATCGCAAACGCCCGTGTCAGCGGTGCATTCAACTAGGACTGGTGAATCACTATGCCTGTGTAGAGGTGTTGCTCGCTAAACAACCATCAGACTGGATTATGCGTCTACGAGGTCGATGACCCAGCTTTAAGGTGAGTATCCTCCATGAGTCAGGGATGTGACCGACACTCAAACATATACCATAAGGGACGATCCGAATATCGACGAGACGACTCGTCTACGAAACAGAATCGCTGAACTGGAAAGCCTCGTTAGGGAACTACGTGGTACGTTGGCTGCTCTTCACGCGTTGGTTACACGATACCGACTATTTGCCAGGCAAACCCCACCCCCGCTGGGCAGAGCCCAACTATTGCGATGGCGACGCCAACGAGAAGTGGCACTCGAGGTCCAGCAAACGGAGCTTGACATTGCCGCACCTAAGAAGCGGAGACGGCCTAACTGTCGGTGCAACTTCCTCTGTCAAATCGGAGCAACCGGCCGACTTCTCCCGGCACCAACTCTATAGCCTAGGTTCAACGTCCCCTGGATCGCCAGACTCTCACGAAGCAGTATCCGCTTCGCAGGCATACTATCGTGGCTATGCCCAGCAGAACCCGCATGACGAGTCTGCAATGTACTATTCGTCGTCGTCGTCTAGCTCTCCCATGGGCTACGACAACGGGGATTTGCCGGCGCAGTCGAACGGGGACCACTACACACACCATTCATATACCAGGTCCTCGATGCAGACCGCCGAGGGCCAGGTCTCGTGCTCCTGCTTGACCAACCCCGCTTCCGTACCTCCCTTGATAGCGCTCACCTCCCAACTTCGCACTGCCTCGCAAATACTCAGGCAGCTACCGGAGCATCATGCGCACCATGATTGTCGCGTTCTCAGCAGGATCGTTGAGCTTGACGATATCATGCAGTGAGTCCATTCTGCCGCAGTCATACATCAGTCAACTAACCAAGCTATGCAGCGGAGGCGGCTCTAATTATATGGCTGACTCGACGTATGACACCGCAGTGCCATCGTCGGCTGATAGCGATATCATGTCGCCGACGTCGGCGTCGAGCCAATCCAGCTTGAACACGCCGTTGCAGGAATGGTCAACAATGGAGGCGCAGAACGCATACGAATACTACCCTGTCGCGACGGCAGACTACCAGAAAGCGTACCATCTTGCTACTTGATTCTTCTTGTTCTTTTTGTTTGCCTCAGGGGACTTGGTCGTCATATCTGGACATCACTGGCACCGTATCTGACCGTAGGGCGTGTATAATTTGGGTTAAACGTTGGGGACGATATCATGCACCTCATTTCTTGCGTAGCTTCGATCACTGGTACAATGTAGCGTATAGCGTCTTATAGACATCTAGCATGGATTTCCTTGGCAATTTCACACTTGATCGTCATTACTCTCCAGGTCTATTTGGAAGTGGAAGACGCGCTGGCCCTTGGCGTCCGCCTCCACAACATCCCCATGCGGATCCAGCATCCACGCGTCTCGCTCTACCAAGCAAACGCCCCCATCCTTTCTGACAAGCAATACGGTGGAAAGACGGGTGCCGTAGTACTCCTTGCGATCTGATGACTGAGGCACTTGGGTGAGGAAAGGGTCTACTCGGATTGTATTGCGGAGTGCGGCGCGGTCTACGGGTGCAGGATCACTTGTCCAACTTTCGGCACAACCCTCGCGGATGTTAGCAGAGCGTCGGAGTAATGAGTTGTATCATGCGGTACCCACGTCAGAAGTTCGAACAGCCGCTCCACGAGTTTGGATTCGCTGATGCCTTCTGTGGCGGTCTCGAGCACATCTTGCAGCGCTCGCGTGCCCTTCTTCACCTTTGGCCACTCGTTCGCGCCCGCACAATCAATACCATTGGACAGTCCTCCGCATCGCCTTTCGGCATCCGAGAGCCCGCGTGCGGTTACCCTGCCGCCCCCGCCAGAATTTGTCACGAATGCTGAGTCGAAGCACAATTTGCGCCCGCCTTCCGTGTGTTCTCTCCGAGGAGCAAGGAGGAGCAGATTGAACCCAGCGAACCTGCCGTTCTCAGCGAGGAGCTTATCGAGTTCATCGCGCAGTGTTGCTGTCGGCGTCTTCGGGAGTAGGAAGGACGACGCCAGCTCGCCCCGGCTAGATGCGTACTTCCCTGGGGGCTCCGTGATATTGGTCCTGTGGACCCTTTGAGTACTGTTCAGAGGATGAAACACACACGGCATACAGGAGCGCGACTCTTCCAGAGCGGTTCACGCCCGCCCAGGTCCCTCCGGCGAGCAAGTCTCTGCCAGATAAGACCTTCCCATCCGGGTCCTCAGCGCGGCCAACGGGCTCAAAGGAATGGAAATGTGCATTCGCCGTTGGCCGGGACAGGTACTCATCCCGATTGCTGCATAGGATTCTATACATGTCAGGGGTTGTCACTTTGGGGAAGCGACGATAGTGGCGCCGCTGACGCACAATGCATACGCAGGATGCTCCAAGGACCAGAACGCGACACACATGGCAGACCAGGCACCCAGTTACAGGGAGTCTTGATGAAGGGTCCCTGGAACACTGGCAGATCTGTCAGTGAGGAGTATCCTCAACCTGTGGTAGAATCGGGACCATGAGATCGCGGGGCCATGCGCTGAGCGGATTCTCGCGCCTACCTGGAAAAGGGGTAGCTTGCGAGATTGAGGTTCCGGATTCTCCACAAATAAGGGCCGAAGGCGAGCCGGTAACTGGAAATGAAGCTCAAGAAGCCGGATGGACAACACAAGTATCGAAGTCCACTGGCAAGGACACTCGGAGCTCTGCGGCGAATTGCTACTTGTAGCTACAATGATCATCTTAGCTTCAATAAAGAAGACACCGATCCCACTCACATTGAATGTCGTACGCAGAGGCTAACCGCAGCGCTGAGCCTTGGCTGAGCCTACTGGATTACACGTACTTGGTCCGAGTCAAATTGAATGCAACTTAACTCCGTCTTACGATGGATCCTGAACGGGACGGCCGGCCCGCGACCAAGGTTAGCAAGGTTCTGATCGTCCGACTTGTCCGACTCGGAGACGGACCTCAATTCAGAGGTGAGATCAGGCACCAAATGTTGTGCTCTGCGCTGGCCTTACATGTAAGCTATGTAGTGGACAAGCTGCCGAACGATGCTAGAGAGACGTATTCTGAAAGAAGGGCGAGAGTCTGAGTGACAATGTGTTGGGCCAAGATGTCGGGGCTCCAAAGCGGGAGTGGCCGATTCGAAAGCGATCTTACTGGCGTCTAGCGGCCTTGATGACCGTCCACCAAGCTCAGGACAGCTGTCCTCCCCTCGCGCCAGGCAGAGAAATCGTGTCGCAGCTGATACAGTCCTGCATATCAAGGCACCTGGCTTGCAACAGCGTGGTCTTTTGAATGCCGCGAGACTCGGACTCATAACCATGAAATCTTCCACGGTAATCATACTGGACAATGGTGCATCGACAATAAAGGCAGGTGTTGTCGGTGTACACAACACCGATCCAAGGTCAGTGGCCGGACTGTCCACGCCCGACCTTCTCACTCTCATCGTCGGCCACGCAGGGTCATCACAAACGCTATAGTGCGCTCGAAGGGGGATAAGGGTACCTACATTGGCCATGAACTGGATAAATGTCGCGATTTTTCTTCGCTACATTATCGCCTGCCTTTCGAGAAGGTGGGGTCCCTCCCTTGCACACCCGAACCATGGGCGAACAGGGCTCATGCTAAACAAACTGAAGTAGGGATACCTCACGGACTGGGATGCCGAAAAGGCGATATGGGATGGACTCTTCTCCCATGAGGTTCTCGCCGTCAGTGGCATTTTGAACACAAAGTATCATCCTATCTGACAAAGAGACCGCGCTATGACTAGGTCAATACGGCGGAGTCGTCGCTCCTGATCACCGAGCCTTATTTTAACCTCCCCAATATACAAGACGTGTATGACCAGTTCGTCTTCGAAGAGTACGACTTCCAATCATATTACCGCTGTGCACGTGAGTCACTTCTCGCAATTCGAACAGCGAAGCTGCCATTCAGACATGGCTTCTAGCCGCGTCTCTTATTCCGTATGGCAAACTATATGCGCGACCGGGACTACCTGCTCCGGACTGCATGCTCGTGGTAGATAGTGGCTTCAGTTTCACTCACGTTGTCCCCATTCTCAATGGGGAAATCGTATGGAACGCAGTCAAGCGGTGAGTGGATTTCTTCCCAGCCAGGTCCTTGTGGAATGATGCCATCCGTCAGCATCGATGTCGGGGGCAAGTTGCTCACGAACCAGCTGAAAGAGCTGGCGTCATTTCGCCAGTGGAACATGATGGACGAGACACACATTGTGAACAACATCAAAGAGAAGTGCTGTTACGTGTCCACTGACTTCACGCAAGACATGGAGACTTCCCAGTACGTCAAAGGCCGTGCCACCGATGCGATGACCTCTGAGCCCTTTCAGCCTGAATCCAAGAAGCAATTCCATCGTACAGGAGTATATCCTCCCGGATTTCTCACTGAACCGACCTGGGAGGATCCGTCGACGGGATGAACCGCTTGAAGGGCAAGCACAGGTGATGTACATGAACAACGAGAGGTTCACGGTACCGGAGATCATGTTCCGGCCAGATGACATCGGTGATTGGGTTCTCTCCTTATGTCCGGGAGACTCGGTCTGACTGACGGAACGCGCTGATCGGTAGGTCTGGAGCAGTCTGGCATCGCCTCCACGGTGGCACAAAGTGTCGCCCTTCTGCCCGAGGACCTGCAGGGAATGTTTTGGGCCCACATTGGTCTTATTGGTGGGAATGCCAAGTTTCCAGGGTTCCGCGAACGACTGTGAGCTCCTTCCGCTGTCAGGCGATTGCTACGTCTCATGATGCTGTACAGCGAGTCTGAACTGCGCGCACTAGCGCCTGTCGATTGTGAACCCGCCATCTACAGCTCCAAGGAGTACGTACATACGTCCGCCAGTGCCTTGCCTCATGTGTGTTGACCCGGTCGTTCTTAAGCCCAATACTGGAATCGTATCGGTCTGGAGTGGCCTTTGCGAAGAAACATGCGTTCACACAGCAAGCGGTGACTAGAGCGGAGTACCTAGAGATAGGCAGCAATGCTTCGAGAAGGAAATTCAGAGACTGGAAGCCGGCCTCTGTGGACGCGAGCAAGGAGCCTGAGCAAGCGAGCAGAAAGGGCCCTACGAGACCTCAGCGAGGCACAAGAGATAACAGCCCACCGCCTGCGAGAAAAACTTCAAAGGACAAAGGCAAGGGTCGCGCCACCACCCGGCGATAGGACCGACAATGTTCCTGGGATACATCTGTGATTTGCCCTCGTTTGTGGGCTGTCGCACTGCGGTCGAATGCTAGCAATGTTCTGATGTGGGTATCTATGGTATACTACAAAATTGCAATCGTACAATGACATAAAACCCGGTCTGTGGGCGTGCGTGGTATCCATCCGGTGCGTCGTACGTGACGCACCTCTACACACCAACCGTGGTACGAATCACGACCGTCCCTACACTCCAATCCCTGAGCAATATGCCCTTACTCAGGGTGTGCCATCCGCCGCTCATTCTACTGTGGCTGCCGGACGTTCATACTCGTCCGGATATTTGCAATGGAGGTAAAACCTGAGAAGTCGTGAGTCACTGCGAACACACCAAAGCACATTCGACTTACCGAGTAATCCAGCGTAACTCTTGTAGAAATCGCGCAGGATCGTGAGGCTCGGGCGACGCCATGCTGACGTCTCTCCAGACTCTCGCCGGGACGGGCTTCTCGGGAACGCAATACCGGCGGATCTGACGTATTATATCCGACCCTCTCAGTTTCCACTCTTTTAGGTCATGCTCGTCTCGGCGATGCAGCGTGTTGATATAGCACATTCCTTCGTGGCTGAGGTCGAGTCGTGAGTCCGAATCTTTATATTGAGTGACCAGGAGCTTCGTGCCAAAGACCGCGTGTTGTCTGCTCCCCTCGAACGGGGCGAACCAGGGATAGGCTTCAGGTTCGTATGCTGCGGGGTTCTTCCTGAACTTCTCGTCCCCCCCTAGGACCTCCATGGCTTTGCGCGCACGAGCAGTTTGTTTCGCGAGCGGGTCACGCTTGAAGAAGTAGGGTTTCACGTTGACATAACGCCGGTTGGAGTGGGGGTGCATTGGCCGCGTTTCTGACGAGAGATATCTCACTTCCACCTGCGTCTGGCCAGCCTCGACACGGTCTAGCGATTCCGGGTCGCCCACGAAGCCGACGTGGGTCCTCATTTGCATCTGGCAGCTTTCCAACCACGTCCGGCCGTATGACGCTTCGGGAAATTCCCTGGCCCAATAACTCGTGTCCAGCTGGTAGGCGACATACGTCGCCCGCTCCCACTTCGCGGGGGTCGTGTCTGTTAGCTCTTCGAAGGGCTCATCATCGGATAGCGGCGAGGCATGCCTGTTCGACGGACCTTCTCCCTTGGAAGAAGACGGGGACCGTGCTAGAGCGGGTGGCGGAGGGTGTGACGCGGAAGGGTGTCCTGCGCCGGGCGCCGTCGGGACGTCTGCAGGATGCCTGGGCGGAATCAATGGATTGGAACGCCGGGCCCTTTTGGGTTTACGGTCAGGTATGAAGGGTGGGGAGTCCGGTGGTACCGCAAGAGGATGTTGTACCGGACTGGGCGGTCGCTCGTGGGTCAGGTGCGAGCGGCGGGCCCTTTTCCCCGCAGGCATGGGGCCGGGAGTCGTGTCCTTGGGAGCATTCTTGCGTTTACGACCTCGCGAAGTGCTCGAAGATGGTCCGGCTACCTCAGTCTGTGCGCTCGACGGCTCTGGGATGTCATACGCTTGATACGCGGTGTGAGGTTGATCATTGTACGCCGGTTTGGGTGCGCCAGAGGGAGGAAAGCGAGCTGCGTCAGGGTTGAACGGGGGATCGGGGACGACGATGGTGCGTGGAGTTGGTGGCTGTTCTGAAGTGAAGTGATCGAGTCGTGTCGCGTCTCCGCCCATATAACCAACCTGTGCCTAGACACCGTTGGATTGATACGTTAGTCTATGCTCAGCGGAAGGAACCTGCATAACGTACTCGATGTCCAGTAGCGCTTCCATCGACAGCGTGATGATGAAGATTGAACTCCTGCTCGCGTTCCTGCCGCGCGCGTGGCCAGAAGGAAATCCCACGCTCTCTCATGTACCGTTGAGCATGAATGTCGCGGGGGGCCGGAAGAGGAGTAGGGTTTCTTCCGGTAGCCGAGTGAGCTCGAGGGAGTGGCGCAGTCGATGCGTCGGCCAGCAGCATACCATGCTGACCGACAGACCCAGTAGAGTGCGCGCGAGGCAACGACGGATGAGGGATCTGCAGGTAGTGAGTTCCGGATGGTGCATGTACAATGGGTGCTCGGTCCGGATGCGGCACAGCCAGGTGGGGAACGGGGTGTGGAGCGACGCTGTCGTGAGTGGTGACTGGAACTCCGTTGTCCACCCGTGGCGATACCCGTCGCTTGGGAGCTCTCTTCTGTGGCCGTATGTTGGTATCTGAGGGCTGCGGTGGGAGTGGTGGCGTAGCCGGTTTGGTGTGTGCGACCTTGCGGCGTTTACCTGCTCTCACATGCTCTTCCGTATCATCATCGCGCGGATACGAGCGTGCAATGGGGTATGCGGGGGCAGCAAGATAAGATGAGGAAGGTCCTGCTGAAGGCGCGTGAACGTCTGCAGACAGCAGATGTGGCGCAGCGCTGGGTCCCGAATGGTACAGTGAGATCGAAGAACCGGCGACGGATGTGCTAGGGAGACTTGTGTCGAGGGGAGAGATGGTAGTGGACGCAGTGCCGATGCCAGGAACTTCGGAGCCAAAATCGTGTTGAGTGGCGTTGGCAGTGGCGGGTGGTGCTAGGGAAGGCAGCGCAACGTTGCTGGGTCCGCCGGTGAACGTATCGAAGTCCTCCAAACTGTATACCACATCGGAGGTCGTGAATCCTTCGTATATCGACGATTCCGAGCGCTTAGGCGACTCATGGAAGTGCGACGGAGCAAGTGGCGTGGGCACAGCGCGGCCGGAGGACGCGTGCGTGTATGTATCGCGCACGGATGGATTGACATAGACCGGGGGTGGGTATGGCGGAGGTTTCGCAACGTTATCGTCTTGTGGGTGAGGAGCCAGTACGTGTGCATCCGTCGACCAGGTTGGAAGGGGCACATGAAGGCCGCCGGCGAAGGGTTGACTGTCCCAATCTAGAAGGGGTCCAGACAACATATATTCGATGAAGTTGTGGTCGAATTTCCCGTCGCCATCGGTCATAGTGAGCACGACGTGGTGTGAGTACGGGAAAGGTCGGTGAGGATAAGAAACGCATGGCTTCACGAACTGTCCGCATTATGTAGCATGCGGAAAGGTCAAAGCGGTGATGCTGTATGTGGGTCCTAGCAGCGCTTTGACGACCGCAGTACAAGACGCAGGGCGTTGACAACAAAGCGATCACGATCGTCCAGACTGATCATCAATGGCACGAGGCTCAAAGCACTGTTAGAACAATATTGTACAATTAAACACAAAGACTCGAGTGGAACAATAGTCGTACCGAACGCCGGGCGCCTAACGCATAGAAACCTACAAGCCTACGCCACAGCTTCTTGCTCCATACGTCTCCGTTTACGCGCCTGCTCCTCGAAGATCAACCTCTCCGCTGTAGTCATCGGCGCCTCCCTCTTCTTGCTATTGGTCTTTTCGGTATTTGCCGATGCTGAGCCGGTCGCCGAGGACGCAGCTGCCGCTTTGAACACATTTGGCCGCTTCAAAGGGTTGACGGCAGGCTTGAGCGGATTCGTGGATGGCTTCAGGGGGTTGATCTTCAACCCCCCTGAAGGCCCTGTAGTCGAAGTAGAGGCAGCTGTGGCCTTCGGTGCCAAGGACAAGACAACCTTCTCCGTGCTTTCATCACGTTTGAGCCCCTCTTCTACGAGTGGAGGCGAGGACTCTGACGGAGCCGATACTGCCGCGCGTTCGATCTGCTCGCTGAGAAGCATCCGTTCGCGCTGCTCATCGGACATAGTCATGCGCTCCTTCTTGAGTGATGCCTCCTGTAAAGGCAGAGTCGATGAGTACCGTACCAAACCAAATGGCTCAACTAACGTACCTGTTTAGCCAATGCCTTCGGGCTATTGTCAATCCATGCAATGAACCAGCCCTTCTCCGTCTCATCTACCCTCGCAACTCCTGTGCGGCCAAGATGCTTGACGAACTCCGTCAACGTGACCCATCGTGTCGCATTCATGTGGAGGTGACCTTTGTCCTGAATGACCTCCTGGTAGACGGTGTTGGCCTTGACACGCTTCGTTCCGAAGCGGCGAGACAGTAGTTGTACGAAGTCGTACTGGAACTGGGATGAGAAGTCGGCAATGTGCCGTCCGGCGCTCTCGCCCACGACGAGCATCTGCCGTAGATGTGACTCCGATTGAGCGTGACATTTGAAGCCGTTCTCGTCGCGACATTGCTTCTGGCACACTTGGCAGTACCAGCGCAACCGCTGAAGCCCTTTGGACTTCATCTTGTTGGCCAGGTACTTTGGCGTGCCGACTATAGAAATAGGTTATCAGTTGCCCATAAGCAGCCGCCGCAGCTCCTACGTACCTTCTGCGCGAGGCATGTTGCTGGATCTCTGCGGGTATGCGGGTCGAAGACGTTGGTGAGGGTACGGGCTGAAGCCTGCTGAAGCCAAGTGCTGACAATGACCCGGGCCACAGCATTTCAGCGGAGTTCCCTTACCTAGCCCCGAGGCGTGAGCAATAAGCGCGGAGTCTGAATCTCGCTGTGGAGATTAGTAGCGTCCGATCTGTCCGTCACCTTCTCAGCCACCGCGACTCGCTTAAGTAGCCTAACACTGCCAGTGCATCCCCGTCGTGCTGTCTCCACACCTCGCCAGAAGTCCCTCATTATGCTGAGCGAGAAAGCCCAAGGAAAGCAGCGAGCTGATGTGCCCGAATCCGGCCCAAGTCAAGAAACGCCGCCTCCCAAGGATTTGGTCATTCGGTTTACCGAAGGGCTTCCTGACTTAACACTGCGGGTCGTAGAGACCGATGTTATTCGGGATATCAAGCGGAAGGTACGTTGCAGAGGAAGGCGCCCCTGCAATGAATGGCAATGACATTCTGGTGATATAGATTCGAGACGCTAGACCGCAACTGGAGAGGCGTCGTCTGAAGCTTATTCTGTCTGGCCAGCTCCTCGCGGAAGCGACCCCGCTTTATCCTCGTCTCACATCCCTGGAACAGCGTCAGCGTCGCGCAGTATCGGGGGATGCTCCCAGCGAAGAGAAAGAGCAGGGCCCCAGTACCACATGGTTACATTGTTCCGTCGGCCCACCTCTGACGGATGGCGAGGAAGAAGAGACCGAAGTACAGGTACGTAGCGAAGGTTGTTCATGTATGGTCAAATGCGGTCGCTTATCATGCAATAGACGGCGCAGCTGAAGCCCCTGCGGGGATTTGACAGGCTGGCTGCAGCCGGCTTTTCCGAACAGGATGTTGCGAACATTCGGCTGCAGTTTCATGCCCATTCTGCCGGCGACTACCTGGATCAGGACTTCGAGAGCGATGAGGACTGTGAGTTACTCCCCCGATGTCTGCCAGCTGCCTTCTTTCGCTGATGATCGCATGGAGTTGAGGAGCACGCGCGCGCTCTTGAAGAGCAATGGATTGACTCCTTCGATAACGGCGGAGGAGCGTCACTGTCCTCCCCATCTTCGCGCGCGTCTCACACGTTCCTAAACGGTATCGTCGTGGGCTTTTTCTTCCCTCTCATACCGCTGTTCTTCATCCGTGCGCCCAAGCCTGCGGTATTCTGGGATGACGGTAGCGAGCACGAAGCGACCAGCAGTGCTATTTTCTCGTAAGTTACCGTCCATACATTGACTAATCTTCGCGGCCAACTGACTACTGTGTTCATGCGCGTTCTTCGCGTGTATGTGACGTGCAGGCGGCGTACGCAAATCGGGATCATTGTTGGCTTTCTCTTGAATGTAATATTTGGGATGTGGACTTATCTGCTGACCTCCCCTTGAATACTTCCCTACGCTGTACATGGCCTACCTTCGCCTCTGGCGCGAAATGTATTTCTAGGCTAGCTTCCATCATTTTAGCGATACCCTGGACCACACCGTAATACATGACACCGTGTCTTTACGTCTAATTGCTGGGCGAAGTTGGGGTGAAGGCACTTATGATTGGAGATGGAGTGAATCGTCCAAGGCGCCTCTCTATATTTGCTTACAGTTTCACAGAAGGGCTGGCCAATTAAGTTTGAATCAGGCGATGAGGCGGGAGGTGGCTCAGGCGGAGACGCGCGACGCGCGACGCGTCCTACAACGCGGTGTGACACGGCGCGTACACGCGCTGAGCGGAAAATTTGTGCTTTGTTCATCTCGGCCACTCGCCGTCGACCACACCCAAACATCCCTTGCTCTCCTCTTTCACTCGTATACCCGCGTTTCTCATACCCGCATCCCGTCTGTGATTACAACTCAAAAAAGTCCATTCCCGCAAAGATGGACCTCCAAACCCTCTCGAATCTCTTCGCGAGCACTTACAGTCCTGACCCTAATGTTCAAAAATCCGGAGAACTGCAGATCCGCAAGGTACGGACGACGTATACCGAGCCTTTCACCACCGGAAATGAATCCGTTCTACGCAGATCGGTGGCCAGGAGGGCATGGTCACGGCCATCCTGCAGATCATCGGAAGCGATAACGTGGAGATGTGCGTCCCCGACGCGTTCTCCCTCCTGAAAATGTGCTAATGCGTCACATCGAAGTGCGACGAAGCAGGCTGCAGTAGTCTACTTGAAGAACCGGGTCTACACGTCCTACTTTGTTGAGCCCTCGCATCCACGCCCTGACCAAGCCCCGATCGCGCCCTCCGACCGCAATGCCCTCAAGGCGTCCCTCCTACCCCTTCTGGCTTCCTCGCAATCGAGCCTGGTCACTGTTCAGCTGGCGAACACCCTCAAAAACATCGTCGCACGCGACTTCCCGGACAACTGGCCCGATCTGCTCGATAATGTCAAGCGTATGCTCGGAAGCAGCAACGTGCGCGAAGTTGGTGCCGGCTGTGTGGCCGCTCTGGAGATGGTTCGGGCATTCCGGTGAGTGTGTTATTCTGTTGGGACATCATCGGGGCGCGTATGCCACTGGAAATTCGAACCTGCCACTACCTGAGTGGCTGCCTCCCACCTCCGGTGATGTAACCTGCGTAATGCTGTCTGCGTATTACCATGTGCACGTCACCCCGTCAGTTCTAGCGCCTTGAGAGGAACGCTCACCCCTCGAGGTTGGCGCGGCTGGACCGAAAGACCGCCTGCATCGTGGACAGGCTGAATCACACACTGCGGCGTCTTGACTCGTGTATCTGCCGGGCATGCAAGTACTCGTGCCGTGCGGAGGCAATCAGTGGCTTCAGCCTATTATCAATACATTGCACTCCGTCACACGGGGCACTTCGTAGGCGTCCCAAGGCTCTTGCATCCGCCACTTTCCAGCAACTCTGGGAGATGCTGCAATCCCAGTGCCATTATAGGACGAACTGACGCTAGTCAATACGTGAACCCCGACAGTGTTCCTTCCGACTGTTCATCTTGATCAGTCACGGATGTATTGACCAACTCCGCGCGTAGGTTCCGCCAGAACAATGACATTCTCCCGAAGCTCGTCGTGGAATTGTTCCCCACGCTAGTCAACATTGCGAGCGGCCTGCTGTCGACGCCACCCGCAAACGCGTCGACGGAGATTCCGTTCATGTTGCACATGATATTGAAGACGTACAAGACGTCGATCGTGCTGTCACTCAGCCCCCATCAGCAGAGTGCGGAGAGCATCGTGCCATGGGGTCGGTTGCTGTTCCAGGTAGTCAACCTGCAGATTCCGAAGGGCGCAGTACCGGAGGACGAGGAAGACCGTGAACGGAGTGAGTGGTGGAAGGCCAAGAAATGGGCGTACGGCATTCTCGGACGGCTCTTCCACCGCTACGGAAACCCGTCTCAGCTCCCGAGCTCGATGCAGAAGGAGTACAGCGCGTTCGCACATCACTTCGTGACGACGTTCGCACCTGAGATCTTCAAGGTCTACCTGCAACAGATCCAGCTGTACGTCTCCGGCCAGTCTTGGCTTTCGAAGAAGTGCCAGTACCAGATCTTCACGTTCTTCAATGAGTGGTATGTTTCGCCCACCTGTGACATCTAGGACCTTCATTCACGATGTGACATTGCAGCGTTAAGCCGAAGTCGACATGGCAGATGCTGAAGCCCCACTTTGAGGAGCTAGTTACCTCTTATGTTTTCCCTCAGCTGTCCTTCACTCCCGACAGACAAGAGCAATGGAACACCGATCCTGTGGAATACACTCGCAATGTCATTGGTATGCCCTGCCCATCTTGCAGGTATATTGTACCCGCTAACGTCGTCGCAGATGAATATGAAAACTTCAACAGCCCCGTCTCCGCTGCCACCTCCTTCTTGTTTTCCCTTGCAAGCAACCGTACCAAGTCGACCTTCTTGCCCATCTTGGCCTTCATCAACCGAGTGCTACAATCGTATGTCTGAGTCCTACTCATGGGCGAGCTATCGGAGATTTGACAATATTGTAGGAAGCCCGCCTCACCACAGCGCTTCGGTGCGCTGAACATGACCGCGGCTCTGGGTCCATTCATCATGAGGCACCCCGACGTCAAGGGCAATATGGAGCAGTTCGTTACCCAACACGTCCTGCCTGAATTCACGAGCTCCGAGGCCTACATGAGGGCTATTGTAAGTGCTCCTACACGCAAGTGGTCCTTTGCCTGACAAACGCACTGTTAGGCTTGCGAAGTTCTCGGCACTGTCGAGAAGAACGGTATGAAGTGGTCGAGCGAGGAGGTACTGCTCTCCCTTCCCATTCGCCTGTGCCTCTTCTAATGGTCGTGCAGCTTCTTGGCCAACACTTCACCGCAGTATCGGCGTGTCTGGATGATCTCGAATTGCCTGTACGCGTTCAGGCGTGCATGTCGCTCACCGAGATGATTATAGTCCACCCGACGGGTATGTTAATCGTCTTGCTGAAGTTTGGGTGTTTAAACAACTCACTTCGTACACAGTCAAGACCGCTGTTGCGCCACAAGTCGGCAAGGTTATTCAGAGTAAGTCCTACACTGCGCATCTAGTCTCTGACTGTTCCACCGATGCCATGGTCTCGTAGCCCTCCTCAGGTTGTCGGAAGAGACAGATCTGGATGTGTTGAACTCGTGCATGGAGGCTATGGTGGAGCAATACCACCAAGAGCTCCTTCCAGTCGCAGCCGAGCTGACTGCCCGTCTCGTACGTGTCCACGAACATGTCTATCGAGTCCCACAATTGACGCTGCCTGCCAGTGTGAAACCTACTCTCGCTTGGCGAAGGAGGCGCAGGCCCTGGATGAGACTGACGCCAGCAACGTCGACATGGACGCGATCATGGAGAACGATGCCGGCGAAGACAAGACCTTCATGGCCATGGGCGTCGCCAAGACCATTGGTACTGTAAGTGTGTCTGTTCCTCACGTCGATACCATCGTCTCACTTAGCCTCCAGATCATCAGCTCAGTGGACTCGTCCCCGGAGATCCTCGCACAGATCCAGGAGATCATCATTCCCATCGTCGTCCAGACTTTGGAGAATAAATTCCTCGGTAAGCAACTTGTCGACGATAGTGTGCTGGGCAAGATTCTGATACATATTCATCACAGATCTCTTCGACAATATGTATGACCTCGTCGATAGCTTGACTTTCAAGCTGCGCAGTATCTCGCCCAACATGTGGCCCGTGTTCGAGTTGACCTACAAGACGTTCAAGGGCGAGGCGGTTGACTTCCTGGACGGTTCGTACATCCTCGCCAGTCGGTCCGACTTTCTCAGGTTCACACTGCTACGTTCATAGAGATGCTGCCAAGTCTGGACAACTTTGTGTCTTACGGCACTGATGTTTTCAAGTCACGTCCCGAGTACCGGCAGATGTTGCTCGACATCTATACGACGTCCATCGACAGTGACCACCTTGGCGAGAACGACGCCGTTAACGGCTGCAAGCTTGCTGAGGCTATGTTGCTTAACCTGCGCGGTCACGTCGACGATGTAAGTCCTTCGACTTCCCCTCTAACAACTCACTCTCAACGAGTTCCATGTCTTCAGGCCCTACCCGCCATCATCGCGACCGCCCTTAAGACTCAGGATTCCGCGAACACTACCTCACTCCGCCTCGCAAACCTAGAGGTGCTCGTCAACGCTGTCTTGTACAACCCTGGTGCTGCACTTCACATCATGGAGTCTTACGCGCCAGGCACGGCCCGCACGTTCTTCGACAAGTGGTTTGAGGCAATCAACGGCGAGAATCGTCTGCCACGGGTGCACGACAAGAAGCTCAGCGTCATGGCGCTCTCGGCGCTCCTCGAGCTGGACCCAGCCCAGATTCCTGACTCGGTGAAGGAGGGATGGCCAGGCATTGTCGCCGGCGCGTTGCAGATCTTCAAGGATTTGCCGAAGGCTATCGCTGGTGAGTATGCGGCATTACGTCGGTTTGCTCTATGGCTGAGGAGTGTTGCACACTAGCGCGCAAGGAACTTGAGGAGGCATTCCAGGGTGACGATGATGAGGAACCCAATGAGCCTGATGACACGCAGTTCCTGAACCTGAACGAGAATGATGGTCAGTGTTCAGACATCTTCGTCTTCGTCTTCTCCTAGCCTCTGACCTGGACATACAGATGATGTATGGGACGAGGATTCGGCGTACATGGAGATGCTCGCGAATGAGGGTGCTCGACTACGCGAGAAGTCCGCGCGGGCAGCTGGTGGCGACGACGAATCCGAGTCAGAAGACGAGTCCGACATTGATGAAGAGCTTGGCTACATCAGTCCGCTCGACCCCGTCGACCCCTATGTCTCCTTCAAGCAGGCATTGACTGGTACGCAACTACATCGACTATCTACTGCACTATATTGATGGTGTTGTCCGCTGTAGCCTTCCAGATGAAGAGTCCCTCGGCGTACCAACTTGCGACCACCTCGCTGAGCGCGGAGCAGCAGACGATGCTCATGGAGGTCATGCGCATTGCCGAGAAAAGCACGTCTGTGTGATATGCATGAAGGCTCCAGATGATTGATGCCCTCGCACTCTCGCATGTTGAGTTCATCGACAGTCTCTGAAGTCATGGCAGTTATGAATGTCCAGTCTATCCACTGTAAGCCGTTGTTCTCATTACTCTCCTCCTATATTGTTCTTCTGTGCTTCCTCGCTTTCGCAACGTCAACGTCAATGTACGCCAGCTAGCCGTTACATACACATCCGTGGTAATATACAGATACGCTCTAGACAGACAAGAATGGATCGGATGCACCACATACTACTGTGTCCCTCGGACTGACATCGCAGATTCGCCGTTCATCAACCCGCTGCCGCCATGACCCCACATTCAGTAGTCGGTCTTCGGCTCCCTGGGGAACGCGCGCATCTTCGCGAGGTACTCGTCCATGTCCTCCAAGCCGTACTCGGTCGGCTTTGTGATGGGCGTTATGCTCTCGCCGCGCGAGGCGTAGAGCTCGAGTCTGGCCTTCGTCTCGGGTCTGGTACGGTTCATGCTGTAGAGCTTGATGCGGTGGCAGGAGGATGTGACGTGAAGGTCCCAGCTAAACAGTACAGGTCAGTACATGCACGCTTGATGGGGTGGAGGGAGGGTACTGCTGAGGAAGTAGGGCCCACTTACTTCCAGGCAGAGCGTACGAAGGTCGGTTCGGTGTTGTTCGACGAGTCCCAGGTGCGGGCGCAGAACTCGATCCAGCCCTCTGCGTCGACGGGCACGGAGATCTTCCAGATGCGCCAGGCGTGGTAATGCTATTAGGCGTCCGAGACCAGCCAGTCAATGCGCCGTCCGACAGGAGAGCTTGAGGGTTCCTCACCTTCTCGGTCATGTCGGCTTGGTCGACTTGGTACCAGACATGCCCACTGTATTAGACGACCTGTGTGAGAGGGTAAGGAGGGTGAAAGAAGGCCGGTGCGTACCCGTCAGGCGAGACTTCAACTCGTTCCGGCCAGTTGCCACCTCCACTGTACGCCCACCCCGACAGCTCGATATGGCCATCATGTATGATCACTTCCTTGTCCTTCGGGAAGATGATTGCGCTCCTGCACACCGAGTTCAGTTCACCGCACCAACCCGGACCGAGAGTTGTTACAGAGAACACTACACGCACGAGACAGGCATGTTCTGGATACTGAACCCGTTCGAGTACTTGACGTTCTGCTTGCCGATCTGACTGGTGTAGTAGAGGTACTCCTGGCTCTGCACAGGGGCGAGGCTCGGCTCCGCGAGCGCGTTGATCTTATACAGCCATTTTGTGCTGCGCGCGCCGATCATGCCCGTCACGATCACGCGCACTATCATCGAGCGTGAGCCTTGCGGTGTGCAGGGGTGCTGGTGCACGTACGCGGGAACCCGTGGATCTTGGGGAGGGGCTTGCCGTTCATCTCCCAGGCGAGCAGAACTTCTTCGCCGCCCTGGTTGCGCACTTTGCGCCAGGGCGCGGAGACGGCGTAATTGAAGACGTGGCCCTTCCTACGAGACAAGCGTTAGTTGGTACCCGTTGTTGTAAAGACGACTCGGAGGGAGTGTCAGCAGCGTGACAGGAGCTCACTTGAAGTAGGTATCGGCTCCTATGAATTCGAGGTGCCTCGCCTCGGGCTTGAGCCCGCCGCATGCGTGCTTAAGCACCTTCTTCAGCGGTACGCCACGATAAACGGCCGTTCCGCTTCACGATTGTTACAATCAGTTGTACTTGTCAATATGCACGATGAAAAGCATACATCGCACCCTCGCCCCATGGCTGCCCGGCAGGTCAAAATCATTGAGTTTCGAGCCAAACACACTTGGAAGAGACGTACAGCATTGATGAGTTCGTCGCCGTCGCCAGGGTACTCCTGAATCTGCTCGATGCGGCGGGTACCGCTACATTGGAGGGTGACAGTCACTTCTTTCTGCCTGTGATATTACGTCGTACATCTCATCATGACCAGACGAAGTATGCATGTGTACACACGGGAAGCGCGATGCGTCCTTGAGCTCCTTCATTGTCAGCTTCACAGGCGTGTTGACGAGCCCGCCGATCTCAAGCTCGAACGCGTCTTCGTCGATGTCGGGGACACCACCGTGGTTCCTAACACTATACGAACCTTTTGAGCTTCCACAAAAGGCGATATCAATGACTTCAACGTACAAATGGTACTTGTTATCTGTGAGCTTGCCCTCCATGAGCGCCTTGCTGGGTGTTTCGCCGTTATAGGGAAAGTCAAGCAAGTGGATCATGTCCGGCTTTTCCTTCTGGACGGTCTCCCAGCTGAAGTCCACGATTCGCTTGAGGCCGAGGGCTTCATGGTACTCTTTCCAGCGGTACCCGATCAGGACGGGGTTTGTCTTCGGGAGCGGCTCGAGTTGGAATTCTGTGCGACGATAGATGCGGTCAGTGGATGAGGGAGCGATGTGCATGGGAACGACGGACCTGGGCTAGGCGTGAACTCCTTGGTTGCGAGAATGCGCTTTGCGATCTCTTTGCGGGCGGGGTTGTCCTCCCATTCAATGTATCTGTTCATAGTAGTATGCTAATCGGAACAGTGCTCTTTACGAGACAAGAAAGTAGACACGCACCCCCTCCATCGCAGCTTCTCCTCAGGGAAGAGCTGGCTCAGCGGCACACCCTCGAAGGTAGTAGCAGCGGCCATCGCCCGTTTGTTCGAGGTCAAGATATACAATCAGCGGGAGATACGCGGGAAGACCAGGGTGCCCTGCCGCTAGGACTTTAAGTTCACAGAAATGCTATCACACATGGCGTTGTGCGTTCCAATGCATATTAATACCATCGAAGCCTCCACTTTGCATCCGAAGACGAAGTCGGATTACGGGCCTCATGGGTCGTGGGTGAGCCTGGCCTTCCTACGGACGCAGCTTCGAAAGGTTCTGTCAGGGGAAGAAGACGCGTCTGTACACACGTTACCCGGACACCTCCTGTTGCGGTGGATATTGCGATGTGTTGAATATAGCGGGGGTTTGCCACCGTGATTGCGTCGCCTTAGATCGTATCTGGCGAGATTGCACACTATGCAGGTAGCCAATGCTAAAATTTCCTTCGCCAGTGGTGCAATAAACGTATATTCTGTGGAAGAGGGACATGAGCGGGATGAACGCGGCGGAAGACATGCGAATGACGCTCCTGGGAGAGTGGCGGACGCACTGGGCATCACCAGCGCCTATCCTCTCCAGCCAATCAGCTCACGCCATTTGCTCTCCGGGCCGGTACGGAGGCCTTCCGAGCATCCCGATTAGGCAAGCAAGTATGTTCGCGTCTTGAGTATGCCCTTGAGGTCAGGCCCCGAGCCTCAGCATGTCAGCAATTTCAGAGCATTCATGAATAGTTTCTGTGACATCGCACAGCTGCGTCTGCAAGACGAATACCTGATCGAGCGACATTGACTTGAATATTTGGAGACGCATTCGCCGGGACACAGCCGGTGTTCTCCGTTGTATAACGTCAAATGTGCGCAATACAGGGATTATCCATCCCGCTTTGCTGGTCTCCTGCCCTTTCAGCTTTCCCGCTGACAAGGATCCATCATTAAGACGTAACTTTAGATGGAGTCCATTCAATTGGCCCAAGTTGACACGCACAAGGTACCCGTACTTGACCGTGCGCTTCGAATCGATGGCCGCATGTAGTATGCTTCCCGGCTACAAGGCATCCAACCCAATTGAAGAGCTGCCAGTGGGCCTTCGCGTGGATCTGCGGGATGGTTGCAATTATGTAGGTTGCGAACCACGATTGCCTGCGAAGCCGTCGTCAGATATCACTGCTACCACGTAGAACTACGGCCGGACGTATGTGCTGTACCTCGTCGCGATCACAAAAGTTTCAATCGAACATGCAGACTTCTGACTCGGGCACCTCGGTCCCCACAAGGATGCCTAAGCACTCAACTAGCGTCACTTCCTCGTAGCTTGTGCTCTGCCGCTTGTTTGATATTTATCCCATCGACGCCGGACCGTACCCATTCACAGCTTTGAACGCAACCTCCGAGTATGCGCCTGGTGCAACTGCCCGCCTTCCTCGCGCGGTGCGGGGCTCGGACTGCCAGCTGGCCCGGGGCCGCAGGTGCGTATAACCAGGAGAATGAAGTACTAGCAGGTGCTTTCCGTGCCAATGGAGGGTGTCGATGGTGGTCATATACTGGTTGTACGGTGGACAGTGCAAGACTCTCAGCGACGAAGGGTTGTAAGTTTCAGCCAAGTTTCAAATTTCAGCGCTTGCTCGAGTGCTACACTGTGCTACATACATAAGCGCTAGATCTTGGCCGAAACCGTCGAAGCCGGACCAAGTCACCAAAGCCGCGGACTGTGTGCTCCTCTTCCTTCAATCCTTGCTCTTCAAAGCTTCACGCACTGGAAGATACGCTACCCAATGCATCTGCACAGCAATATCCTTGTGGAACATGCAGTTCGTGACCAAGTACTACTACTGGGACGTCGTGCCCCCCCCCCCCCCCCCCCCCCAAGGACAGGCTCGAGTACGTGACCCTGCGCCCGCTCATTCTGCGCTCATCATCAACGCAACGCAGTCTAACGCCTCGGAGCTGGGAAAAGAAGGTGATAAACTCTGAAGATCCGACAAGTCAGCAGAGCCTTTTTCAGGCGATTAGCGGCATCGTGCTGGTCGTCAACCGTGCCAGCGGCACGCTGGTCAGTGGTCTAACTCTGTTGTTCGCCTCGACCTGCCTGGGATGCGGGCTTCAACCTACACCCTCCGCTACTTGTGGCCTTTGATAGCTGCAGCGGTCGTTGAAGCAGTAATCTCGCCCAAGGTCTTCATCATCGCCTTCGTATGTTGCGCCGCTCCAATTCGGGTACCCTCTCACTTCAACAACCTTGACATAGTATGGCGACGAAGGAAACGCCTGGCTTGATATTCCTGATTTCAACCTCCTTGCGCAGAACATCACAGTTCCAGGCGTATCCGTGAAGTTCCCCGACGTCCACTGCACGGAGGACGGTTCGATATGTCAGCTAGTTGCAGGCGAAGGGGAGATCAATGCTGCCATAAGCGCGTTCTCTCTCGTCGTATCGCCGCTTTTCAATCTCACCAATACCTACTTCCTGCTCGCTGGAGATGGGGGCATCAACCCCAAGGTAGCAACCATCGGATCTGTCGCCTTTGCCCAGTTCGCCGTGCAAGTGGCGCTGCAATACGAGATCGACGCTCGCGAGAAACCCGACAACTTCTCGAGCGGGTACATCCCGCAGGGCTCCACGTCCACCGACTCGTACCCGCGGTATATCTACGGCACCGAGGTGTTCCAGCTCAACGATGCACTGCGTCAGCACGCCATGGCCTTCGCACGGACAGCGACGCTCACGGACTCGCCCGTTGCGCAGGCCTACCGTCAGCAGTACGCCAACGTGCCCGAGTTCGCACCCGCCCTCGCGCCGCCGGCCGTCGTGGGTTGCGACACCGCGACGTCGGACAACTGGTGGAGCGGTGCGCTCCTCGGCGACGCGTTCGCGCACTTCACGACGCTGGTCACGAACGGCTCGGCGACGTACTGCACGACGCAGCAGGAGGACAGCGCAGTGCTCGAGGCGCTGCTGCGCGGGCATCTCCTGCGCCGTGTCGACTTCGGCCGCGTGCTGCACATGCGCACGGGCTCCGACTTCGATCGCCCGGGTCCTGGCGTGAGCGTCGCAGATAACCTGTTCTACGCCCAGGGCGGCTACGGGCCCGCCTTGCGCAACCTGTACCTTGCAGGCGTCAAGGTCGTGAAGGGCATCGTCGACGACTGGGATGCGACCTTCGCGGCAGGCGTGCGGCCAAAGAACTACATTGGCGATGTATGGGGCTCGCTCGGAGGGGACCCGCCTTTCGGGCCTGGGAGCATATTCAAGGGCAAAGGAGCCATTGCATTGCCAAGTGTCGCAGTGGATCCCCCGCTGTCATCGGAGGCATGTACGCACGCCAGGTACGTCCCTCTGTGGCCTGATGCGTATGGTACTGACAGCAGCTGCAGCAGATCGTTGGGCTATCTTGTGGTCGGGGTCATTCTGGGCTTCGCTATTTCTGGCGTCTGTGCCTTTGTGTGGTCGATGCGACGGACACGATCGAAAGTATCGTATGAGCCAGTTCCTCAGGAGAGCTCACTAGGCTCTCTAATATCCAGTTCGTGAATGGATGCGCGACATGTCGACTTCAGCATGAACACTTGTGGATGTACGAGTGCCATGACGGGTGACTCAGGTCTTAAACCCTCGTCCTTGGCTGTGTCCGTATCCGCTTTCCGTGGCAGCCATCTTGTGCTCAGCACATTTCATCTGGCTCTGATGCCAGCGAGCATGATTGCTCGCGCCTTTGGTAAGGCTGGGCGACCCGGACCGGCAATTCCCTATCGCGTTGTCCTGCGGTGGCCGTGGTGCTCGTGGGCCACACGCCGTCCTCTAACATGATGTGGCACCTAGAACCAAGCCTACTTAGAACTAGATGGATTAGCGTCTGTGTTACACTGCATCACGGCGTCATGGGGTGGCACACTGCAAGCTAACTTCTCCCCGACAGCACCGGGAGGAGACGCGCAGACAATGTGAAAACCGAGGATGGTCCCCGGATGAACGTAAGACCCTGCCCCCGCTTTCCCTCATGTCGTCTCTTTCGGAGTCTGATATAGAGACCCTCCAGCAGATAGGCCATGACACCGTGCAGAGCATCGTGGCCCTCGTCGTCGAGGCCATCCTATGGAGTGAGTCTTATTCGGACGATCCATCAGTTGCATGTGATTGAACTGGAGTGTGTAGCTATCTATTTCGTCCTTGTTTTCAAAGCTGGACTCATCCTTCTGTGAGCCGCCATACAGGCATTCAAACTACATGGGAAATTTATGTCATATATCAGGAGCCCGAAGTCGCGGTCCAGCATCTCCATCTCGATCTTCATCGTTATCGGGCTTATGTTTTTACTGGACACTGCGACGTCCATCATCGACGTGAACAACGCCATCCGCGAGATCACATTCACACTGACCTCGACCTCACCGGAGTCACTCGCAGACAGATACGAGCTAACTGACAACTTGCCTTGGCCCGTTCAGAGCGCGCTCTACGCATATATGGTACGCCCTACCTAGTGTCGGGTATATATGTAGCTTAGCATTTTGATATGTGCAGTCGAACTTGGGCGACATTATCATCATATGGCGCACCTACGCATTCTGGCGATACGGCCGAGAGCGATGGGCGCTCGCCGTGCCCATCTTGTTCTTGGTTGGCTCTTTAAGCACGTCGTTCCACTCTTCATCACCTGGCGCATTCACTGACATATTTGCGTAGTAACTTCGGGGTTGATCTCGTTCTGCGCAGCACGCGTCGTCCAAAACCCCGGTGCGGGCGACTTCACAAACCCACCGTTCTGCAGAAACGTACAACTGTCGTCATATGTGACTACATTGGCGACAACTGCGGTGGCAACTCTGATGATTTGCTACAAGACATGGTGTGGTGTTCGGTCCCTGTCTGAACTATCAGTCACTCAATATGGCCTATACAGGGAGTACCGCCATACCATCGGCGCCCAAGTCAACCGGATGAGGAGTAGAAAGACCCGTGTCGAGCGGATAATGACCATCCTCGTCGAATCCGGGATCCTCTACTTCCTATTCTTCGTACGTACCCTGTCAATCGCCTTGTGATGCGATCTTCACGTCACCGTCAAAATAGCTGGAGGCTGTGGTGACAGACAGCGGCGATATCGGCGAATTGGAGGGCTCGACACCGCAACTGGCTTTCGCGAGTACGGTATGGACCTACATGACGAGCCACATCCTGGTACGTACAATGCTTTACCAATACCGGGTCACTCGCACTTATCTTGGATTTCTCACAGGGCATATACCCAGTGGTCATCGTCATCCTCGTGCATTCGCACAAGTCTTACATCGATGACACAACAACCACTGTCGCAATCGCGACCCCTGGCACGGCAAGCTACAGCAGCCCGGCGAGCTCACGGGCTTACTGGGGCAGCCGGCGTACCCTGCCCAAGACCCATCAGGCCCATGCTGTCGAACTCGACGCCCTGGACTCCCCTCCGGTCGCGAAGCACGCAATCCGAACGATATCGGAAGGCACAGCCAGTGCTGCCGATCTTACGTTTTCACCGGAATTCAAGGAGGATTCCGAAAAGCTCGCTTCAAGTACTGTAGTCTGAATCTTTCCCTTCTAGCTATATGTCTTCACGATCATCTATAGGTATCTATGTACTATCAGCTCCATTGTATACGAATTGTAATGTAACCACTACCTCTGTTTACTATAATAACGGGCAATCAATCATTTGTGTAGGTCGGTGTAGTCAGTGTTGGCACGTCGGGCGCCTGACTTTTGGACCTTCGGACCGGGTCGGTTGGGTCTGACCAGGGGTCTGACCGGGGTCCGTGGAGGGTCCGACCAGGTCTACTATCCCGCACGTGACGGGGCGGACGTAGGGTTGAGGTCAGATAACCCTAATTGGGACATGCGCGTCCTTGTGTGCCACTGCCCGCCTAAACGTCTTCCTCTCCTGCCTTTTCCGAGTCGCTGCAATTTCTCGCGCGCTGCTACGTCTGACCTCGCGAGCTCAGGGCGCCGGTGCGAAGATCTTCGCTGGTCACTATTGCTGTGATCGCCTGTCCGGCGCGCACCAGTATCATGGGGTTCACGAAGCCTGAGGTGAGTGGATCCGTTCAAGTCCGTCGGTTGTAGAGCCGTATACTGATGTGTAGTGCTACAGGGATCCTCTCCAAGTGCAGCAGCTTGCAGGGACCCCATAGCCCGCGACCACGGGTGAGTACTCATGAGGTTTAGCATTTGTTTGTGGCACGGCAAGAGCATCAACCACCCGTCGCCCCCTGCCGCTTCACCGCCCCACCGGACGCGCCCTGAGGGCATGCGCTTACCGCCGATATTGTCGTGCTTGCCGGTGCTCGTGCACTGGCGGTTTGTGAGCCCGTCACAGCTGAGCTTCCCGGGCGCGGGCATTCACTGTAGCCCGAGCAGGCAATACTTAGTCTCGGATGTGGGTTGCCCGCGCCCGGGGAGGTCCAGGAGGGGCCAATAATGCCAACAAGCTTGGGACGCAAGGCCGCGCCAAAGCCGGACTGCGAGCGGTACCAGGTGGAGGCGGCATTCGAAGCGCGTGTGTTCGTGCAGCGCCGGCTCTTGCATTCGCGGCCAGACAATCTGCACAACGTGCAGTCGGCTCCGCAAGATCCACCAAACTTTCAACAACGCGCGCATCAAGCCGAGGTACCACCTACTCGAGATCGAGACGGGCTGGGGCGCGATGTCGATCGCGCGAAGCTCGGCGCAAACGTCGACACGGTTCCGCTCTCCATCCAGCAGAAGGCGACGACAGAGAAACGCACGGCGGAGGCTGGCGTCGCGGACCGCGTGCATGTGCGCCTCCTGGACTACCGCCAGCTGCCGGAGGACTTCAAGGGCAGGTTTGATTCGCCCGTAGGCTGCGAGATGGTCGTGGCCGTGGGGCTACGCGACCTCAAGCTCGGGGGCTGATTGCGTATGTATATAAGAGAGCGAGGAGTGCCCATTCAACAGTGAGGACACGGCTGCGTGTGATTGCGGACAGCCCGGCCGAGCCATCCCTGTCCCCATCCTCACGGTGACACACCTGTCCTTGTAGCACGTTGGTATTAAGAACTACGTCCGAGTCAGTTGCACTATTGCGCACGCCGCAAACATCGCCAGAGGGCTGGGATGTATCCTGTATTCAATAGAATACTATATTGGACTGCGATTCATAAATATATACATGCCAGCCCACGTTCATAGGTCATTGCAATTCGACACTGTTGAAGACAGACCATGCGCGATTAAACTGCCGACCTTGTACGGACCCGTCCATGGACCCTACGATGGTTATGTAGTTGCCATTCTCGGTATCATTGTAATGCAGAATTATCCGATCAGGCGGTATAAGTTCTTACGTTACCCATGGACCTTTGACCTCAGTCCATCAAAATCGGTCTGACTGGGTCGGACCTGGTCGGACCCCGGTCAGACCCCGGGGTCCGTCCAACACTGGGTGTAGTACTTAGCCTATAGTCATCAGAACCCCGTGGATGCCCTACCGAACAATACTGACGCACTCACACTTCGAACAAATGTGCGTCGACTTCAAGTTTAATCCTGCCCCGAGGCCCGCGCACCACAAGTACTGCAGTCGATTCAGCTGTATCTCGACGCACCGACGTAACGAGTCTGAATCTCTAACAAGCGCATGTACTGCCTGTGAACGAATGCACTGGTTCCAGGAACTGATCAGAGGACGACGATCGCTGGATGGCAGCGGCGGCCATCCTGTGATGATCAGGCTATTCATGGTGACATGCATCTGACGCCTATGTTACGCTTACATTAGCAATTGGTGCTGTCTACCGCCGCTCACCACGACGACTCGACCATAAATGCAGTCGTCCCTGGTATTCCGGTCCGTGCTAGCGCTGTGCGTCGTAACAGCCGTCGAGGCTGTCATTTCACCCAAAGTCTTTATCATTGACTACGTATGTATTTTCGAACAGTGCGCTTTGTCTATTATCACTCATCACGGGTCTACGGCAGTACAACGATGAACAGGACGCCTGGCTTGACATACCAGAGTTCAATCTTCTCGAGCAGAACATCACTCTGCCTGGGCTGTCCATGATGTATCCGGACATCCACTGCACAAGTGACGGGTCCGTATGCCAGCTGGTCACAGGCGAGGGCGAGATCAACGCTGGTCTGAGCACATTTGCCCTCGCACTCTCGCCAGAGTTCAACCTCACCCAGACCTACTTCCTCCTTGCTGGGGATGCCGGAATCAGCCCCGAGGTTGCCACAGTCGGATCTGTCGCCTTCGCCCAGTTCGCCGTGCAGGTGGCGATGCAGTACGAAATCGACGCTCGCGAGAAGCCCGAGAACTTCACCACTGGATACGTCCCACAAGGTTCCACTAGCATTAGCCAATACCCCCAGTACATCTACGGCACCGAGGTCTTCCAGCTCAACGACGCTCTGCGCCAGCTTGCCATTGCTCTCGCCAAAACGGCGACACTGAACGATACCGCCTCGGCGCAGGCCTACAGAGCACAGTACACGAACGCCGGCCCCAACTTCGCGCCCGCGCTCACCGCACCAACTGTCGTCGGCTGCGACACCGCGACGTCGGACAACTGGTGGAGCGGCGCGCTGCTCGCGGGTGCGTTCGAGAACTTCACGACGCTGGTCACGAATGGCTCGGCGACGTACTGCACGACGCAGCAGGAGGACAACGCCGTGCTCGAGGCGCTCCTCCGCGGGCAGCTCGCGCGGCGCACCGACTTCTCGCGCGTCATCCACATGCGCACCGGCTCTGACTTCGATAGACCCCCGCCCGGCGTGTCCGTCGCGCAGAACCTCTTCTTCGCCGATGGTGGTTACAATGCGGCCATCCGCAACCTATATGTCGCGGGCATCAAGGTCGTGGAGGGCATCCTCGATGGGTGGAACGACACCTTTGCAGCGGGAATCCCCCCGCAGAACTTCATTGGTGATATCTTTGGGTCACTTGGAGGATCGCCCGCGTTTGGTCCCGGGAGTTTATTCAATGGCACAGGCGCGCCGTCGGTGCCTCTCCATTACAGCTGCGTCTGAGGCCTGTAGCATTGTCGGAAGGGGTGTTCATTACTTTAGCACTTCATAATCGTAGCGCAGCATTTAAACATTGCGTTTTCAGCCATGATCAGCTGAACGAAGGTGGCCATGGGATAGACGCCGTCTCTGTACCCTCACTTGCTAGAGACGTAGTCAATCTGTACTGTGGATCCTCTGATGAGCACTCGCGAGGCAATGACTTCTTGGATACTCACCTCAATTTGCTGAATCCACGTCCTTACGCGCATCGGGGACGGCTGCCGGTGCCGTCACAGGCCGTCTCACGAACGTGATTGTCACTGAGGACGGAGGCAGTGAAGATGATGTCGGTGGCCTGTCATTTGTGCAGTCTTGACAACATTACCAACTCAAAGGTCAAAGGCACTCAAGCCGAACACATACGCGTCCTCCCCTGTTGGTCATGGCATCACCGGCAGCTTCCAGCTGTCAGATCGTGTCTCCTGTAGTACAGAGCACAACGTCTCGAATGGGTGGTAGCATTATGAAGCTGCAGGAGTAGAGGTGGGGGCATAGCTTGGTCAGACTGGGAGGGGGGAAGAGAGTGAGGCAGGCTGCCGGGCATGTTATTCTGAAGCCTATATATACGACCGTAACATACCTGGAATGCTCAGACAACTCGCATTCAACTCTCTCATCGCACACAGCACAGAAGAGTCCAGATGACAGAACAGAAGGCACTCTACCTGACCTCCAAACACGGACAGTTCGAAGTCGGAACCGCCCCTATTCACAAGCCTGGCCCCGGGCAGCTCGTAGTCAAGATCGAAGCGGCTGCACTCAACCCGATTGACTGGAGGGTCCAGGCTTGGGGGATCCTCGTCGAGAAGTTCCCCGCGATCCTCGGTGAGGACCTTTCCGGGACCGTCTACGAGGTCGGAGAGGGCGTCAAGGACTTCAAGAAGGGCGACAGGATGTAAGATACTTTCCTCGATTTCACGAGGGAACACTGACGAGAAGGGATGTTTCGTACAGTCTCATGTGCGCACCTGTCGGCGCGGGCGAGCAAGCGGGCTTCCAACAGTATGCGATTGCATCTCCAGAGTTGACGGCCAAGGCGAGTATACGACCACTTGCATGCACGGAATGCGGCTGATGGCGTCGGCAGATTCCCGACAATGTGTCCTTCGAGGGGGGAGCCACCATACCCCTCGGACTTGCAACCGCCGTACTTGGTCTCTATGATCACGAAGACGGGGCCATCGGGAACTGTGGCCTCTACCCGCCCTGGGAGGAAGGAGGGCGCGGCAAGTATAAGGGACAGTCCATCCTCATCTTCGGCGGTGCTAGCTCTGTCGGTCAATTCGGTAAGCTCTCTTCAGCGTCTGGTACTGTGTTAGCATTGCTGATAGGCTCGGCAGCGATTCAACTCGCCAAACTCTCCGGGTTCGGACCCATCATCACGACAGCATCTCTTCGCCACACTGAGTGGCTCCAGAAGCTAGGCGCGACGCACGTTCTCGACCGGAACCTCCCGTTGGACGGTCTCGCGGAGGAATTGAAGGGCATCACTGTCGAGCCGTTCAAGGTTATCTACGACGCCGTCGCCTCGCCCGAGACGCAGAACTTCGCGTACGGAATCCTCGCACCTGGCGGCGCGCTCGCCGTGGTGATGCCTGTGGCGGTCAAGGAGGAGCTAAAGGTTCCGGACAAGAAGGCGTACTGGATGATCGCAAACTTCTTCATGCCGCAGCACAAGAAGCTCGGTGTCAGCCTATATTCGAAGTTGCCGGCCTTGCTCAAGGAAGGCGCGATCAAGGTCAGTTCCGATGGCCTGAGTATCTGAGTGATCGGCATCGCTGAGCGATGCTTTTTCCGCACAGCCCAACCCTGTGGAGGTCATTCCGGATGGAATAGGGGGTATAGTGGTAGGACTGCAGAAGCTGAGCAAGGGCGTCAGCTGCGTAAAGCTCGTAGTAAATCCCCAGGAGTAAGGGGATACGCACGGGTGATAGGCTTCTGTTTCGAAAAGTGTACGGTATCCTGTGAAGTCGGTTGTTTGTTATATAAAGCGGTGAAGGAGATGCGTTCGAGGTGTAGAGCAAGTCCCTGTCTGCAGTATTGATAGTTCAGCTGCAGCGCAAAAGCAGACCTAATTGACTGGCAAAGCCAAGTAAGCAACAGATGAGGAAGACGCTGGAAGATGACATGCACAACCAGCGCGCACCAATAATCGCAATGAGGTCTCCGCTTGGTCTCCGCGCAACGTACTGAACAATATAGGCGCCCATGACGCGCCGAAAGAGATACATACTGTGCACGTGATCGTCTCACGCAAGGATTAGTGTGGGTGGCTGGTCCGAGTCCCAGCTCGAAGTCCCTTTCATCCTCGCCGCTGAAGGCGACCAGGTCATCTGTTCCCTCTGTGTTTATAGAGGCTGCTGCTCTCATTTGTTCTACCTGTTGAATCACAGCAACATATTACGCAACTGCGAACAACATGAACAAGCAGGGCCAGAAAGCTAGGGCCGCTCCTTCACCAGTCACAGGCGTATTCAAACCCGATACTATTCGCGTGCGTCCTACCGCTCCTCATACCGCATGATGTGTTAAGAGCCGCATTGTTTATTATTAAGGATGTGGCAGACTCGCTCAACGTCACTTCGTTGTCGGATACCGTAGCTTCAGCACTGGCGAGCGATGTTGAGTACAGAATACACCAGGTCGTCGAGGTGCGTCATACTTACCATGTCATGTACGGAAGGGCGACTGATGCTCACCAGGAAGCAGCTCGCTTCATGCGACATGCACGGCGCACGACCATGACAACGTCAGACATCGACCAGGCCCTCCGCGTGCTGAACATCGAGCCACTGTACGGTCATTCTTCACACAATCCCCCCACCTTCCGCCGCGCACCGCCCATACCCCAGTCTACCTCCGGGGCAATATACTTCGTAGAAGACGAGGAGATTGACTTTGACCGCGTCCTCCGAGAAGAGAAAATCACACTACCGAACGGACCGCGCTGGGCTGCGCACTGGCTCGCAGTGGAAGGCGTCCAACCACTGATACCCGAAAACCCGCCTGCCATACCAAAGGACTCTGACCCGGACGCACTTGCAAAGCCCTCATCTCCGTCTCGTCCGGGTCAGATGTTTCCCCTCACGCCGCCTTCCGACCGACCATCCCCTGTACAGGCCGCAAAGAAGCAGCAGCAACAACAGCAGACCGTCAAGCAAGTACTATCGCGTGAGCTACAATTGTACTACACGCGTCTCACTTCGGCGCTGCTCCCCCCATCCGCGTCCGACTATGCAAAACGGACAGCAGCGCTTGCGAGTCTACGAAACGATGCTGGGCTACAGGCGCTCCTGCCCTATCTCGTGCGATGGGTCGGAGAGGGCGTCGTGGGCGCGCTCAAGAGTGGTGCGCAGAGCGAAAACGACGGTCGGGTGCTCGAGGTGCTACTGGATGTCATCGGCGCACTTCTCGATAATCCGACGCTGTTCGTCGAACCCTACGTAAGTCATTCCGCGCGACTACATGAAGTACGACTAATTGTCCCTTGCAGCTCCACCAACTCCTCCCTCCAATCCTCTCGACCCTCCTACATTCATCCCTCCCTCCATCGCACGCCGTGCATCTGCGGACGTCAGCGGCACAAATACTCTCGCACCTCCTCACGCAATACTCGACAACCTACCCCTCACTTCCGCCGCGGATAATGAAAACGCTACTGCTGGCGCTGATATCACCCGAGAAGAGCAGGAGCACGCGGGAAGGCGCCATCCGCGGTCTCATAGGCATCGGGAAGGAGGCGGTGCGGAAAGGGTTGGTGGAGGGCGGAGGCGCGAAGGTCGTTGGCAGCGAGTGCATGCCTGGGGAAGAGGGTGGTCTTGCAGAGGCTGTCACGGTGAGTTGCACCGAAGCAGGATCCAGTTCGAGAGCCCGTCTGATATGGTTCATTCTTCGTTTAGGACGCGTTGAAGGTGTTGCACCCACCGAGTGCGCAGCCGGTACCACTGGACGACGCGAATGAGCCAGACGCTGCTACCATCCAGCAGCTGAAGGACACAGTCGGCGACTTCTTCGCGGAGAGGCTCTGGGGAGATGCTGTATGGGCAAGAGCTGTCCTCACTGGGGACAGTAAGAGTTAGTCACGATGGTGCGGGTCGCGAATGTTTTGTACGATGCTGTATTTGCTCTGTTTATAGTCTCCAGTGCGGCAATTCTCATTACTTGGTCGCTCGAATCCAAGGATTTGGCACTTGGTGATGCAAAGTTCACCACGAAAGCTCGGATTTCATGTTCAGGAACATGGCCACTCATAGACCGACGTCAATAGCTGCTGCCAACTTGAATGGGTCTGAGTATGGCACTCAAGCTGACTACTCGTTACAGCTCCACATCGCGGGACGCGACAATTTCCACTTGTGAAAGACCTTTACCACTGGACCTTGTTGTACTGTGCACTCTCTGGCTTGCTTGAAAATACTGTTCCCAATGCTTACTTCGATACTACTTCACGGAGTATGGCCTCCTCTGCCCACAATCGTGATGCAACACTGGTTTGGGGAAATAAATCGGCCTATATAACCGATCCAGTAACACACCCAAGTCGTCGCTATTCACTCCTTCGACAGCTGTCTGATTCTGGCAATACTAAGTAGCAACACACGGTTCCCGATGTTCTCGGAATCCCGAGGGACACAACGATGATCGGACCTCGCGGCCCGACAAGGGTCCGGACTCATCCACCCCAGCTTTGTCAGTCCTGTCGTGCCGGCCGGTGTCCTTGCTGCAGCTGAGGCTGAGAGCTCTTCTCCTCTTACTCAACCATACCGAGTTACCCAACTGCTGCGATTGTCGGCAGAGAAGTCAGGAGCTACGTCGGAGACGTGGTCAGTAAGATCTAGCTCATAAGACTCGACTGGTAACTGATGATGATCTCATTGGCACAACAGGGTAGCGTTGACAGTCGTGGTACACGATGACAATGCCCGCCATTACGGATTTGCCGTTGGACATACTGGAGCAAATCGTTCTCGAGCTTGACCCTTTGGACGTGGCAGCAATCTCGCAGACGTGCTCGGCGTTCTACGCGTACGTCTACGCGTCTTCCGACACGGAGAGACTCTGGCGGACGCTCTACCTGACGCAACCTCTGGATGACCTTCGGAGATGCTTCGAACAGCTTGGACACCCTCGCGCTAGCCCAGTCCACTGGAAGAGTCAGCTTCAGCGCGCTATTCGGGCACGCACCATCATAGGCGACCCTGCGAAGTGTCGATCCGAGGAGCGCTGCACTGTGCTGCAGACCCTACTGGACCTCGCCAGCAACCTACCACCCGCTCCCAGCTTCCTCAGCGAAGAACTTTCCTTGAACCTTGTATGGCTCGCCGCGTTGCTTCGTGGAGGGACGTTCTTGGATCACAAGCTGTGGGAGCCATCCGACGAGGAGCGCCAGCTGCGATGCCGGCTGCACGCGTACTACGGCCTGACGACGGCGGACTACCGCAAGGAGAACCTTACTCAGTCGCGGGCGTATGTGTATGACATGCGGAGGTATACGTGGGGCAACGACTTCGGTCCGTACCAGATGGACGGGAGCGGGCGCGTGAACTGGGAGCATGTCCAGGCGATCCACCATGCCATGTCCATGCAGGTCGTCCCGCCTCAAGAGGACGCTGACGGGGAGCAGACGGTGTTCACGATATTCCCGTTGAGCTTGCCGTATTGCCAGAGCATTATCCCTGCGGACGTGGATCTCAGCCAAGAGCGGGACTGGGCGGGTGTGACGGGTTCATGGCAGTGTTCGTTCTGCTTCTGTGATCATCGTCAGCTATTGGGTATGTCTGTCCACTGACTAGGACTGCATATGCCTCTGACACACCTGCGATGAACAGTGTTGAACAACTTCACTGTATGTCGTTGGCCTTCATTCCACCCATACACCCTTGAACATCCCTGCCACAGCTCAATGACGGGGAACCGGTAGGCCCTGATCAAGATAGGCCGTTAGCGATGGAAGTCCTGGAAGACGAAGACTTTGTCGAGGTCTTTCGCTCTATCAACGTCGAGATGCGGGTCATCTCCATCGAGGCGGACCCAGCGCACCCCGGCCGTCCGAAGATCAACTGGTTCGGCTCGATCGGTCCCTTCGCGACTATGGTGGGCTCCGTGTATCTAACGCCGGACGATCAGATCCGCTGGCACTTCGTGAGTGAGTCGACCTTCGTTGCCTCCCGAGACGCTGAACTGCGCTCACAGCAATCTGGGGAACTAGGTAATGCGATGTGGAGGTGCGTGTAGTGCCGGCGGTGGCACTTTCCTCGAGGCTGAGTGTTATGCGTCGTTCAGCTCGGAAGGCATTCAGATCGGGGGCGTGCGCTCTAGCTATGGCGTATTGGGTTCATGGACAACTGTTCACCATGAAGCGCATGATCCTGTTGGTACGTATGGCGAGGTCGTTTCTGTAATAATGCACACTGTGCTGACGCTGAACGTGTAGGGCCGTTCTGGCTACGAAAGATACACCCGACTCATCAAGGTGACTCGGCGGGGGCCACTAACTAGGATATCTGATCGATGTAGTGTCTTCAGTGCTGTCAACAAAACGGAGCATTACACTGGCTTGCCGCGCTGTCGGGCTGTCCTGACCTGTGCATGGCTTCAAGCCAGCGAAGGTATCGTGGCGCTCCTCAACCATCGCGTGTCGCCGTTCCAAGCTTCAAGCTTGACTGGAAGCTTGAGGCACGCTCATCCTCGAAGTTGCGGGGAAACGGTGCACGGATGAGTCGGAACGACTCGCGCTCGGTCCGTAGAGGTCCCACATAAGTAACTGATACCGCATATAAGATCAGTGTTAGTGTATAGAAAATACTAAGTGATCATTACACCATTGTGTGTTATCTATTGGGCGTCATCAACAACATCATTGAGTTCCATTGTTTAGTGTATTAGATAGTGCAACCGGGATTATAACTGTGAATGCGCGTCACCTGGTGGCACGCTACTTACTCCGTTCTCGCTCGGTCCGCCTGGTGCTCTGCTGCAACCCTCTATCATCGAGCACGAGTCCTGCTCTGACCGACTACCGACGAGCACGGTATGTCTGACCCACCCAAGAAACCGGGGTCTTTGCGAGACCGCATAGCAGCCTTCGAGAACAAGGGTACAGCTGCTCCGCCCCCACCCGCACCGCGACCCAAGCCCGCTGGAGGTGTCTCCTGGAAGCCTCGCCCGCGCTCGCCTCCCCCAGTTAGTAACGCCAGTAGTGATGAAGCACTGGAGGCCGCCAAGGCGGCCGGTATGTCTGCTGCAGACGCGAAGACGAGCATCGGGCAGGGTGTGAGTCTCAAGGAGCGCATGGCCGCGCTGCAGGGTTTCAACGCCTTCGGTGGCAGTGCTGCATCACCCCCACCGAAGCCTGCGACTGAGAAGCCAAAGTGGAAGCCCCCGCCGGTCGTCTCGCCGCCCCCTGCAGATGACGATGAGAAGGAGGAGATAGCCAAGCCGGCTGTAGTCCCGGAGAGCGAGAGCGAGGGCGACGTGCAGGAGCACAAGCCTGTCACGGAGGGTGAACCTACCGGGGAAGAAGGCGAAGGGCAGGCAGAGCCTGATCTAGAGGAGGAAGAGAGGCAGCGTCGGGCTGCCATCGCTGCTCGGATGGCGCGTCTTGGAGGTGCCCGAGTTGGCATGGCGCCCCCGGTGTTTGGGAGGAAGCCTGATATCAAGAAGCCCGAAGCACCTAAGGTTGCAGATGAGGAACACAGAGAGCAAGAGTCTGCCCCGGCTGTTAGTCCTCCTGCAGGTAAGCATATTTTGACCCTACATTAGTCGTTGTTAGACGAGCCAACAGAGCCTTCAGTTGTCTCGCCGCCTGAGACTGCCTCTGTCACATCCCAGAAATCCGACCCAACTGCGACAGGTAATTCATCACTTTTGTCTCATCTCTTTCGCGCTCATGTTATGCACAGATTACTTCGAATCCAAGGATCCTGAGCACCTCTCGCCCGAATCCGCTCCTACTCCTCCGGTCCGTTCGCCCGCAATGCCAGTCCCAGCTGGTCCTCGCAGGGCAGCCCCACCGCGTAAGCGCGCCCCGAAGTCCCCTTCGCCGGCGCCGGCGACTGTCCTTCAGGAGGGCGCCGTGCATGAGAGTCCGTCCCCCCTTCCCGGCGCTCCGCCCGCTGCGCCGGAAGTCGCCGCCCCGTCTATTGTGCAGGCAGAATCATTGGGTCCTCATGGGGATCGCGAGCCTGAAGTCGCTGGATCGCAGATGGATGCTTTGATCGAGAGTGTTCACGCAGCGGATACGGAGCTAGCCGAAGAGACGAAGAAGGCACTAGCAGACGTGACACCTCCTCTTGTTGCAGGGCCTATCGAGATAGAGGAACCCGAAGCTGAACCGCCTGCTCATGAAGACAAAGCCCAAGTCATTGCCGCACCAGGGGAAGCTGTCGAGGACGCTGTCGAGGACGCTGCCGCGGCGGAGGCAGAGGCAGAGGCACACGAAGAAGTTGCTGAGCCCACTATCCAAGCAGAGGAGCACCATCAGCAACCGGAGGAGCACCATCTTTCAGAGCAGGAGATTGCTCAGCAGGAGATTGCTCAGCAGGAGAAAGCGGCGCGACGCAAGCGCATCGCTGAACGCCTCGCGAAGGCGGGCGGCGTCAACCCTCTGAGCGGACCTGCTCCTCCCATGGCGTCTCCTCCTGTGTCGCCGCCCCTCGGCCACAGCATCCCTGCATCCGCAGAGCGTCGCCAGAGCTTGAGGAAGGACAGCCATGGATCTATCGGGAGCGAGAAACCGAGTTCACCGCCTTTGGTGCCAACCTCACCTAAGCCGGAGGTCCCCCGCAGGCAAGGGAGCATGCACTCTGTGCGTTCCCAGGTCTCGCTGGAGCACTCTACGCGACGGATGTCCCAGGATGGTAAATTTTAACGCTTTCGGTGACATGCAGCAATCTGCATGCACCCGCATTGTACAGTAGTTGATTGATTGGGTTGTTTCGTATAGAACGCAGATATTCGCTCGGGGAGCCCGAGCCTGCCCCGGAACTTGTAAGAACGTTTGCCGAAGAGATCGTCGAAGAACCCGAACCGCATGACCAACACGAGGCTATCCATGAAGAGCAACATGTCGCCGAGGATAGCTACCTTCCGGAGGAGACGGGAGATGAACGTGAGTGCGCCCACCTTCATTTGGATCGTCGGTGAAACGCATGCTGAATTATCCGTAGACGAGACAGTCCACTACTATGTTGATCCTACGCCAGTAGAGGAAGAAGCCTATAAGGAGGAAGAGGAGATACAGAACGACGAGTATGTGCAGGAGGAGGTTCCTTCCCTGCCCCCGCCGCGAACGCATCCAAGTATAGCGGAGGCTGTCTCACCTCCTTCTCGTAGTCCCTCGAAGCGACTATCTATGCCCCCTCCAAGATTACCCCCTCCGCCCCCGCCTCAGCATGACGCTGAAGAGACTGAAGAAGTAGAGCCTTTCGCGACGCACGAGCCGGTTAAGCGAATGTCAGTGTCGCCAGTGGCACCGCCGAGGCTGCCGCCGCCGCCGCCTCCTCCTCATGTCGATGAACAAGAGGAGGCGCAAGAGGAACTCCCACCGCCTGTCCATCGTGAACGCCGTCCACCTGTCCACTCGGTGGAAGAGCTCAGTGGTGCTCATGTACACACTAAGACCCCAGAGATGACTCACATCCTTGTTGATGGTCACGAACAACCTATGATCCATTCTGGCCCTTCGAGGGAGGATTATGAAGACGCTGAATACACCGACGAATTGTACGAGGAACCGGAGTACGAAGGGTATGAACAAGATTTCGCTGAAGACGATGACCCAATCGAAGCCTTTACGCGTCCTCTACACTATCAGGACACCTTGGCGCCACTCCCTGAAGCACAAGCAGGTGAAACCCTTGACGAAGTTGAAGAGGCGCCTCCTCCGCCTCCTCGACGTCCTCCAGTACCTGGTCAGCCTCCGAGGGTCACGTCTCCTCCCTTGCCTCCGGGTAGGCGACCTTCTGCGGACCAGCCATCAAGACTTGCGACTCCACCGCCGGTTCCGAGGCCCGCGCCGCTCCTCGTCACGCCTCCTGCCAAGCATGACGATGAGGTTCTCGATGATAGTGATGGTGGTAAGCGTGTTTGGTGCCTACCGTTTCATTGATCACAAACTGTTATGATAGATCCTATAGACCCTGGCTTCTACAGCCCGCCGAAGTCTCCGTTGTTCAGAACGCAACCACTTCCTGTACCCATGTCTCCGCCGCAGACGGAAGGGCCCCCGCAGGCTCAAGCACCTGAGGAGGATGAAGAAGACCCGGAACAAGCTCGACGTCGCACCATTGCAGAGAGAATGGCCAAATTGGGCGGCATCAGATTCGGTGCCCCTCCCCCTCCCCCTCCAGTGCGTCGGCCTCAACCACCGCCAGAGTCGCAAGAGGCCGAGGAAGGTGCACCGCAAGAACGGGAAGGCGAGGCTCAGGAGGCTCCAGAGGAAGAAGACGAATTTGCTCGTAAGCAGAGGATCTCAGCCCGGATTGCTGGGATGGGAGGTATGCGTTTTGGCATGATGCCTGGCGCTGCTCCACCAGTGCCGCGGCCACTAGCCCGACCGAACAGCCCGCCTGCTCACGCTGATGAAAGTCCCAAGACACCCACCGTTCCCCATCGTACAGCCCCGGCGGCGCCGCCGCCACCTCCACCAGCTGAGCTGTCTGAAGATGACGACGGTGAACGTATTGAACCGGAAGACAGCGAGGCGGAAGAGGTAACATACGAAGAAGCGCAGCAAGACGAAGAGGAAGAAGAGGCACCTCCTCCGGTGCCCTCTCGGGCAGGCAGACAGGCATCGACCGCGGACGTCCAGCGGCCGCCAGTGCCTCAGATGACACGACCGCCTGTACCACAAGTTCCGACTCCTCAACCTCCGAAGCGAATGAGTGTTGGCTCTGCGAATGAGCCGCCCACCTCTTCTAACTTCACCTACCCTCCGCCACCCCCGAGGCGCCCTTCTATACCGACACACGACACCCAGAATGACTTCGTACTGGTAGGTAGTGAGGAGGGAGCTGAAGAACCTCCGCCACCTCCGCCACGGACTGTTAGCTTGAAGAAGTCGCCTCACCCGCCCTCACGCACTGCGCCGCCCGCGCCTCCGCCGCTTTCTGCAGAGGTGGAGGGAGATTCTGGCATTCTGCGTGTTGACTTCGGCGGCGAAACTGATCTGTCCCTCTCCAATCAGTGGTCAGAGGACTCGACGAACTACCCTCCGCCGCCCCCGCCTCCGACGAAGGGGGAGTTTGTGCATCCGTCGTCAACGCGCTCGGATGTCCACCTTTCGCCGGAGGAGTTGATGAAGCAGTGGGGCCGCGTCGGCGTGCAGATTCACGAGACGGCGTCAGTGATGTTCGACAAGTCGAAGAAGACGCTCGTCGGAGATGGCTCGTACCTTGGTTTCGTGACCGCAGTGCTCAGCCAAGTGCCGAATGCCGCGCATCCGGCCCCGCCGTTCGACAACTTCGGCTACCTCATCTATATGCAGACTGGGGGGTCCGTCCAGAAGAGGGTCAGCGAAGTGATGCCTGGGGATATCATCGTGATTCAAGAGGCGAAGTTCAAAGGGCACAAGGGCTTGCAGAGCTATAACCAGACGGCGGGTGTCGGTGAACCGCTCTACGCAATCGTGTGTGACCATGAGGTGAAGAAGTCGAAGGTTAAGGTGTTCCAGGCGAACCAACATGTTGGGCAGCAGGTGAGACTTCCAGGCGCTTCCGTCGAGGGCAAGCCTGGCTGAGCTGTTGTTTCGCAGACCGTCGAGTCGGTGAGCTATAGATTGGAAGATCTCAAGAGCGGGTCTGTCAAGGTGGGTGCATGTTTCACTCGTGGTTGTGCAGCTGTGTTGATCTCGAGGTGATTGTCAGATCTTCCGAGTGATGGAGGCGTAAGGTTCCTCCCCGGATCGCAATCGTTCTGTTCCTTCTGCACTCATGACAATGTAATTGTACGTCGCATATTATGGAGGGGACTTATCAATGAACAGGCTCTTATCTGGACAAATAGTCTGGCATCGCTGACCGAGACTGTTCACACATCAGAGATCCGGGGTCAATGACTCCCAACTGGCTGCCTCTTGTATGTGCAGACAGACACCGCGAAGTGTTCATGGTCTCAGCGACTGGGCGTAGTCCTTCACTAGATCCCCTGATACGATGCCTGCCTTGTTGTAGCGCAGATCACGACGGATTTCTCGTCATCGTGCATATCAACTTTACAGGCATGCTCTTTACATAGCACCTCACGGTGTCTCATGCGAGTGCGCAATGAACTTGACGTTGCTGACGCCCTGCTTGAGCCTCTGCAGACCATCAGCGATGCCGTTCAAACCATCTGGGAGGGCCCCCACAGGGTTCGGCTAGACAAACGGTCGAAGGATATCTTATCTGCTATCTGGTATGCAGTACGATAGAGAAGGTTAGAGATGACATTGAGTAGTGTGAGGATGTAAGTTCGAACCTTGGCGGTAGTAGTGCGTACTGTATGATGACTGGTGCGTGAGTATCATCCTGGATGTTAGCTGAGGGTGCTTGACACTCGCTCTTGCATAGCCTAGTACACACATGGGTCAGGGCAGGAAGTGGTCACACACAATATGGTAGACGTGGTCCCAGGCTGGTCCAGCGCGTCCCGGATCGACCACACCGCCAACGTGTTGTCGCCCTACCGTCAGGTCCCCGCGTAAGCTGAGCCTAAGGAACCGGCTCAGCTACGGTCACGTCACCGCCAGATGGCCAAGATGGGGAATCGACTATTATGGTAGAGCGATCTGAGGGGTCTGATCCTCAGCCGATGACTGGCGCGTGGGCAAGGTGCAAATGCAGAAACACAATTAGAGCCTTGAACTGGCACTCACTACGGCCTGAAACCTCTTCATACTGATGTTTTCTGCAGTTTTCTACGGTTGAGAGGGGTAAAAAGTCTCAGACATTAGCGGAAGATATCGGTACAGGCTATGTACGCAAAGACACCAAGTGGATATATTGTGACTTTTGAAATATCTTGCAATGTTGTTGTGTCGAAGTGGTAAGTGGGATGTGCCGTGTAAAGTGCATCTTGGTGAGGGTCGAGGGTTCGAGACGGACAACTACTCGTTCATTTTTGCTCACACCATCACTTTTTGCGCCACTTTCCCTTCCCGCCCAAGCGCCAGTCATCAGCTGAAGATCAGACCCCTCTTACCGACCATCCCTAAATAGTCGATTTCCCATCTCGGCGATCTGGCCAGGATATGACCTCAGCTGAGCTGGACCTTACGCTCAGCTTACCGCCAAAACCTTACCATTAGGTCAGACACAAACGTCGGTGTAGTCTCCGTTGCTGACCAAAAAGAGTTACTCTCCGGATCGACTGCATCGAGATTGGAAAGGCGCGATCTGCAGATTCCACCCAGCAAGCGCTGAATCGGGGATTTGATTCACGTGCACCAGGTTTTCCTGCCCGGTGGCTGAGTGCACAACTGAAGTCTCGAGCCTACCACTGGCCATACCCACTGTTGCTCGTCTTTCACAACTGCACCGACTGCTGGCCATCCCTAGACGACTCGATCTTTATACGAAGGAGTTCAATGCCCGAATCAAGCGGTCCGGAGTTTGTGGGAGATGTCTCTGAAGAGGAAATCGTAGCGGTCGACGAGCTTTCCGATGCGGAATCCGTGTATGAGGACGTCGTGCCGCAGCAGAAGGTTGAGATTGACAACAAGGTATGTAGTCTCCGTTTAGTCCTGAATGACTGCTCATGGCCTCTAGATCGCACTCGAGCGGATACGGGACACAATCAAGCTACCCTCAGCCCTTCCCTGGACAGAAACATTGGTCGTGACCTACCCAGAGACAATCACCGTCGACGTCGACGATGATCTGAATCGAGAGCTCGCCTTGTACGTGTACCAGACCTACTGTACGGCGCCACCGTTCTGACAGTACACCTTAGCTACAAGCAAGCGCTCCACAGCGCCCAGCTCGCAAAATCCCTCGCCGCAAAACACAACCTCCCCTTCACGCGCCCGCCTGACTACTTCGCCGAGATGGTCAAGTCCGACGCGCACATGGAGCGCATCCGGCAGCGGCTGCTCGACGAGGGCGCGACGATTAAGCGGAGCGAGGAGAAGCGGAAGGAGCGGGAGGGCAAGAAGTACGGCAAGCAGGTGCAGATGGAGAAGCTGCAGGAGCGCGAGCGCAGCAAGAAGGACATGGAGGAGCGGCTCAAGGGGCTCAAGCGAAGTGCGTATTACGTGCTGTGTGGCGATTTTGTGGCTAACACTCATGGTCTTGCTATGTGATCAGAACGCAAGGGCGCCCTCGACAACCCGCAGGGCGACGACGACAACTTCGACGTCGCAGTAGAAGATGCCATTTCCGACCGCCCCGCCAAACGTGCGAAGGGGGCTGGGCCGGGGGGCAAGAAGATTCCCCGGCAAGCACGGGATCAGAAGTTTGGCTTTGGTGGGCCGAGGAAACACTCGAAGCAGAACACCAAGTCGTCGACGGATAGCTTCGACGCGGGCAGTGCAGGTCGCGGGAAGGCGAAGGGCGGGAAGAGCGCAAAAGGCGCTGCGAAGAGACCTGGCAAGGGCAGACGGATGGCTGCTCGTAGTCGGTCGTAGGCTGTTTGTTTTCCGTCATTATCTGTATCCACTTCCTCTTTCTCTTGCCTGGATCCCGCCGCGTGAGTGTGTCGCTACCCACAAATGCCTTCCTGGCCAAATTTCGTCTGTGTTGCCGGGTTGAACGATCAAGTACTCAGACACAGCCGGGGAACATCACCGTTCCTTGAGATAGTCTAAAAGCCTTCTGCGCTTTCAGGCCTCAGTCTGGCGACTCTCCAAAGTCCTCCGAACAAGCATGTCTGAACACATCGGGTCCAGTCACTACTGTAACAAAACGGCATTACGACTGACGAATGAACCTACTTACCACTGTCGGTGACGGTGAAGGGGTTTCGCTGCCACCCATGCAGCGTCAAAGAAACGCCTTCGCTGCCTTGCTCAAGCTTCCATCCGAGGCCCTCAGCAGCTAGCTCCTGGTCAACGTAGAGCGTCTCGTCTTCGAGCACAACTTTGAATTCCTTCCGGCGTGGCCTCTCGGTCCTCGAGCGATCATGGAACTTGAAGTGCCTGACAGTGAAGTTACAATTCCGCACAAGTTTTTTGATGCGAATGCGTAACCGTTGGAAAAATCATTTGTGTGATGTTCAATGGTGGACAACCTCCTCGCGCAGTAGTGCAGGTGCCATGCCAGCATATGTACGGTAGATCGTCGGATGGAGGCAGTTCACTCAAAAGTTCAAACGTTCACTCGACACGGAGTTAAGCAAGGAACACTACGTCTAGTTTCCCACGGTAACCACCGCCACCATTCACGTACTTATGTAAGTAACTTATTCGAGAAGGTACTGGTCGGCTTCCCGAAGTCCGGGCCGACGTCTCTCGCAACCCCCCATCCTCCTCCCTTTCCCCGACCCCCGACTACCACCTCGTCCGACGCCGCCCGACACACTCGACACTATGTCCACCATCTCGCCACCGCCGATCGCCAACGGGTACGCCTCTCCAGCCCCCTATGTCGCTGCGGTATCTCCTCCGCCGGCGCCCAAACCTACTGCACACCCCAAACCCAAAGCCGTGAATGTCTTCTCTAACGATGGTTCGTTCCTAGAGCGTTTCCAGCGTATCAAGAAGGTGAGCTCAGAGCTTATTGGAGGCGTCGGTGGTTCCCTTGTACTGACCTTGGTCGTACGTGCTAAGGATGAGGAAGAGCAGAAGCAGCAGGAAGAGATACTAGCGAAGTGAGTGTGATCAGACGTTGTATCACTGAACACAACGCTGATCAACGTTCTTGAATCAGGAAGCGGAACTTCGATGAACGATTTGTATGTTCGCCGTCCTTTCTCTACGATGACACAACGACTCACATATGCTTACAGAAACGACGGGGCAAGCGCCCTTCTCCTGATGCTACGAACTCAGAACCTGCTACAGAGCCAGCTGCGAAGAAGCCAAAGGTTGACGAACCCCGAAGTGAGTAACTTCCTGCATGTCGTCCTGTGCTACTGAGGCCCGTTGTCCTCGTAGATCAGTACGAGAAGGAAGTGAAGAGCTACGCCGCCAGTCTGAAGGACAACGGGGCCGGTATACGGCCATTGGTGAAGTGACTTCTAGGCGGGCAATGTCGCATTTCGCATTCCGTAGGATGACGCCCGGGTATTTGTACCGAGTCGGAGCAGTCTTCGCGTCCATTCCCGTCGTTGGGGCTCATTAGGTCTAAGCATATCCAACAACTGTACTATACGCATTCCATATCATAACCATTTGCAATGCAAGCCACATTCCAGAAGTTACGGTGTCTATGAGCCGTCATATTTGCGCATCTCGCTGCCACGGGGTAGACTCTGGATGGGATACTGAGGTGTTCGTGGTGTCGTGTTTCGGACTACACTCCTGCGAGTGGGTTACGCATAACATGACAGACACTTGCGATAATCTGAGGATCACAGACGCAAATTGCTGAATGTGCTCACGAAGCATCCACAGGCATCCATACTCTAGCAAGAACACCTGATGAGCTACTCGGTAGGCACAAGTGCTACTCGTGACACACATATTGTCTTCATAGGACACCCTGTCTTCGCATAAGCTTCTCCGTCGCAAATGCTGATGTGTGACATGACCGTAGTCGTCGCGAAGTGTCCATCAGTCGTAGGATGCGCATCAGGTGGACACGAGGTGCATGACGAGTCTATTTTTTAGTCTCCATGAATAGCACTCGCGCTTTAACTGAAGTCGCAAACGGTGAGTAAGCAACCCTAGATGGCAAAGTACAGTAAAGCCAGGGCTCACCTCTCGGGTCGTACTTCACAGCGGAGAGCTTGGGCCCTATCCGGAGCCGTTGCGTAGTGTAGAAGTAGCCGGTTTTGGCCGAAGAAACCATCCGAACGATGACCGTCCTACAAGTGATTCAGCCAAAATCATAGCGAGAGTAAGGCAGATGCTACTCACCGTGCCTTCGACTTGGACGCCATGACCGTCAACGACAAGTGAGAACCCGGGTACTGAAGCGCGCGCGCGAGAACTGTCACGCCCGTGGCCACAACACGTGGATGTGACAGGCTCGCGGGACGTCACAGTCGCGCGCACCTTTGTGGCCGCCACCAAGCCGCCACCGACGTGCCTTCACAACCCTTTCTCATCCACTCATCTGTCCCCCCTCGTCCCCCCTCCTCCTACACGCGTGTACCGCTGTAAATTGACCAAACTATCAACACTTGCTATATCTGCAACGTCGTCGACGGCACAACCGTGACGCGAGCACAAAGCCGTCATCCTCGCCACAGAATTTACAAGCAGGCCCCTATTCGGCCAGACAGGCTGAAGACTACTCAGGTATACGCATACGTACTGCATGGATGTCATGAAGTTGCTCAAACATATGTACTACACAGTGCTGAGATTGCTTTGAATATTTATGCGACGCCACTATGCCTCCCGGCACACCATACGGCTCGTTCGTCCGGAATTATAAGATCCGCGTTGACAACTTCACTGGGACGGAAGAGAAAGTCGCCCTTCACTTACTCACGCATACGCACACCGACCACTTGATGGGACTGTCCGCTCAGTCGTTCGGGCATGTGATCGTGTGCTCGCAAGACGCGAAGGAAATGCTCCTGCGACACGAAGTGTACAACGAGCGGGCTCTGAAAGACATGGACCTGCGTGCAGAGAAGATCAGGACTTTCAAGCATCTGAAGGTCGAACCGAGACGGTTTGAGGACGGCACGGTTGATCATACGGGCTCGAGGGACCTCCTGGTCAGTGCCCTTCAGTGTTTACTTATAAATCTGCCATCGTGCTGACCCATAATTTATTCTGCCTTCAACGCCATGGAATAAATCACTGACATGTTCTTTGTGCCACAGAGAGCAGTGCCCCTGAACACGCCGACCGAGATCAGACCGAGCGACGATGAAGTCATCTATGTGACTTTGTTCGATGCAAATCATTGTCCGGGCGCAGTCATGTACGTTCAGAAGCAAAGACAATATTGGTGTACTTACGAGCTTTCATCCAGGTTCCTGATCCAAGGCAACAAGGGCACGGTGCTGCACACCGGCGACTTCAGGGCGGAACCGTGGTTCCTGGAGTCCATAACAAAGAACCCGTTCCTGCAACCCTTCCTCGCGGGGCCGGAATCATCATCGGCAATGCATGCGAGACCAAAGCGGAAGTCGAGTGCTGTCGCAGAGACCCTCGATGCGATCCACTTGGACACCGCATGCTTATTGAGCACGATCAGCGTACCGACGAAGGTGAGCAGACAGCTGCAGTCTCAAAATGACTGCCGGGCTGACAAAGGGGCCTAGGCCGAAGCAACTTCTGGTTTGGTATCGCTCATGTCGCTACTCCCATCGAAGACCCTTTTCTTCATCAACTCTTGGACCTGGGGATATGAAGACGTCCTCAAAGCCGTCGCGCGTGCATTCGACAGTCAGGTCAGTCAGACACGCAGCGTCCTGAGTTTGAACTGTCGCTCACATGAATGCATACAGATCCACGTCGACCGCTACAAGCACGGCGTGTACAGCAACCTCGCCGGCGACCCCTTCCTGAAGCGCATCATAACTATGGACGCGGCCAGCACGCGTTTCCACGCCTGTGAGCGCTTCAACCGGTGCGAACATGTCAACGTCGATGGGAATGGTGGCCGCGCGCCTACCGCTGCCGCCAATGCCGGCCCTAGCTTGAGCACCACGGGGAAGCACGTCGTGTACGTCAACCCGGTTACGATGGGCACCGCGGGGTGGGAACTCTATTTGAAGACGACGAAGGAGAAGATTAAGTCTGGCGAAGTCATCAATCACTTGGTACGCTCACCTCCTCGGTCCTGGCACTGATCACGCCGGCTGACTCTGTGTGGCTCGTAGCTGGTCCCGCTCTCACGGCATTCTCCCCTTCCCGAATTGCGCGCCTTTGTCTCCTTATTCAAGCCCAAGGAGCTCATTCCCAATACGCTCGACCCAGCGTTGAAGGGTCTCGACTGGGCGTGCATGCCCGAGATGTTCTCCGGCTGCCTCGCCTCAGACGGCGTCACGGGTGTGAGGCCCGAGACCGACTACTCCGGGGCTGACATACGAGATATGGCGCACGAGCTGCTCGGAGAGGCCGGAGAAGACGTCGCAATCAGAAATCTCGAGGGCGACGGCGCTCGCGAACTCGCCGAGCGATGGGCGGATAGTGGGAAGTTCAGGCGGAAGCTCGAGGTAATGCACCAGTACCTCAGGGGGAAGGACCGCGTGATCGTAGAGCGGATCATGGAGGGAGGGAAGGACGCAACCCTCGACTCCGATCCAATCTCGTCGGACGTGGACCTGGCCAAGCCGGTCGATGTCGCCGATATGCAGCAGCCTCCCAAGTCGCAGCCCGCGTTCCGAGGAGGACGCGCGACGGCGGAAGAGACAGCGCGAGCGATGGCACGTTTACGTGCCGCGTCTCGGGTCTTCGCAGCTGCCGGTAGTGACGAGGACACTGAGGACGAAGATGCTGAAGAGCAGCGAGCGAGGACGGCACATCAGCTGTTCGCTACGCAGGCGGGCATCTACGAGGACCCGTTCGGGGCCTCTCTCAGGAGTTCATCACCTGTCTTGTCCAGCCCGTCTTGTACGCCGCGAAAGCAAATCGCAAATCAGACTTCGCCCAAAGTCTCGAGTATGGTATCCAGCGAACTCCCCGCGACAGCCTCGTCGAAGGACGGCCCGCGAAGTGAGAAGACTGGAATGCAAAAACAGATACTCATGCCACGAGCGAACGGTGCCCCGTCCGAGCCACAAACTCCACCTCGCGGCAACCGTAACGCATCCGCAGAACATACGGCAACTCCTCTCGCTAAAACGGGGGTTGAGAATGTCCGTAAACGGAAGCAATCACCGCTGCCCACGCCTCAATTAGACCCCCACACACCGTCGAAGTCATCCAATGTCGCACACCATGCTGCACCCGCAACGCCGACCTCTGCAGCTCGTCCCACAAAGTCGCCTCGGTATGATCCCGAATCGCCATTGGCAGATAGGGAGAACCTAGTAGTGCAACGAACATCGTCACCACCGTTACCCTCAGCAAAACGCCGCAGGCTTGACAAATCTGCCGATTACCCCAGACCGACAGTCGGTAGCTCGCTCAACCCCCATCACTCGTCGGCATCTGGATCAACGCAACCTCTGGAGAAACCCCCTTTACCAGCCCTCTTTCCAGCTACAGCCGAGAGCAAGCCCGCAGATAGGCCTAAGGACGACTTGAGGCAACTGCGTAAGTTGTCCACGAAGAGCGCTACTATGCGTGACGCACCTGGTCATACATCGCGTGAAGACGCAGACAAGTCTCGGAGACAGGTCTTGAAGATCCAGCGCGAGCTGACTCTGGAGAAACTCTTCCAAGCCCGGCCCGACCTTGCGACGCAGAGCTACATCGCCAAGCGTGAGCGCAGACTGTCCCGTGCACAACAACAGGACAGTAAGCAACGCATCCGGGGGCTGCAGCCTGAAGCCACGGTACGCTTCGAAGAGGACTTGAGCGTCGGCCCATCTACCAGTAGGTCGCGTGTTACCAGTACGATGCGCGCCCTCGACCAGTTACCGTCGCAAGACTACGAAGACGGAGGACCCCGAGTCAGCAGGGAGCGCAGCGCTCTAATAGCAGAGCGGTTTAGGCAAGAGATCGCCAAGGGCAAGAGGCCCGGACTGGTCATCCCGCGAATGCAGTGCCTTGAGAGTCAAGAGGAAGGACAATAGATGCCAATGGAGAGCGTTTTCGGCAAGTATCATTATTCATTATGTATCGGGCCGTCGTCCCGCCAGGATTCCAAGTGTTAGTGTCGTCCTAGCAATTGTGCGTAGAAACATATAATACTAGTACTGTGTAGTTTTGGATGCCCTAGTAGCACGAAGACATTCATTCGATTGCTAGCGTGCAGCCTGAGCCAGTACCCGCCGAGCGCGGCTTCCCCACGGTCTGTAACGCCCGCGGCGAGGAGCTTGTCTCGGTTAGGAAACTATCTTGAACCATGACTTACGACTAGGAGGAGCACATCGCCACTGCCAGTCCACTGTCTGTTGTCCCTGCATCCATTTTTGATATCCAATGCGTCAAACATACCGATGGAAAGAATACTCAGGTCATGTACAAGACAATGTTCACCTGTTCCTGGCGTTCGAGCGGCACCGTCTACATGCCCCCCGTGCTTGCCTCTAGCATCCCGTCACTATGTGTGCCGGAGCGGTAGTAATAATCAGTCTAGGCGTTGCACACCTGCACCGCACAGAAGAGCTCTCTACAACATTCGCAGCCCGGATACTGCCCTTAACAAGAGCGACTACGGGTTGATGCTGCCGTCGTTGTTAACAGCAAGCCCTATATCCTTTCTGCATCCTACATCGGAAGCGCCCTCTGTATCGCTGGCAATAGCTGCCTTCTTTGGATTGCCTGCAGCGCTCTGGGCGTACAAGGTGAGTGTGTGGTATAGGCGGATCTTGCGCGGATAATCACAGCATTTATTCATAGTGCCTCATGATGGTAGTCTTTCAACGAAAAATTATCTACATGGGTGAGTAAGTTTCGGCTTTCGTACGCCAGCGGCTCTTCCTCCGACTTAATGCTTAACATGCATGATTCTGGCTGTAAATTAGGATACGCACCGCCTGGTGCAAGAACAGAAAGCCTTGGCGCCGATGTACCTATGCCAAAGGGTTTAACGTGTGAGGAGTTGCACCTGGAAAGCGAGAAGGGCATCACCTTGTATGGGATCGATGTCCGCAAAGACGTCAAGCAAACAACACCGTATGCCCGCAAGGTCGTCGTCGTATATCTACAAGGTTCTTCCGTTGACTCTTCGAGAGCCAGGTGCATCGTTGACTCATATCGCATCACAGGTAATGCCGGAAACTCCTTAGCCCGGCTTCCTGTCTTTGAGACGTTGCTGCACGGCATACGACCGCCATCTAAACCTTCGACACAACCAGCCCTCGATGTCTCCATTGTAGCAGTAGCACCTCGCTCCTACTGGAAGTCATCCTCCCGCACCCCGACACAGCGTGGCATCCTCGCAGACTACACCGCAGCCCTCTCCTACGCCACCCGCCGCTATCCCGACTCTACCGTCGTCCTGTACGGCCACTCGCTAGGCGGCGCGGTCGCCGTCTGCCTCGCTGCCTCGCTGAGCGCGGATGACTACCCCTCCGTCAAGGGTCTCATACTCGAGAACCCGTTCTCTTCCATCGGCGGCATGGTGCAGGCTCTGTATCCCCAACGATGGCTCCCATATCGCTACCTGGCGCCGCTCGCATTCGACAAATGGGACGCAGTCACTGCTGTCCGCGAGACGCGCCCGCAGTCCCTCCTCGCGCGACTGTCGAAGGACACGCTCGTCTTGCTCAGCGAGAAGGACGAAGTGGTGCCGACCTCAATGGGCATGGAGCTGTACGCGGCCCTTCAGGAGAAACTGGCAGCAGACGCAGGAGATGCCTCCGCAACCAACGGCTTGTGCCGACAAGTCGTCATCCGCGGCGCGCTACATGAACGCGCCTGGCTTGAACGGCAGTGGGTCTCGGAGATGGGAGCCTATATGGATAGCATCTCAAAATGCGACAAGGTGTCATGATGATACTGCTACAATTTGACTACAATCGACAATTTGTTGTATCCGATAGTCCATGAGAATAGAACACGATGAGTGGGTGATAATGTTACAATGGTGTTTACAGACAACGTATGCTCGAGTCAACAGCGGAAAAATCCACGAACAGGCATATCAGAGCGATCCTGCCCATTGAGCGAGAGGAGCAAGGCGAGGATTGGTCTTGAGATTGTGGAAGGGAGCGAAGTAGCTATAGACTTGCTGACAGAAGGACGTGTACTTTGCACGCTCTTCAGAGTCTGTTGGTAGCGACTGTTCCGATGTCAGTTTACATGTCGGGAGGATGCTGACGACTCTCACCTGATGTATGTTCTGCATGGTCGCCAGCATGGTGAGCACAGACCCAACACACTTCTCCCGTAGCGCGACGGTCTTAGGCTCTGGACCCGGATTGGCCAGAAGATGATGCCCAAGGTTTGCGACGATCTCTGCGACTCAGTTAGTCATACATCATACCACACGGAGAAGCTGAGCCATACTCTGCACAAAAGAGAGCCGCTTGTCTGCGAAATCTTTCCTGGAGATCTTGTAGTCCGCAGATTCCGCGTCCTGCGTGCATGGCATATCCTCGAGAAGCGGATGTCGCAGGCCATCAATCGAACAGAGCAGGGACATGTACTCGTGTTCGATGGTGGTTTTTGCTGCCACCAGGCACTGCAAGAGGACATCAAGGAATTGGAACTGGTACGCCTAGACGGTGGTTTGCGTAAGTTGTCTCGAACGCACCGTCGTAACGCTCAGTAACTTACGGAGTAAGCGGAAGGATCGAGCCTAAGGACCATCATCATGAAGCGCAAGCCGACACGGCGACGCCACGAATCGTCGCTAATCTTCTCCCAAGACTGGGGGCCCAAGGTGAGGTACCAAGACCAATCCTAGCCGCAGTGTCAGCTCCTCTTGAGCATTGATGTACGATTGATTACATACCCTTTTGCCATTCTGCACTAGCACGCTAGCACACCCGACCCAGCAATCTACCCATCGGTCCGTCTCGTCACTATATTGTTCCAGAGTCTCGGAATCATTGGGGCCGCTGAAGTGCCTCATCACTAGACGATAGATCGTCTCTACGATGTCTTGTGCAATGATCTGTGTTGCAAAATGAGAATTCATCTCAAGGACTGAATCTAACACTCACCTCGCAAACGGCTTCATCCTTCTGCTTCAGCTCTTGCGCCTTGGCCGAGTTCTCGGGATCAAGTGCAGCGACAAGCTCAGGGTCATCCCAATTCATTTCCTCCATTTCGAAGTACTCTTGGCTCTCCTGGCTATCTTCTGCTGTGTCTGCTGACGGTCGCGTCCGTCGTGGAGGCGGAAGGGCCGCAGCCCTGGCATCGAGAAACGACTGTACGAGTTTTCGGATCTCCATTCCGGTCAGCGCGTTGGCGCTGAGCTGCGTATCGAGGGTGAACACTCGCTTCACCCAGGCTGCGAACCATGTTCAACCGTCAAATACGGTGTGCAGACAGTAGTTACTTACGTCCTTTCAACCACGCGGGATCCGGGTACTCAGATACAGTTTGATCCGGGTCCATGAGAGGAGTCTCAAGGATGCGGCGAACACAACCGAGCAGCATCTGGATGCCAACAGCTACTCGTCCATTGTACGTTTGCATATACTCGTCCACCAGGATATCGGTCATGTGGGCAAGCCAGTCCCATATATCCTGCAGGGGCAAACGTAGATGTCGAAGCAGGATAGCAAGGTGCATCAGGCCTCTGATGCACGCGCGACGCGTTTCGTCATCAACGTCCTTGAAGTTGACGTACCGTCGCGCATTAGCGAGGCGATACTTGAGGTTCCCCAAGGACGAATCAAGGTAAATGGCGACAGCCACCGCGCTGAATCGATTGTATACCATGGATAGTTGCTGCCGATTTGGCGGAGTGGCCTTCGTGAAAGGCACAGTGCCAAGAGGGACGTAGAAGGATGAAAGCTTATTGAAGATCTGTGTTTGACTGACGACGCCCCGGTTTTCATCAGTCTGTGGCCGCGTGTCGTCAGCCGTCTTCACAATGAGCTTCAGTAAGAGGGTGAACGCGGTATCGCTAGGCTTGTTCTGGGACAGGAGATTGATGTTGCTGTGCCGCAAGAAACTCGGGAACTCTGGGAATTCGTCAGAAAGGTTGGCGAAGCGGCGACTCTTGAATATCACCGCCAAGCGTTCCAACGCCTTGGACGCATCCTCCAGCAACTTGGACGCATCGCCTAGCGGCCATTTCCACGTGCGAGCGAGAATCAAGCATCGACCGACCAAGATTCGGATGTATTCGTCGCGTTTGTGCAAGCTACGCTTCGACAGAGATGCTTCCAAAGCTGGGTCTGCGGCCAGCTTGATGCGATCCAGCGCCAGGATGACGAACTGCCACGAGGCAGGTATGCGAGGGGATGACAGGGAAGTTCCGTGCACGGAGAACTGTGAGAGAGAACAGAGCGTGAAGATGCTACGCCACAGCATTTCACTGGCAGCGACTTCGGAGGGCATATCGCGCAGCAATCCTTCGTGTGACACAAGCCCATGCAGAATATGCCAAAGAGAGACGAGACGATCGTTCTCATCTAGAACGACGTCTTTTGCCGATGACCAGGCGTCGACGTAGTGGATCGCAGATACCCACAGTTCGGCGACTCTTCTGATAAAGGCTAGGTCTGCCGCGTTCGGAGCACCGGCCTCATCGTCCTTGAACGGCCTCAGCAGATCCCTGAAGCCTATGCCCCACAACCGAGCGAGCAAACGTTTGATATTGAGGTTGACGGCCGTCCCTTCCACAACTCCGTAACGTTTGGCGCGATGACACTCGAGGCGTGTCGAGGCCTCCAGTATGAACCACCGGATCTCTAGCTCCAGAACGTTTGGACCTTCATCTTCCGGTAGCACCTCCATCGGCTCGTCAACGATATCGCGCAGCTGAGGGAGATGTCTTTGCAATGACGCACATAGCGAAACATACTCCGCTTCCGTAGCCCTGCCCAACAGCCAAGAGAGATGCTGTACTGTCGAATGAAAGAAGGATTGCCACGGCCTGGATCCCTCCGTAGTTGGTAGATCTCGCTGAGAGAACAGATCCCGCATACGCTGGCAGGTCTTCTCTAAGACAAGCTCGAAGTCCTGCACAGACATGGTTGGACGGAGATCGAAGTTGGCATGCGAATATGGCATTGGACAATGTATTTCGCGTTGAGCAGTGATTATTCCAAGGAGTTCGTGGAGGCATCCCCTTCCCAGGGAACAGTCGGTGCCGAAAGTCAGGCCGGCAGGCAGGTACGGTACGTTGAAATCAAGCGTTACCCGACGCGAAGGGATGCCGTATATTGCGTCTGGTTCGAGGGAGGATCGCGCGTGCAGTTGAATTGCGTCCTCGTCTTCATTCCAGTAGTCCTGCAGAGTACGCTCCGTGTTTGCTGCGGTATTCGTTCCTCGAGACTTCGGTTTAGACGCGGCACCTGAGCCGCGGTCTCGATTTGCGAGACGGACGTTAGGTACAACATTGGCTGTGACTTGTTCCGCATCAATCGTGACGGCTGCCTTGTGCGCTCTCCCGGAGACTAGGTGCCCGCCTTCGCCAGCAAACATGAACAAGGTACCCTGATTACGCGGTTCCCTGCGCTTGCGGCGCGTCTTTGCCTTGGAAGAGCCATCTTGAATGTGAACGTGTACTTCGTCTGTTTCTCGGACAGTTAAGACGTGATGGCCAATGAAGATACTCAGAGGCTTACCAACAACGTCGATTGAGGGGGATGCGCTTCGCGATCTTGAAGCACGGTCGAAAGGAAGGACAGTTTGACGACCCGACCCAGTGCGCCTTGCGCCAGCTGTAACAATGTGTAACGTGTTTCGCGACGTCTTTCCAACGCTGCGGGAGCGACCTGTTCCTGTGCTGTTCTTCTTGCGCTTCTTACTCCCAGTCACTCTCGTGCGTGACAGCATGCGATCGATGAGGTCCCGCTCCCGCACTGGTCCATTTCTCGAACGCTCGTTTCGACGAGACGGGTTTTCCGGTGCCCATTGTCCGATCTCCTGGCCTAGGTCACTATCGGTATCCTCTTCCTCCGTAGGAGCCGACTGCTGAGACCGTTGTTTTGTGTCGTGCCAGGTTTGACGGGGCCTGTGGACCGCGACTCTGTCTAGATCGGACTCCGAATAGCTACTCGACGAGCTGATCTCATGCTCAACATCCACCATCTCGACATCTGAGCTCTCTGAATCCCCACGAATATCGATATTGGCTCGTCCAGACACGGTTCGCCTGATGATCCTAGACTCTCCGGGTCGCAAGGGTTGGCCTTCGTCTCTGCTCTCGCTGCCGCTGCTCTCCGACAGCGTAGCAGTGCGCCGCGGCCTAGGTTTCTCCACGTTCCGCAGATGGCGTGAGATGAGTACCCGTGGCATCATTCGCTGCAAGACCTTGAGACGCTGACGGTCTTTCGCATTCATCTCCTGTTCGTCGGATGGCTCGTCGGTGCTATCGACATCCGTAGGATTGTGCTTTGAGAGGTCGGGAGAGGACCGGCGACCATCGGAAAGTAGAACCACGTCAGAGTCAGACGCGTCAGCTTGCCGTGCACTTCGCGGTGAAATCAGAGCACGAGGCGATGATGTATTGACATCCATCGGCGTCGAAGAAGGTGGGGGGACGGGGCTGCCCGAATTGTGGAAGAAGTCCTCGTCGACTGCGAAAGGCTGCTGCTCGTGCATATCATGGAATCCCGCATCACCACCGAAAGGAGAACTCGGAGGCGTTTGCAAAGGGAATAGAGTAGAACTCTTCCGTCGTCGCCACGTCGGAGCGGGTCCATGCATCTGCCCGTCCGAGCTGTTGGCTGCATCAATAGTCGAACGCTCGTGCTCATCCGACATAGGCTAACGGGGTTTCATGTTAGTTGGCCCAGGAGGTATGACGGCAAATCCCCTACCTCAGCAGCTTGTTCCGGGGTACCTGACCTGCGCACGATATCCTTCTTTCTCATTGGGAACGGTCTGGCCCTCCTACGGCGAGTCTGGGCTTGCGGCCTGTTCTTCGCATTGTCTGTAACGTCATTCACGACGCTTTCATCGCTACTACTGAACGACTCGTTGAACGCGCTTGGTTGCCACTCCACACGTTGTGGTGGGTCCTTAGAGCGACCCGGTCTCGATGGCGCAGCAGCGACTTGCATTCCCGGGGTTCTGCGTCGCGACCGTGGCCTAGACGATCTTCCTTCATCTTCCTCTGCGTTCGACTCCGGCGCTGCCTCTTGACCCATGCTCTGCGACCTGCTTTTACTTCGTCTCCTCCGCGTCTCGTCCTCCGCGTCCCGGTCCTCATCCCGCCCTGAATACTCGGGGTCACTGCCCTCGTCTCCTGAGCGCGCTGCGCTCTTACTGCGATCCTTCCCGCGCCGGCGCGGACTGATCACTTTGACTATAGCCTCCGGATTCGAGCGCATCTGACGCTTGTACAAAGCCTTGTCGTATGCGTAAGGGTTCTTCTGACGCGCCAGACGTGTGCGCAACGAGTAGCGCGCCTGTGCCTGTTCAGCGGCAATGGCCGCCAGTTGCTCTGCTGTTGTTTTGACTGCTGAAGACCCCGCAACAGGCGACGACGCAGAGCCAGAATCGCTGGGTCTTCTGGGTGACTGAACGGGTGTGAGAGGGGAGGAATGCAGCGACAACGGCGAGGACCCATGGTACGCAACCGGGGGGGTTTGTGTACGGGGGCGCGGCGGGGTATGAGGAGAGCGAGATCGAGGAGTAAAGAAAGAAAGTGGGTCCATCGACGGGGATCGAGACCTGGGAGAAGGGACATCGAGTATTGGTGGAAGAGTATTCTTGATAGATTGAGGGGCAAGAAGATCGACTGATTTCGAGGAGATCGACGCAGCGAGTGCTCGTTCCCGTTCAATCTGCGAACCAGTGCGGTCTGTGTCATACCCCGCAGCTATTAACGGATCCTCATCGTCTGAGTTGGCGGTAGGAGTATGAAGCAATGAACTAGACATGGGTGACGAACTCCGTCTAGCTCGCGCCAGATGTCGAACGGGTGATGGGCTAGTAGGACGTGGCAAGTCGATGGACAAAACATTCGCGTCCGGTGGAGAGGGCAACCGTGAACGAGGCGACGTATTACTTTCCGCGTATACATCTGGAGGGTGGGACAACTGCACGAGTAGTTCAGCAAATCGATTTCATGATAGCAGATGAACTTACCTTTCTGCGCTTCCAAGGCGAGCCAGGAACATACTGTCTCCCAGGAGTCCTAGGAGATCGCGAGCTTTCTGCTGTGGTGTCGGCGCTTGCATGCGAGTTCTGCATCAACCGACCAAGAGTAGTCGCGTCAGTGACTCTTAACGGACAGACACGTAGGGATAGTGCCTCTCGTTCAGCCCAGTAGGAAGGAGAGTGTGCCTCGAGTTCTTCCAACTCTTCAGGATCAGACGTTGGTACCAAGTCATCGTTGTCCATCGACCATGGACGCCCCTCAGGAGTGATTTGTTGGTTCGCAGCCTATCGTACACAGGAGTAGAAGTAGATACCAGTCAGTATATGCACAATACAGCAAACGCAAGCCGCGGGTCGCCGAGGACGAGGATGAGAGGGACGAGGGGATCCATTTATGATTTAGCCACGCAGCGCAGTGGCCTGGCGTTACGTGAAGAGTCACGTGTTCGTGACCAACCGCGTCAAGTCACGCTCCTGCGTCCATTAACTTACTGACTGTCGGAGTGCGAGTCTCTCAGCTGCCTGTATTTTTTCTGTTGTCGATTTCCGGGCTACTGCATAGCTCCAGAGTCTCATATATTCAATGATGCGGACTGTAGGGCCCGACAACAGTAACATTCCAATTCGTGACACACAGGCAGTTCGTTACATCATGACACTATACACTGCTCACGGGAACAGTAACATGAGCTCGTTCAGTAGGCTGATCGCGTCAGCCCGGAATGTATCTGCGGTGATTTCCACCTCAGGTGCGGGATCAACGAAAGTCAACAACGGCGGCGCCGAAATGTCCGAGCCCCACTGGTCCCAAGTGATGTCTGATAGCTTGCTAAGGCCAGACTCGAGATCAGCCGGAGCATTCGGGTTGAGATTATTGGTGAAGAAGACTGGATCATACAGAAACCCATTTAATGAGCATCGAATTAACCACGATGACGGCGTGAGGAGCACGTACTGAGCGCATCCGGTGCTATGTAGTCGATAGAGCCGAAAAACTCCAGGATATCGGTTGCGTGTGCAGCTCCTAGGTACGGTATCTGGGTGCCACGCTTGTAGACTACCCAGGAAAGACGTCAATTTTGGTTGTCGCGGCTTAAGGAAAGGTCACTCAACGATATGACCATGCATCCTGCGTCTGAGATACTGTCTCCAGGAAGTAACGGCGAGGTGCTTGCCACAACCAATCGCCCTGGAAAGACGCAAGACGTTTGAATTCCGGCCTGTCTATTGGTCAATACAAGTTCATAGTAGGACATGGAAGTGCCTGACGTCAGCGCCCATAATATGCCTGTGTCATAGGGTGCACCCTGCATCATCCAGTGAGCCCTTTGGATGGCACAGGTGAGACGAGCACATACCTCGGAAAGATCGGAGGGATAGGCCTCCCCCAAAGCCTCGATTTGTGAGTCAGAAGCGACAGGAATGTAGCTGCGCGGGACAGTCAGTGTTATAAATCCGGCAATGCATGTGACTCACTTTGAATGTACATATTCGAGGAATCCGTCATCCGTCCTGCACCTTCATGAGCAAGGGCAGAGAAAAGAGAGGCAGAAAACGTACGTGACGTTGACGTTACCGAACGAGAAAAGCGTTCCCTCATCGTAGCAATCTCCAATGATGACGGGCACCTGAAGCATGCGACGTTGACCTTTGCATATCACCGTCGGCATTGTAGCACAAGCAACCGCCTACCTTGGCATACAAGCCCTCTTGTATATACTTCATCCCGTTGCGCAGAACGACCTGTCCATCAATCCGAGGCTCCCATGCCAGGGTCAAGCTCTGGTAACTGAAGAAGGAGGGACTCAGAGCAATCGCCGCCTGTAGTTCCAGATACGGCACGCTGCGGAGACACGCCAGAGTATCGTCCTCGCCGGAACAGCCCGTATTCTCGACCAGTTGGTCGTAGTATTGTTGGCCTTCGGCAACAGTTCTTAAGGAGATCGGCGGCCCCGATTGCTATAGTAGTGATCAATGCTATGAGACTAGCATGTAGATGAGTAGTCCGTACCATGACTGCGGCGCGGAATAGACCCCCAGTATCGCCTTCGTTCCAGACCAAATGAGCAGCTACGGAGAATGCGCCTGCACTCTCTCCCCAACTACGAAATAGCGTCGCATGAGATTAAGTGAAGGCCACGCCAAAAGCCTAACACTCCAAAGCTTATGCTTACATCGTCACCTTCTCAGGGTCACCTCCGAACTGCGAGATGTACTTGTTGACCCATTGCAACGCGAGACGCTCTGAAAGCAGACAATGGCGTCAGATCAACGTAGGTCTGGTGTTTAGCTACTTACGGTCACGAAGACCAAGATTGGTCGCATTCGCGTCCAGGATTTCTTGGCTAGCAATGAACCCAAATGCTTGGTATTTTTCAGACAGAGAACATGGATGAGGAGTGTCATCGACGAACCATTCACGCGGTAATTCAGAGCCACGAAGATGATCGGCTGTCCTAGCGCGATGGATCTTTCCACGTAGAGCGACCCGTCGTATGTCGATGCATCTCCTATCTCAAAGGCACCTGGACCAATGCCGAGTAAGTAAGTAGCGTGCAATATAGCATTCTCTCGAAAGCAAACCTCCGAATATCCACTGCGTGTCATGAGCATTATCCAGTCGGGCATGTGGTGCGAGACGACTCACGAATAATACAGGAAGGCTGTCGCCCGCGGAAACGTTTGCTGGCTTGATTACGTTGAGGTTCAAACCTGACGATGCGGTGTCAGTCCGAGCACCACAGCGGACACCTACAAGCTCACAATCCTCAGAAATCAGGCCTGACGCCGAAGTAATCGTGACGTTCTTCGGCAAGAGGTCGGGCAGCACAATGTCCTGCTGCGGACACGCTGCTCCGTAGCTCGTCGCATCCGCGACCCCGGTGAATGGTTCAGGCTCCTGCGGCGCTGCAAAGCGAAGGTTTCCCACTCTATTTGAAGTCGGATGAGGCGGTGATTCATGTAGTGTTGAAGCAAAGGGCACTCACGGAGGCTGGGCGTAATTCATCCCAAGGTACGAAGTGACGCTCCCCGATGTGACACCTTGGTAAGTCCCGTAGTCGAGAGTCACTGTGGGATATGCATCTGCGTCTCGAGGCGTGAGGGGCACACCGAGGACCTGAGTGATGCCCAAGGCCAAAAGCTGCAGGATCAGACGGAAGGACCGCATCGTGTGGGATGCACAGATGTCGCTAACGCACTATTGGAAGAAACAGGTCTCACCTCATTTTATAACAATGGCGGCATGGCACTCACGTACATGCGGAGTTATTTGAAGTTCACATTGACCACGACCGCGTGCATCAAAGCGGGTTCTTGCGTCGTACTATTTGCGACGCAGCAGGTCATAGAACGGTCGTACAGAAATCAGCAGGAAGGCCTGTGATAAACCAAGCGGGTAGTAGGTAGCAATTGATCTCCGGGGTGCGCACCTTCGAGCGATCGTAGGGTAACGATGCTGTGGAGACTGTAGCATGGGATTCATATGTCTCTACTGCCTGACCTCAGCTGATGCTGTCTGAGGTCATACACGGTCCGTGGTACTGCAGCGATGCACAATCGAACAAATCCTGGTGTGATCATGAGATCAGCTCGTCGCGCGTAACGACCGTCCATGATACATTCTCGCAAACAGACTTCCTCAGCGCTGGCGTGTAGGGGGACAGTGTCAGAAGACTTACGCGTTGGGCGCCCGAGCGATCCTCTGAGACAGAGGACTCGTCTCGATATACAACGCCACACTGCCATAGAATGCCGAGCTGAGTGTTGCCTAGTTTATTCATCTCCGAGGGTCCAGAGCCCAGCATCCGGTGCTGTTATATGGGATGGTATGCTCAGAATAGAGCTCTTCCGATTGCTTGCCCGGCGACATGGAATTCGCTGAAGCTCCCGGAAGCCGATCGCCGCGTCGATGTCAGCACCGCATGCCAATAACGTGCCGACACTGCTGTGAGAGCGTCTCCATTGAGTTGACAGAACGTACCATGCTGCGAAGCGGTCATGAGGCATAACACCCGCTTGTGTGCTTCCCAACCTGGACAGGATCTAGCACTTCGTCTCTCTGGCAGCAGATGGAAGCCCTTCCAATGCTGCCAACGGGAGTCCGGTCATCGTGAACGTTCCGGGTTCCTCGGTGAGACGCATAGATGACGATCCCTACTTGCCTGCCTGTAGCAACTTGTAGTACCCGGGCCGGGTACTAGGTGCGATGCGACTTTTGAGTCGGAGATGGATGACTGAGGGCGGCCGCATATACCAGTTCGTCCGAATTTATTGAGTCTCTTTGCAGAAAACTACATTCGACGAGACAGTACCGTTGAGTACGGTAAGGCTGAATTACAAGTGAGAGCAAGTGAGTACGCGACGAGCGCGCTGCCTCTTTTTAGCGCCCAAACTTTGATGCGGGCGTTTCCGGAGGATTGCCATATATGGATATGTCAATCTTTTGGCCGCTTTTGGTAAGAAGAAAGTTGAAGGACTCCTTGTTCTTCTCCACACCTTGTCTAACGGTGCTTCGCTAGCAGCGCAGTACAACACATACCATTCTCAGAGAGGGATATGAGAACTATACCAGCCATGCGCGACCCCCGCTGCTTCCCTCCTTTGCTAATCTCACTCTTCAGAGCTTCAGCCCGCAGAGCCACGTATCCCATTTCGGAGGCTCCCGTCGTGCAGAGTCTCCAAAGGTCTCTATTTGAACGACTTTAATCCGCTGTTCAGGCACGACAATGGCCGACTCCGACCCTTGGGTAGTGCAAGAGAATGCTACTATCGCATTCTCATTACTTGGGTTCGTTCTGGCCAACGTCCCCCTGTATTGGCACCTACGTGGTAAGTTCAATGCATGTCCTCCGAAGATGAGACTCACTTCGCGTAGCATGGAACATGGGATCCGTACAATACATCTTCTGGGTCGGCAGCCAATGTCTCCTCCAATTCATCAACAACATCGTCTGGAAAGACAACGCCATAAACTGGGCGCCAGTATGGTGCGACATCAGTACGTACCTGAGTCTCGCGCCGGGAATTGCACCTCAGAATTTCTTCATGCAGCGACGAGATGGGCGCTGGCGTCCAGCATTGCTATCTGCTCTTCAGCCCTGGTGATCATGCGCCGTCTGTACCACATCGCGAACATCACTACGATCCACCTCACGCGCGAAGACAAGCGTCGCATGATCATTGAAGACACACTGATCGGCTCCGGTTTCCCTATCCTCCAGGTTCTGCTCTGTATGTTATATTTGAGCTCACGTAGCCCACTGAAGCTGACCTCCGATAGACTGGTTCATGCAGGGACACCGGTTCGATATCTACGAGGGCATCGGATGCTGGCCAGCTATTCCGAACACCATCCTTTCGTGGTTCATCTATGATCTGTGGCCCGTCTTTTTCGGCACGATGACCGCTTTCTATTGTAGTGCGTATACATATCTCTCAATGTCTAACTGCGTGTTCACCTAGTACACATCCAGCACTGACGATCAGAGCGTTCCTCAAGCGGCGCAAACAGCTCGCCCAAATCATGGCAACGAACAGCGACCTCAACTTCAGCCGGTACCTCCGCCTCATGGGGCTTGCCGCGGTCAACATGATCTTCACGCTCCCGCTCGGCATCTACACGATGATCGTGAACGCATCGTCGCCGATCTATGTGTGGCGAGGGCTGGCGGACCTGCACTACGACTTCTCCGCCGTCAACCAGTACCCTGCCATCCTGTGGCGCTCCAGCCTGCTGGCAGCCCGCTCGTTGGAGTTCAGCGAGTGGTCTTTTATCGGCTGCGCTCTCCTGTTCTTCGCGTTCTTCGGCTTTGGTGATGAGGCGCGCAGGCACTACCGGAAGGCCTATGAAGTCATGGTGAAGCGCCTCGGTCTACGACCTGATCTGTGGCAACGCCTCCCCGAGGGATGGCGTCTGGGGTAAGTAAAGCAAGTTCGTTGCTCTTGTGCATGATGCTTACCTCCGCCGGTTCACAGGTCCAAACCGGCTGGCCCGCAACCCATCAACATTGTCCTTCCGACCATCGCCCCTCCCTCCAAACGTGACACCGTCTACACCACGTCTGGCAAACTATCCATCTCGATCTCCCTCACAGACGTCGGACCGGACGGGAACGTCGTTGACAACCTCAAGCCCCCGTGCCTAGCTTCTACGCGCTCCTCGAGTTCCCACTACTCAATCGATTCCGAATCTGACACTTATGTCTCCTCGGACAAGGACGAGAAGAAGGACGAACGAGAGTCACCTCTACCTCCCCTCCCGCTTGAGGACCCCGACTTTGTCCTCGACATCCGGCGGATGACGGTTCCCCGCCCAGCGCCGGACGTCCCCATGTCCGTGCGCCACTCGATGGACATCGTCTGACCACCTTCCACACTCCCTATACGATTTATCTTACATCGCCGTTCTGTTCCGTTCGCTTCGTCTTCAATGTGGGCTGGGTACAATGCAGTAAGCTTGGCCCAGCGACTGTACTAATCATCGACCTCCTGTATCGCTAGACACGAGCTACCAGTCCTTGCCACTCCTTCGAACACTGTCAAATAGAGTGCCTCGTCGTTCCTTGTTTGATCGACTCGACTGTATCATAGCAGGCTCCCGTCATCCAATGCTTGGACGAGGTTCAAGCTCCCGGTTGCCTGATTCTTAGCTCGAACAAGATTGCAGTTCGGAGTCGACACCGGCCGCTCCACCTCTGAGGACAATGTTGATCATCAGACGGGAGAACATTTGTCGCAAGGTGGGTACGCCGCGCCTGGAAGAGGTCCAGACTCCACAGCCTGCCATAACTTATAGCCTGTTAGACGTCAGGCTCGCCCGTCGCTGCACGCTACAGTCCGTGTCGACCGTGACGAAGTCTGACAGAAGACGCGCATGCTTTCAACTTTTTCATTTGGCCGTCTGGCCACACTACTACCTAGCAGTGCTTCGAACCGACATGTGTCTGTTTCTGGCTTGTACGGCCCCTGGCAGCCCACGACAGTATGATTTTGATGCCCACCGGAGACATGACTCCAGGAACTTGCTCACAAGTTCATTTACTACGTATACTGCCGCTATGCACGTTCTCCACCGTGACGACGTTTTCATCGAACACGGTCAGGTCCATTGGCTGGTGCCTTCCGCGCCAAATCGTAGACTGCGAAGCGGCGGGGATGCACTCCAGTGGGTACGACCCATCGATGGTTTATGGGAAACGTAGATCACGCACCGTGACGACTCGGAGCTGCGGCGAGGAGACAGTGCACGGCCTCGTGTTCCGACGTGTACCGCTAAGTAACAGCAGTCGATTGTGTCAGACTTGAGTTTGACTTTAGTACTCTGAAGTAGTTCTATCGGGCCCCTTGGCTGTTTGGCGGTACTAGTCTGACTACTATTTCTCTAGAACCACCACGCGTACTCGACAACCGACGACTCGCAAGAAGACTGGGCTTTCGCAATCGCCGCCGCGTGCCCCAATGTCCCTTGCATCTCCTCTCGCTGATCGCGGTGATCAGTGGCGCAGAAGCGTTGTCGAGTACATCGTGTTCGCAGCAAGGACGCCCTCGGCTCATGCACGTGCGGGGCGATGACCTCTGGTGCTGTTCTCTTTGAATTTCGCGAGGCGCTGCCACGGCATCGCCCTGCCTGGCAATCGTCTACATCTATATAATACCCACTGGGCTTCCTTGAGTACCCCAGAGCACCCCGCGACCAGTGCCATCTCTGCCATCTAACCCAACTTCATACTGACCAGCATGTCTCAAGTGTACGAATGGGAACCGGGAACCCCGTACGGCGCGGGCACCGTCGTCGTGTATCAAGGTGAGCATTTGGTGCATAACCATGGCGAATATGTACTGATCGGGAGGGCATCACCTACACTAGGGGTCACGTACACGATCATACAGCCGCACACTTCAGAGGTACGTTTGGGTAGTGAAACATGAGCTGCGCATAAGCTAAACCATACGGCCCTGTAGCCTGGATGGGAGCCACCCAACACTCCGGCGCTCTGGGGTCGCATGGAGGAGCCGGTCGGTGGCTACCAGCAACAGCAGCAGGGTGGGTATAACCCGGGCTACATCCAGCCTCAGTCCCAGCCTCAGTACCAATCGCCGCCTCCGCCGCAAGGTATGCTCATCCATGCATCGCACCAGCATGTACACGAAGTCTGATCATCACATTGTACAAGGCGGATATGGTGGCGACGAGAAGGCCTGGGATCAACATCAAGACCAGCAGGTTGAGATCCATCATGAAGAGCGCAAGAAGAACTGGTATGACCTCGACGACCACCGCAAGAAGCAGCTCGAGGTACATGGCGGAAGCGTCCTCGCTGTAAGCTGCGCTCTTGCTGATCTACTCCTCAACATAGATCGGAGGCGGTCTTGTCGCTGGTCTTGCTGCCATCGGCGCTGGCTATTATGCCTACCACGAGCACAACAAGAACGAAGATGAGGTATGCACGCGAGTGTAAATCATTGCTTGACTATACTGACAACCCCTTCAGAAAAAGGCGTTGGTCTGGGGCCTGCAGAATTGGCTTCAGGAAGCCGAGGCCCGCAAGCGCGACTTCTACGAACGCGGTCCTTCCGGACCCGCCACGTGGATCCTCTCTGAGGGAGGTCAGGTCCCCCAGAACGCACTCCCGGCCGGTCAGCAAAACGGCGAAACTTTGTACGTCTGCCGCGGCTTCTACGAGGTATGCACCCGTCGTGAAACGTCAACGAAGTTCGAGTTGCTGATCATTGACACTACCGCAGGGCGGTCTCCGTACGTATCGTCCTCGATGATGTTATCGCAACCCTCACCTCTGTCTGCATTGATGTAGAGATTGGCAAGGTATCGCCTGCCTTCCCCAAGGGCGCGGTGGTCGGATACGGCTTCAAGGAAGTTTCGGTGGGTGCTTACTTCCGTGCCCCTGTCCTCACCCTCGGGCTCACTTTGCCCTCGGTAGCTCCCGAAGTACGAAGTCCTCGTCGGGGATCCCCGCGCGCTCCGCTGGATCGATGCGCGTGGCCGCCTGAACGTGCAGAGCCTCGGCGCGCAGCCCGTGGAGGGCGGTCGCGAGAAGGACGGCACGCCACTCTTCGTCGCGAGAGTGCAGCACGGCGAGCACGTCATCCCAGGCAAGGTCAGCGAGAAGCTTGACGGTAGGTGTTGTGTTTGTGGTGCTGCGCGGGTTCCAGAAGCTGATGCTGTGAGTAAGCTGCACTTGTTCCGGTTGGGAACACGGAGGTTACCCAGCCTGTGAGTCGTGCTTGCATCTGAGAAGCGCGATGAACTGATCGGCCATCCACCCAGGAATACCGTGTTTTGTGCTACGCTTGAACGAAGAATTCAAGCTCGTATTATCCAGAAAGCATGTAAGGCATGAGCATCTCAGTGTACCATCAGTTGCAGTATCGTTGTCTTCACATGTAAACGCGTATCGTCAGGAAAGTTGTACTCCTCGCAATTTCAAGGCATTGTCAATAGGCTAAGTTACAAATGTACAGTTGTCATTTGTCGTTGATGATCGAGGATATGAAGGCCTGAAGCTTGAACCTTTAAGTTTAGTCACACGTTTGACATACACATTCGAATGTTCGCCTTCAGCAGGCTGCATACTTCTTTCCACTGTTCAAGTGGTGGGATGACTTCAAACTACCCGATGTCTCCGGTGATATGATCGTTCGTTGCGATTCATTTCCGGCGCTGGGAGCTCTTGACTGTGCATGTGAAGCGATAACTTAGCCGACGCATCAATGACGCATAGAAACATCTTCCTGGCGAGTCCTGGCGTTTCCGATTCGATTGGTCAGGGGACCGTTCGTGTCGTCGATTGACTCGAGTCATGGTTGCGTGATGACTATTGCATGCTAGCCATGAGTATATGATCGTTCGTTGAGAGTCGATCATTCCCGCCGGGGCGATATCGATATATACCTGCGCGATGGTGCGTTGACTCAGACTCAGCGCACAAACCATGACACGCTACGGACTCGATGTCCTCTCCACTGTGTTCGATCTCGCACGTCTCCGGTCTCACCATAGTCAGGTCCAGGGCAACTCGAGACCGCTATCCCTACAGCCCTTCCACTCTCATACACAAGAACACGTTCATGCTGAACACGAAGCTGCTTCAGATGGCAGCGATGATTTCCGACTGCCGAAGATGCGGTCTTTAGTCACCATGCTCGTTGCAAGCATGCTTATGCAGGTATGTATGTCCAACGCCTTGTCATGTCATTCTGAATGGGCATGCCGTACTACATAGGTTACCTTCTTCATTGTTGTCTCCTCTTCGAGCGAGTACGCAGAACACCTAGGGGGAACGCCCACGTTCTCTGGCCTTGTCATCGGTATCCCGACCGTGTTCGCAGGTGTTGCGTTAATCCCAATGATGAAATACGACGGTGGTAAGTAGTGCTTTACCACCCGACATGCATTAGCCAATTGATTATTGATTCGTCCAATTGCACCAGGTGGATACAAGCTCCCTCTGCACTTCGCGTGTGCCTGTGCCATACTCGGAAATGTCCTCTATAGCCTCGCGTATGCGGCGAATTGGCTGTACCTCATTCTGATAGGACGTATGGTGTCCGGACTAGCTATGACGTTCTTCCTTTATTCCAAGCGATACTGCACCGACCCGCGCATCGTCGGTATCCGAAGGCGCACGACGCTAGCGGGCTGGCTTGTCCTTGGACAGGGCTTCGGCTTCAGTGTTGGCCCTTTCATTGGCGGCCTCCTGTGCGCATGATCCACTATGATATCTGTGGGGTTATACATACTGATGTCCACTTTACAGCTACAAAGTAGGATTCCCGAACTCGGTGTTCAATGGATATACTAGCCCAACGTGGATCCTCGCGGGCATATGGGCCGTTTTCTGGGCGATCGCTGCTGTGCTGTATGAGGACGTCCCGCAGGTACGCCCTGGTGCAGTGATAATGGAGTTGCGTACCACCTCTGCCTCCCTGGAGGCACCCCAATCGTCGCAAGCCGACGACGCTATCCAGGACTCATCAGCGACTCGTACCACCAGCGGTTATCAATCTCGCGCAGACGGTATGCACCCGAAGGCCAAAGGTGCCTCTACCGTTCAGGAAGCTGCTGTTTTGCCCGAAGCAGAGGAAGCAAACATGCCCACTTCGCGTCCGAGTCGATTCCGCATGACCGGCCCCCAGATCGGCGTCACGGTGACGATGTGCTGGTTCGCAATGACCTGCTTCTTCATCCTCGGCTCGTGGGAGGCGAACATCCCCATCTTCACCTCGTCAGACTCGCCGATGAATCCGTTCCACTTCGGCCCGTTCGCCGCGGGGAACATGATCGCGCTCGGCGGGGTATCCACGTTCCCCCTCCTCTTCGCCAACCTATTCGTCGCGCGCCGGATCCAGGACCGCCACACGCTCGCGATCGGGACGACGCTCGGCATGGCAGGCCTCCTCACGGCGATGGGCGTCCTCGCGACACGGACTGTCACGTATGGGAGCCTGTTCGCGTGCTGGTTCTTCATCGCGCTGGGGTTCAATATCATCAGCACGGTCACGCTCAGCTTGCTCTCGAAGCAGCTGCCGGGTGAGTGGAATGGCCGCCTCAGTCTCGCGATCCAGTATAGCATGTTCACCGGCCGTGTGACCGGTGCTGTATGGGGCGGTGCTGGGGTGAAGGTAGGAATGCTCAACTTCGTCGGGATGCAGATAGGTTTGGTGTGTGTGGGCGCGGTGTCGTTTTTGACGTTATGGCGACAATTGAAGGCGAAGACAGGCTAGTCTAGCCTCGATGGTCCACACGCCCTCGACACATTGATGTAGTATTTGATAACACGAATTAGAGGAGTTGAACAAGACCACACGCACTTATGTACTGTCTATCAAGTGCGCATGGTTGTCCTGCCAGTGATGACCGTTGTACTTGTCGTTTCCCTGGCGCGGGCACTTCAACATGCGTGGTTTGGTCTCCGTTGTCAAAGACAACTTGATCCTTGGTATAGCTTGGGCTCCCGGCATTTACTTCAATGGTCATATTCCATAGTACGCCATGTAGCAGAGATGGCTTCCGTCATCATCGCAAGGTCGTTCTATGCTATTGCGACGTATACACTATCGCAGGACCTGTCATTGCCGGGTCACTGCTTGCATGTGTAAGCGTCCCATCCTATGGAAACAATTCTGAGCAAGTGAGTGGTTGCTCACCGCGGCCGCCAAACTATGTCACCATACATGTTGACCATCGACCATCTCCGCTGAAGGTCGTCATGCGGTCTTGTTCGTGCACATGAAGAAATGGTCTCGTTCCGGTTCCGGTTCTAGTTAGTCGATGAGACTCACATTGTAGACACAGCATTGATGCCATCGACGACGAGGCCAAATGGATGTAAGAGCTATCATGTACGCGCCTAGAGGCACAACGCGTTGACAGCAGCGTCCTCCTGATGGCTGACAAGAACAACACAATGGCACACACGTCGTGTCTTGGTCGGGCTGAGTACGTTGTCTGATGGTAGGACTCGAAGGACTTGAGGAGGACGTGGTCTAGGGGCAGTGTGCCGGCACGGCGCGCCACCGTCGCGTCGAGAGCGTGAAGCGCACGTGCTGCGGTCTCTCCCGCTACTTACTCGTTGAGTCGTTCTCCCAACGCAGAGTCCCAGACGGCCAACTCGCTTCCCTCTCCTCCTGCACGAATCCATACCACACTCGTTCGAACGAATCGCCCTCTAGCTCGCGTGCACGCGCGAACGTACTACTATCTCAGAGATACCGCCATCACGGGCGGCAGAACCTGTGCGGCTCCTCTCCTGCTGTCCTGCGCTGAAAGGTATGGAGTCGTGATGCCGTGTTTCCGGTCTACTCAGCGGGCTGTGCTCGTATCATAGATGGCCAGTGCACCCTCCGGAACTCCTTCGCCCTTCGACGACTCGCCTTCTTCGCTAGCACTCAACACGCACTTCCTCCTGCAGCCGGAGCCTGAACACGACGAGTCTGGTGCTTCTTCTGACATCGCCTTCTCTGACGGCGACACTGCGTCGCAAAGATCTATCGCCCTGTCTTCTCCCACACACTCGCCGCGACCCGCGGCCCATCTCGGTCTGCAGGAAGAGGAGGAGGACCAGGTCACGCCGTCCGCTATAACACCCGTCTCGTACATCAGGCAAAGCTTGTCGTACTCCAAGCGGAACACGCTGGACACGGATTTCAGTTCCGACGTTGATGATGATAGGAGCTTCTTTATGCGTAGAATGGATGACGGCGAGTCTCCAATATCCAGTGTAGCACCTTCGGTCCTGGAGGAGCGAGAGAAGCCCTCGAGCCCGCCACCAATGCCCCGAGCGCCTGCTTCGCCTCCACCGCCCACCCGTCCGCCCGTAGGCGTACGCGGTAGAAGTGACACGGATAGCGTAATTTCAGCTGGCTCGGAGGGCACCACGTACTCGAAAAAGGCACGGCCTGAGTCTCTGTTGCCTCAGGCGAATCAGGGTCCCCTAGTGTTAGGTATTGCGCTTGTAGACTTTGACCACTTGGTACGTGCGTAACCACTAGCCTTCACGTACACCTATTCAATGTAGTCTCAGGTCGGACCTAAGATCGAGTTCTCCAGAGGGGCGGTGTGCGAGGATGAAGAGATTGCAAAGATCCTCCCCTTCCTCGCGCTTCCGGACGGCGCGCACTTGGTAAGTGTGGAAAGTTTTAACTGCGTAACTGAGGGCTAGAACCATATACAGTCGTCGGAAGATTATTCCTACTTTCACCTCGTTCCGACAGGACCCAATCCTTCGACCATCTTCGGGATCTCGTAAGAGTCTCACATAATGTCTCGTTCTACTCATCCTCACTTCCTCTGCAGATGTAATCGACAAATACGCGCCGCAGAGCTGCTCGTGAAAGAGGCCGACGTGACCCGCTCGACAGTGCAGAAGGCCGTCGTCGTCCTCGCCTCGAAACCCGTGTTCGGACTCATCAGGTAGGTGGACGAATGCTTGTGCATCCGTACTTTGCTCACGGCCATTGCAGGGACCGGCTCGGCGTGATTACTCGCGCGCTGTTCGCGCAACGCGATTTCTCTGACATGAGCATTCTTGATGACTTCCACACCTCGCTGGAGCACTCGCTCCGGAGCCAGATGACCGAGAGCGGGCTTTACATGGGTGCGCATGCTGTTCGGTTGTAAACGTGGTGTCGCTCACATATGGGTTTGATGGTTGTAGGAACTAGTCTGTGAGTCAACCAAAATGGATTGACAGACTCTCATACTAATGCGTTCAGGCGGGAGCTCGTACATACGTTCCGACAACGAACACTCGTCCTCTTGAAAGCGCTCATGTTGCAGAAGAAGGTACGTGGTCTATGATTTACTTGATACATCAGAATTAACTTGTGTTGAAGATCATGTTCTTTGGGCACCCAGTGGAGCGACTATGCACGTACCAGTACTCCTTGGTTACCCTCGTTCCTGGTATGCTCCGCATGGGACCGGTACCCTTCGCATCACTCACTGAGATTACTCAGGCCTCCTTCAAAACCTGGACGACTGTGGCTCGCCACCGCTTGCTGCGCGGGCTCAGTCCCTTACACGACCAACATCATTACGCACGTCTGATCACAAGAGTATGATGGCTTATATCGGCTTGCCTCTTGACCTCTTTGGCAAGGTGCGTGCCGAAGCTGATCCGCTCCTTTCGTGTGCTTGATGTTGGGTCTTCAGGATGCGTTCTTTCAGCCTTATCTGCCGCTACAGCAGCTGGACATGCTCAAGGACACGCAAAGTTGGTTATGCGGCAGCACGAACACCATCGTCACACAGCAGAAGGAAGTCGAACTGCTCGTAAACGTGAGGGAGCCATCTCCCGACTGTATCGTATGGGTGCCTGGCTAACACTTGCTCAGGTCGAAAACGGGACGATGGAGTTCCGTGATCCGAGGGTCGAGCGTGTGGCCGGCTTGACTGCCGCTGATCGGAAATGGATGGACGAGATCGTCAAGGATGTCAACGAGACATATATCGACGACCCGACAAAGCCAGCCGGCATGCAGTCAGTATCTGTTGTGTACAACCAAAAAAAGTCACACTGACCGAGACTATTTACGTAGCTTCAAGGGTAGCGACGATTACTTGAGACAGAAGGTAGGTATGAGGTTGCAGGATGGCAGTGTTCTAAGCTAACGTTCGACCAGTTCGAGGAGTACATCTCAGGTGCTCTCGCGTCCGTCAAGTATTCTGCGTTCTTGGCAAAGGCTGGGGGATCCGGTGTTGTAATCACGGATGGCCAAGGTACTGCCTCTTGCACTGCACTTTTGTGCTTCGGGCTTATCGAGACACACAGGCGACCCGAACTCCTCACAGGATTTCAATGCTCTATGGATCCAAGAGTTCAAGAAGACGAACGCCTACGAAGTCTGGGAACGTGTGACTGATCCTATGCTGTTCGACATCGTTGAGGCGCGGTACGTGCCACTTCTTGTCACTGCCATCCTCACTCTTATCTGAACTCTATACAGGCATCCTTGCAGCGAGAGGCCGTCCGTTCTCGCGGATGTCGGACTGCGGCTATCAGAGGGAATCCAGGAACTCAAACTTGACCAGCAACTGGCTCCGACCAGAGAGGCTATATCGCGCACGATCACGGCCGGTTCCACCAATGTCATGAAGGCAATGGAAGGGTTGCGTGGGCGCTGGCTGGCCCCGCGCAGTGGACCTGGCACGCCAGTGACCGCGACCTTCTCGAGCGATGGTTCTGCGGGTTCTGCGAGCACGTCCAGTAGCGCGGACGAAGTCAGCAAGGCTGGTAGCTCACCGCCATCGCGGCCACCTTCGATCAGGGGTACGTCTGACCCTGCACGGCCCCCGTCACGCTCGAGCGGCTTGCGTCCCCTGAGCATGGCGGCGACACATCCAGTCCCCGTACCGCCTCCTCCTCCGGTCCCAGAGCCGGCTCGCTTCAGCGGCTGGGTCGGCTCGTTCTTCACGCCGCGGCCCCCCTCCTCGCGTGCATCGACCGCGTCGTCAACGCGCAGAGAGAGCAGCTCGGCCGCATCGGTGTCGTCTCGTGGGCCGTCTCCGCATCCTGCTTCGCCGCCGCTCCCTCATGCGAGGGATAGCATAAGCAACGCGAGCGTTGCGGAGTCTTTGCCTGACCAGGCGCTGCAGACGCGGAGCCTTGACGACGTGTATGGGGGCGTGAGCATACAGGACCACGAGCAGGAGGCGGAGCCAGCTGATACTGGCGTAGCGCTCTGATCCTCACCCAGGTACCATTTCGAGCGTCTCGTTCCGGTGTTCTCCTTGGAAGTATTATTATATGGTCCATCCCGCGCAGTTCTTCATCGCAATTTATCTGAACCAGCAGACGTTTACCTGTGATTAGACTGTTCATGCATCATGTTACACTATGATATTCGCATACCCGCGTACTAGAGCGAGCTTCGATTGTGGTTCCAACATCAACTACCGAGCTGGAGATATTCGCATGATACTTGCCGGAACGGACCACAATTATCAAAAACGGTGAGACGGTGAGTCTGCCTCATTGCTCTCTCGGAGAATGTGTTGACGGAGCACAGGTCAACACGCTTTCTAAGTCATAGATTCACGAGGTGATGGATGTTGCTTCTGCATCCGCTGTCAATGAAGCGTCTACGGTGCTACTGCGGACCACACCGAAAAGGCGGTTCGACAGTGGGAATGGTGCATCGCAGTCTGGAGTCTAAATTATTCGGATAAGACACGATGTTTATATTGCGAACGACGACTCACATTCCAGCAACTCTCACCTCCAGTTCACTCTTCCTCAGGTTTCTCCAACGACTCAGGCGCGATGCCAACATATCCCTGGGATACATACACGAAGGAGATGCGCGAGAAGTACTCTTGCTATGGCAGAGCTATGTGGAACCCATCTCCGCACCTAGCCGCCATTCATCCAGACGTAGACAATGCGGTAGATATCGGCGACGTCGGGCGCATCGAGCGCGGACAGTTCCATCGTCTATTCAATACGATCAGTGGCTTCAGCCACTGGACCCTCCCTCCGACGCTCGTTATGTTACCTCAGACCGAGATCGAGGCATTGGTGGTGGAAGATAACATAACTGAGTCGTGCTTGCACAGCAGCAGTCTCCTGACGCTAGATATCGATGGCGGAGCGACCGGGTGAGTCACAGCTGGTATGATCGAGTAGACCGCCTCTGACGAGACGTGCTCATGTTAGCGGCAACGTAGCGGCAGCAGGCGCGTCTTTCAAGTGTGCAAGAAAGCGAGGGGCACTTCTGCACTTGCCTGAGCCCGAGTCGAGGAGCATCAATGCTTCCGGAACATCTGCCCGTGCTCAATATTCATATGCGAGTGGCAAGAGGCTCGCCAGTAACATCATTCTGGAAGAGTACGTGGGCAGAAATATTCAATCATGGCACAGATTTGCTACAGGGACGGCGCGATGGCGCGTCGACGAAGCAGACCTCGTATTTGTGACCGGATATTTCGCCACAGAACGCTGGGGGGTAGCCACATGTACGGACCACGGGGTGGATGCAACAGTCAGCATTCGCGCTGGGCAAGGACCCCTGGACATCTCATTCTCTGTCTCCGGATCGATTGCCACCTCCAGCTTCTTTCACACGAGATGCGGTCCATCCAACCCTAGACCAGGGAGACAATGTATATTCCTCGACTTATACAGGGGCGCAAGCCGGGCTTCGATATTCGCCAGCAAATTCCTGTTCTTCTCCAAGCCTTTCAATGCGCTTGGGGTTGCGGGGCAGCCTACTACACATGATGCAGCAAGACACAGGGACGGCTACGAGTTGGGAAATGGTTTTGCTTCCATCACCGGAGCCGAATTGGGCGACGATATACCTATGACAGACGAGCCGAACCTGTACGACGAAGCCTCAGAGGTCAGACAGACGACGTATAGCTCTCAGCATTGCGAAATAGTGCCAGCTGATGCCATCTGTCGCTAGATACCAGACCCTTCAGTGATGCTACTTGGTCGCATTCTGCAGGTTGGTAGTTGGTCATAATTTTCGCCGCGAGCTCAGAGCTAACGAAGAGCCCTAAAGCACTCCAATGCTGATGTGGCGGTCGTCAGCACACATGACCTGCACTATTTGCAGACTCGCGAGTTAGAGAAGGTACGTCAACCTAAATCAAGCAGTGGTGGATTGAAATAAATTTCTCCTTATGTACCAGCTCCGTGCGGGTCGAGATCGCCCAGTACCACCCACTGTCTCTCATCAGCAGTTGGATGACTGGTGGCATCCCACGGACATCATCGTTGTACCTACAAGTGCATTGAGAGGTAATGGACTGTAGTCGTTTCCAGTGAACAGATAGCACTGATGTCTGATGTACTTAGTCGGAGTTTTGCAAGTGAATACGTTCGAGCGTCGACAATGCCTACCGGAAGATACTCTCCATGAGTATCCCTATGAAACTGGGTCTACAAGTCTGAGACAGGTACGCGTCAGTGTTGAGCCGATGATGATTTCTACTGAGCACGTCGCCACAGGTTATCGATATGACGGATAACGAGACCGTTTCTGCGACTCTTAGCATGCCTTCAATCCACCCTACAAGAGCATCATATCCACTGGACAGTTGTCCAGAATCGCACATACTTGATACGGACATCGAGACGGAGATGGGGAACCTAGACTTGAGGGGTGACCGTTTTCTGCCATCCGATGCGCCGCTTGCATCGACTTCGGCTGAAGGTATGTGTTCTTAGGGAGTATTTTGCATCCCCGTTTTGTTCATGCATTGTAGTGCATCCCTTCTATCCGTCAACAACCGATTCCCCGCAGCCTCTGGCGCAAGCATCACACACGCGCTCTTCGGTATGTCCTCAGTCCTGTCCGCCCCAGTAATTAATCCCCTTATCCGTAGGTTCAGGTATACCTCGATGATATCCATGAATGGCCTGACGGCGACTCGCCGGACCCCTTTCGCGAACAGGTGCTATTATCGTAGGATGTGGACCCGCACGCATACTGACATGGCATCCTCAGGAGGCTGCCCTAACTGTAATGGAAGCCGAAGTCACACCCGCACCCATTATATGTCAATGGAAAGATTGCGGCCACACACTAATCGACTCGTCTGCCGCAAGTATCCGAGGTCATTACAATTCAACCCACCTACCTTCATCTGACGATGAGGAAATACAATGCCAATGGATCCACGCGCACGGCGAACAATGTCCCAGTATGTTGCTGACTGGCTCCGTGCTCACACACGTCCTGTGTCTACATATGCCGCCCTTTCAATGGAAATGCAAACATTGCAAGCGGGGCTACTCGAGCCCTATGGCATTGAAGAGACACATTAATAGATTGATCAGCCGATCCTGGTCAGTCGGCATGGGGTGCAAAGGGGAGGAAGAAGGGACGGGAAGGACGATGTCGTGTCCTACGTCTATATAGGGCTCCGCCCCCAGCGACCCTAAAGGGACAAAACAACCAAACAAACACTGGTTAGTACGCCTCATGATTCAGGCATATTTTTTGACGAGCGATCAGCAGATGACGGCGAAGAGCAATGCGACCTTCTGCACGAAACCAAGGAGCTCCATCAGGCCTTGTAACAAACTCGGTTTGCCATTCAGATGCATCCTACTATACGTTTCCGAAGTGTACAGAGATAGTCCCATATACAAGAATAGAATACACATATAAATACATGCGCACGGGCAGGCAGGGTCAGGATTGCAGTGATGTTTGCAATACAATCGTCGCGGATCGTTATAATTCTTCTCTATCTTCTAGGTAGGCAAGGAGGACGTTCAGAGCCGTACAACGGTGAGGATGGCGACAAGGCCGTCTTGTTCGATGTCGTGATTGACGCCTGCGTTGATGTCCGTGAGTATATGCGTGCAGCGGGGTCGCAAGGAGCAGCAATGCGCACCTCGGCTACCCTTCTCGAGGAGGCCTCGCCTCCACTCTACGTCGGCACTCCACCACATACCTTGCCAGTGACTGCCAGCGGTCGCTTGTTCAACGATATGGTTTCGCCCAAGGTTGTAACCATCATCCTCGATGAGGTGATTATTGGAGGAGTCCTTCTCCAGCGATGCCCTGCGCCGGGACGTGAGGTCGGGTTCGAAAGCAGAAGACGAAAGGACGAACCCAAGGAACCACGCCCCGCTATTCGCGATAGTTCCGTTCTGCTTCCACGCCCGGAAATGATGCCCGCCCCGCACGCTCTCCCAGCATGTCCCGATGACTGGGAAGTAGTTCTGGCGAAAGAGAATCTGCTCTGGCTTGCGGCCGAGCCCGTCGCCCAGGTCGGCGTCGTGGATGTGACCGTAGTGCAGACCGAGACACTCCTTCGAGAAGCCGATGGACTTCGCGTACGTGTGCAAGCCAGTCTCAGTGAGTATGAAGGGGTCGGAGAGGGCAGAGATGACGACATTCAGCGGTTCGCCTAAGTGTTTCGTCGTAAACTGCGGGGAGAACGAGTAATTGAGACAAGTTCTGATGAAGAATAATGAAGGGGGACGTACATCGAGCAACCTGCCGCCGCTCAGCCTCGGGTCCACCCATCCCGGCGTGTTCTCCACCGGAGGTAGCTCTCCGTTCTCGTACTCTCTCTGTATCCGAGGACCCTCGATCACAACCTGGCCCGAGCCATACTCGGCTGGTAATGCGACAGCCCGCGAGAGCAAAGTCGAAAGGAGGAGGAGGAGCGCGGGCGGCAACATTGTCAGGCAGCGCGATGTGGCTAACTTGTGCGAGGCGTCCTGCTACCATACACAGTCACTTATGCACCTCGGTGTAGAGATAGCAGCGAGAGACGGCAATGCGCAGGATAGTGCGCCCAAGCAGGATGAGAGAGGAGGCCAAGGAGGGGGGTTTCAGCGTCGCGTCCGACTCGGGGAGTAGTGGAGACAGGTGCGTGCATCAGTCAGTCCGGCGGGTAGCGTCCGCGTTGCGCAGCGCCGGGTCGCCTCACCCTTGCCCCGCGAGTCTCCGGTCGCCTTCGCCTTGTCTGCAGAGACGTTCGGTGTTCGTTGTCGTCCTCGTTGTGCAGCTGCCGTGCGAGTAAGTAGTCGACGCTGGCGAAGAGAGGCCGGGATCTCGGACCGTCATGCTAGTCTACTCGAGTGCGCCAGATCAGGGAATTGCTGATCAGACTTCTGAAGCGGCGTTTGTGTTCTCCTGCCTCTTACTCGCTGGTACATCTTCCTGTCAAGTAGGTACTAGCAAAACGATAGGCAACTCCGTAGTGTCCTCTTGCCTAGCTCAGATGCACTAGCATTCATCCACCTCGCGATTCGCGGCATATTGGTCTAGAAGCACTCCGACGAAATGCACTGAGTCGGCCTGCACCCACGCACGCTCATCCTCCTCCCCTCCAAAAAGGTCGTATCCCGCGGGCTACCTCAGACTACGGGAGACTATCCGGTGAGTGTTCCCTGGCCGAATCAGAAGAGCTACTTTTCTGACGCGTTCAACTTCAGCGATCCTTCGACAGTGAAATGACATGCGTGGGTCGTACGTGCAGTCTCGTACAAACGGGGATAGGAGACGGTCGCTCACACGCCAAATTTGAGCTGTGATGCTGAACAGTGCTGAACTCGAGCCAACATTAAGCCAACATGGGGTGGCCGTCTACTGATCATGCGAGTCGGCCGGCCTGCTGAGGTCGGCAGTGTCCTGTACTTATCGTATGCAGCCACGAAGGGCGACGGGACGAGCTGCAGGTCAGCCTTGCGGACGTGTGGCCTGCGTAACTCCCGAGGCGATCGTAGTCGGCTTGTCCTTCTTGGCTTGGTCGAGCAAGTTGCACCACGTCATCATGTAGACGCTGGACATGCTGAAGACGCAGAAATATTGGTTTGCAGTGCCTGACTGGAATCTGACGTCGACAGCTTTTTCCAAGGGCGAGTCCAAGGCGAATCCAAGCACGGCTGCTTGATCTCACGGAGTACCAAGAAACTGAGGAGTTGGTTAGGTTTTTTCTTGGCTCCACTGCAAACTTCAGATGCGCTCTTTTGATAGCCCCCACCAGCGTCTGAGTCGGCTCCGGTACGCACATGTTACGGTTTGTTTCTCCCACAGCTGCAGAGAATCGCGCCCCGGCCCTCGCGGAGGGTCGACTTGTCCCCTCTTTTCAACTGTTCTCCATTACGGTATGACCAGCTGATATGGCGTGCTTCTGCAGACGTATTAGCCGCCGCCGCAACACCCTTGGCCGGGGCGGGTACGAGGAGGCAAACATATCTGCCACTGGGGCAACTGTGTGCAGTGGCGGTCCCAAGGCGGTCCCTTCACTCGCATGGGCTCCATCATCGTAGAATAACTGTCGATCCGCCTTCTCAGATCTCTTCTCTGTCAAGGCCGCGTGGAGATGCTCCTCATCTTACCCGAGGCCCTCATAAACGCACGAGGTGGAGCTGCTCCGGGAGCCTCGCGCAACCCGCTATCTCTCTCTTTTCTTGGGTTCTCTGCGCGAATAGGTGCACACGACCATGGACGCTTCACGAACAAGAACGTCCTCCGACGAGAAGGTCAGTGCCGAGGAGAAGTATGCTGCGGTCGACGAGGCAGGCGTGCTATCGGCACACATAGACCCGCGCGATCTGTACAACGAGGAGGACTCTGGCGTCGATCCGGTGTACCAGGCGAAGGCGAAGATCCTGAATGAAGCATTCATGGAGATTGGTATGGGCAGATACCAGGTATGTGGTTGAATCGCGCGGACTGTATTCTGGTGGAGTATGGATATCTTCGATTGCTCACGTGGATCTGTATCTAGTGGTGGCTTTTCTTAATCACAGGATTCGGGTGGTTTGCGTGAGTTTCTTCCTTTCGGACACTTCGACGTGAAGCTCACATGCGAACGACTCAAGCGACAACCTCTACCCTGTGGGTACTGCAGCAACGCTCATATTCAGATTGCTGACATCTTTGTTTTGCCAGATCGTGACAGGCCTAATTCTCACCGCTGTCTCGAACGAGTTCAACTTTCCCAGTCCATTTTTGAAGCTTGGCCAGAGTCTCGGTCTGCTTGTAGGCTGCGTGTTCTGGGGTGTGGCCTCGGACGTATGGGGACGGCGGTACGTCAATGTGACTAGCCGTCATACTGCATTGGATTGACTTGAGATGTATTTAGATGGTGTTTCAACTTCACGCTCCTCATCACGGGCATATTCTCGGTAGCTGCTGGGGCATCGCCGAACAAAATCGCGTTGTGTGGCATGGCCGCAGCGTGGAGCGTTGGTGTCGGCGGCAACCTGCCCGTCGACTCAGCTGTTTTCTTAGGTACGTCCGCCAACCCACAACGCGCTAACTGAGCGCGAACTGATTTATACGCGCAGAGTTCATCCCCGCCTCGCACCAGTATCTCCTTACGGTCCTCTCCATCTGGTGGGCCGTAGGCCAGCTCGTCGGCAGCCTCGTCGCCTGGCCACTCCTCACCGACTTCTCCTGCGCCTCCGCTGCCGACTGCCCACGGAGCTCGAACATGGGCTGGCGGTACTTCCTCTACAGCATGGGCGGGCTGATGCTCCTCTGCTGGTTCCTCCGCTTCATGTTCCACCTGCACGAGAGCCCAAAGTACCTGATGGGCCGGGGGCGCGACGCGGAGGCCGTCAAGATCATGCAGGCGATCGCCGAGTACAATGGACGGACGTGTCATTTGACGTTAGAGATGTTGGAGAATGCGGGAACGGTGGATGACAGGAGCGGGGTGAAGCGCACTTTGGATACGAGTGCGAAGGCGGCGGTGGTGAGGAAGCTGAAGATGTTGAGTGGGGAACATCTGCGGAGCTTGTTTGCGACGAAGAAGCTGGCGTGGTCGACGAGTCTGTTGATTGCTATCTGGGGTGCGTGCGCACGCCATTTCTGCGCTCGAGAACATCCAATGTTTAACGTATTACAGCGCTGATTGGGCTCGCCTTCCCATTGTGAGTCTTTCACGTAATGTTAGCTGTTCAATACTGAAGGCGTTCATCCCAGATACAACGGATTTATCGTTTACTTGTGAGTTCATTCGTCCGGGCGTCTGGTTTGTGACCCTAACCTTGAGTCCACAGCTTGCAGACGCGAGGAACTGACTTCGGCGACGGTTCGCTCTACATAACGTATCGCAACGTAGGCCTTTTATCCTTCTTCAGCTCTGTCGTGGATACTTATGACTCTATCCAACTGCAGCAAGTAATTTTAAGCGCAGTGGGGCTACCTGGGGCTCTCCTCGCAGGATGGATGGTGGAACTCCCATACCTGGGCCGAAGGGGGACGATGGGCATCTCGACAGGTAACCTCGCTTGCACGTCTGAAGGGGAACGTACTGACATACGCGCAGTCATCACCGGTGTATTCCTATTCGCGGCAACCACCGCACGTACGTCGAACGCCCTACTCGCCTGGAACAGCGCGTACACATTCACGAGCAACGTGATGTACGGCGTATTGTACGCCGTCTCCCCGGAGCTGTTCCCTACACGAGATCGCGGGACAGGAAACGCACTTGTTGCCGCTGCAAATCGCATCACGGGTGTTGCTGTGAGTGTTTTGATCTGGTGCTCGCGGATGTGTCGTATGAGCACCTGCCGCGGACCGAGCGCTGACTTGCTCTGTGAATCTGTAGGCACCCATCGTTGCCTTATATGCGAATCTCGCGACTTCCGTTCCAATATACGTCGCCGGTGCAATGTTCATCGCGGCCGGTATTCTGTCGTTCCTTCTACCGTACGACCCGAGAGGAAAGGCGTCGATATAGTGCCTGTACTATTGTAGACTCGAAGACTGGGGCGCGTGTACGAGTGAAAAGCCTCGGACCCGCTTCGCATATGCAGCGTAGAGACAGGCCAGGATGGTCCGCCAATATACCGCAACCTTGGCTCGTGGGTGTCTCCCCCGAACCAACATGTAGTCTGGTTCTGTGAGTACGTGGCGCGAGGTGGTCTGTGCCAGTGTACATCCGAGTGCCGGTACTTTGCCACTGGCGTGCATTTCTTGCCTACAATGTCGGTGGCTGGAAGACGTCCGCGTCATCTCGCTGCAGACTTGTTCTGCCATGGTGATCGACCACCCACACCGATCGAACTCGGGATCTTGGCAGGATCTCGCGATCTCCGCGCTCGCAATAACCGTGGGCCCGACTCTCGACAAATGTCGTTCGCTCGTTGACATCCGTCTCGCGGTGTCCTCGTTCTTCTCTCCGAAATCACTGGGGGCGTGACGACGCGTTGGTCGGAGCGCGAACATTGAAAGGACATTGTAAGGGGTATGGACTATTTTCCCACGGTGTTCCGTGGCCGGACATTGTAAAGGACAATATCTGGCCATGTTTGGACCGTCGGACATGCGGCACTGTGTGTGCAGCATGTAGTGTTCAAAAACATGCAGAATAAATGTATGATTTTATTGGTGTGCAATTATGAACATGAAACGAACAGCCGAGATGTTGCCGCGCACAACACAGGCTGTACGAACATCGCACATACATGATTCCTGTCAAGTGGTACAGTAGTATTTGCATGTTCGGAGCGAGGACATGTTGAGTGTCCATAAATGGGACATGTAATGCATTACGAAAACCCGAAGACCATTCGCCAAATTTCCGGACATGGTTAGTGTACTTGACATGTCCCATCTACGGACATGCGGCACTGTGTCCTCGCTCCGAACATGCAAATACCACTTGAATGTATGTGCAATGTTCGTACAGTGTTGTGCGCGGCAACATCTAGGCTGTTCGTTCCATGTTCTGCATGATAGCACACCAATAAAAATTTATATTTATTCTGCATGTTTTTGAACACTACATGCTGCACACACGGTGCCGCATGTCCGACGGTCCAAACATGGATATTGTCCTTTACAATGTCCGGCCACGGAACACCGTGGGAAAATAGTCCATACCCCTTACAATGTCCTTTCAATACTCGCGCTCCGACCAACGCGTTCTGCCCCCAGTGAATGCACCTCAGACATGGCAAGCTCCTTGACCCGCTGATTCTACCATTTGACCGCCTTATCACCGCGTCAGCGGCGTCACACTAGCGGCATCAAATGGTGCGGGTTTCAATGGTCAAACCAGCTGGGAGATGGACACCGCCTGGTCAGGTCAGTCACCGCTCTACCATATGGCCGCGGTGTCCTAGGGAGACTACCATACACAGGAGATACTGTTCGTGATGCCAGTGCCAAATGACGAACATCAGAATTTTGTCTTTGGCGCCTGCAGGGAGCTTCTCTACGCCTCTCTACGCCCACCTTGAACTGGTGCGCGATAAGGCCCCGGGCGAGGCGACCGTAGATCCTGCCAGTACTTACCGGCAAAAACATGGACGCGCCACGACCACGAACACCATCGGACGAGAAGCTCTACGACGACGAGAAGCGGCCGGACAACGCAAGCAATGTCGAGGCTGGCGCGCACGCAATCCAGGCCGAGACGCACGATGTGTACGACGAGGACGAGTCTGGGGTCGATCCTGTCTACCTTGCCAAGGCTCGTGTCTTGAATGAGGCATTTCAGGAGATTGGAATGGGCAAGTACCAGGTGAAGTGTTTGTAGTCCAAGTGCCGCAACGTACTGTGTCATTGACTTCCCACACAAGTGGTACTTGTTCATCGTCGCTGGGTTTGGATGGTTCTCGTGAGTTGTCTGCCCTATGGCGTGCTCGCAGTACACCTTGACACCTGTCGGTTCAGAGACAATCTATGGCCCATCGTCACCGGCCTCATCTATACGCCCGTGGTAAACGAGTTCAACTTCCAGGGCCCCTTCCTCAAGCTCGGACAAAACATTGGCCTCTTAGTCGGTGCTGCCTTCTGGGGCGTCGCTTCCGATGTCTGGGGCCGACGATGGTGCTTCAACCTCACGCTCCTCATCACCGGTGTGTTCGCTATCGCAGCAGGCGCGTCGCCCAACTACATCGCGCTCTGTTCGCTCGCCGCTGTGTGGAGTATAGGCGTGGGTGGGAACCTCCCTGTGGACTCCGCGGTGTTCCTCGGTGCGTACGCATGAAGCCTGGGTGTCAGGCGTACCAACTGACATGTTCGTTTTCAGAGTTCATCCCTGCATCGCATCAGTATCTCCTCGTCGTCCTGTCTATATGGTGGGCCTTCGGCCAGCTTGTTGGCAGCCTCGTCGCCTGGCCGCTGATCGACAACTTCTCCTGCCCTGGCGGCGCTCCAGGCGACTGCCCGCGCGCGGAGAACCAGGGGTGGCGCTACTTCCTCTACGCTATGGGCGGGCTGATGCTCTTCTGCTTCGTCCTCCGCTTCTTCGTGTTCCATTTGTACGAGTCGCCGAAGTACCTGATGGGCCGCGGGCGCGACGCGGAGGCGGTCGAGGTGATCCACAAGATTGCGGCGTACAATGGGTGCACGAGCAGCTTGACACTGGAGATGCTCGAGGAGGCGGGGAGGAGAGCGGGCGGTGGTAAGCCCGGGGCGGAGGAACGGCCGATGGCTACGAGTGCGTGGGGAGCGGTGATGAGGCAGTTGCAGAAGTTCAGTGGGGACCATATTCAGTCCCTGTTCGCGACCAGGAAACTGGCTTGGTCGACAAGTGTACTCATCGTCGTCTGGGCCCTGATCGGCCTTGCATTCCCTCTGTGAGTGAGCCTTTTCGGTTGGGCGCGAGCCAGGGGTTCTGACTTCTTGCCAGGTACAACGGCTTTGTGGACTACTTGTATGTACATGCACGGGTGTCGTCGCTTTGCGTCTGAATGCTGAGCAACCTCCTCTCACAGTTTGCAGTCCCGAGGTGCCGACTTCGGAGACGGCTCCGTCTATATCACATATCGTAACGTGAGTCCTTAGCAGCTTTGTCACGAGTCTTGTATCTCACCATGAATACAGCAAGTCATCCTGAGTGTGATCGGGATCCCCGGCGCCCTCCTCGCAGGATGGATGGTCGAGATACCCTACATGGGCCGCCGTGGGAGTCTTGCCCTGTCAACCGGTGAGTAAAGGCGTCCTTCGCGTGTATGAGTCCGCTGATGTCTTGGACTGTCAGTCGTCACTGGCGTGTTCCTGTTCGCTAGCACGACTGCTCGCACTTCAGACGCGCTGCTAGGTTGGAATTGCGCGTACACCTTCACGTCGAACATCATGTACGGCGTGCTCTACGCTGTCTCGCCGGAGCTCTTCCCGACGCGTGGCAGAGGCACGGGTAATGCGATCGTGGCAAGTGCTAACCGAGTCTTCGGTATCATGGTGAGTGACCAATGGACCTGTCGTCGACTGCCGCGATCTGCTTGCTGATGACTCCTCCGAAGGCACCCATCATCGCGCTGTATGCGAACCTCGCGACGAGTGCGCCGATCTATGTGTCGGGCGCGCTGTTCATCGTTGCTGGTGTGATTGCGCTGGGTTTGCCCTTCGAGCCGAGAGGCAAGGCGTCGATGTGAGGCATTTCATTGAAAGCCGCGCTTTGACGTGTATATTCTTGGAGAGTGCATCTTTACCATTATCTTGTACGATCTCGTGAATGCTTCCCAATGAGCCGTGGCATGGTGTGTGGGATGCCAACGCTCAGACAGTATCTGGATCGTCCGGACTCAGAGCTCAGTCAGCGTGATGGATAATTGGGCTCAGTGCATGATACGTACGCTGCCGCCCTGAACCTGAAAATGGGCAATGAGTGATGAACGCAAGCGGCTGTAGACAGCAGCGAACTCTACTTGACAATGGACTCCCTTGGATCATGCCTCTCCGCAGTAACTCAGCATCATCCCTCACCTATTCTGAAGAATCTGGTCAGAGTTGATCAGCCTGAGAAAGCTTATGAGGTCGTACACTTACCGAGCTAAGCTATGAGCAAATGTCGTTGATCGTCGCTTTCTGAGCAGGTATAATGGCTTCGCCACAGGCGCGTCTACACGACAGCACGTGAGCGTGTATGGCGCCACTACGGGCGCTCACCCGTTTTTTCGTGGACTTGAACTCTGCGGCCAACTGACCAGCCTCCAGGCTGTCTCTTTGCCAAAATACACCGTGCACCCTCATCTGGCGTCCCATCTGGCGTCCCAAAAGTATCTTACTCGTCATTTACCGGAGCTCGGCTTGGAGGAGAACATGGATAACATCGCCCAGTTGGGCGACCCTCTCGCGATTAATCTCCGAAAGCAAACGGCGGTCCTCCTGGCTCAGATTCCAGAAGGCTCACCTCACACCCACACACTCAAAAGCGCATCTAGCAAGACTGAGCTCCTCAATGCTCTGTCATGTTTGCTCTCGCTACCCGCATACACGAATGCTGTAGCAGTCGCTTTTCGGCCCATCCTACTTGATTTATGCGCGCGGTGGCTACACGATGAGGAGAACGAGCTGGAGAGGTTCGAGGCGCTCTGTCTCTTGCTGGAGATTCACCTAGAACTATATCCGTACGTCTGTGCACATCTTTTGCTTGCGCTCATCTAACGCGACCGTGTTCGGTCTGGTAGCGTACTCGCGGCGTTCCTCCGCCATCCAAATAGACGAGAAGGCCCTTTGGCCTATGTCGCGCAAGCGAATGATATACCGTCGCTCGACGCGAGCGTTCTGCATCGTCAGCTCCTTGCGTACTACCGTATCCTCCAGGCGAATCGTGACCTCCCCGAGCACCTTGCTTGGCCTATAACTCCTCTCTCAAAATTGGTCTACACTCCGCACCCGGACACTGGCGTCCGACTTCTCGCTATCCGCTGTCTCGCCCTACAGACGGGTATGATGGAGGGCAAGCGCGGGGACCTGGAGAAGGAGATCATTGGGGACGTCGCCGAGGTTGACTGTCCCATTGGGTACGGGACGAACCTAGACGGGAGCGCAGTGATGATGGACGGTTGGGTGATGCCAGCCGTCGAGGAGATGCGAATCATAAACGCGCGGAACGCAATCCTCGAGCCCCGCGATTATTTCTCAGAAGATGAGAACGAGACTCATGAGCCTATTCATCCAGCAGAATTGAGGTAAGCACCGCGTTGGCTCGTCATTTTAAGATTTGCAATCTTACTGTCCCTTCAGTCCATTCATAGCAAACGTACACGATGTGCTGATGCTTCGCTCGACGCCAGCCGCGTCGCAACTTCCGACTTCTTTCGTAGAAACAACCTCCGCTGTGCAGTCGCTGAGAACACTCGCGCTGCACCACTCCCTCCGTGTTCCTACGCTCCTCACATCAGCACCCTCGTCCGGGAAGTCACTCTTACTCTCCCAACTCGCCTCAATCCTACACCCGGACGCACGCAACCAAATCATCACCATTCATCTGGCAGATACGTCGCTTGACCCTAGGTCTCTGCTGGGCTCATACGCGTCCTCGCCCACCAATCCCGGCACGTTCGAGTGGAAGGAGGGCGTACTCGTGCGCTCCATGCGCGAGGGCAAGTGGGTCGTCTTCGCCGACATCGATCGAGCGAGTTCGGAGGTCCTGGGCGTCATCAAGCCTCTCGTCGAGTCCCTCGGTCTCGACAAATGGGTCGGCGGGCGCGCAGTACTGGACGTACCGAACCGCGGGACCGTCGTCGCGGAAGACAGTTTCGCAATCTACGCTACCCGATCCTCTCTCCCTCGCAGAAACGGTACCTTCGCATCACCTACGTTCTTCGGTGCGCACAGGTTCCACGAGATGGTCGTAGCTACCCCGAGTGCCGAAGACCTGCGCCTGATCGTGGAAACGAAGTTCCGGAGACTGGCCGGCGCTGCAGCGGTCGGCTTGATTCGTCTCTGGGAGGCGGTGAAGGCGCTTGGTACGGCGTCGTCGCTGCGAGATGTCGGTCTCCGCGAGTTGGACAGGCTCTGCACTCGCGTCGAGCATATCATCCCCGCCTCGCAGCAAGCGATGGACGTCGATTTAAACGAGCAACCCTTGACACTCCCCATTGTGTTCCCGCACCCGACTGTACGCGAGGATATCTACCTTGAGGCCCGGGACGTGTTCTTCGGCCAGGGTGCGACCGTTGCATCTGCGCGTGCGCATCTCGAAGCCGTGGTGGCGGTGGTCGCCGAGCACCTAGCGCTCTCTCCCGACAGACGAGACTGGCTCTTGCATAGCCGGACGCCGGAGTTCGATGTCGAGAAAGACGTGAACGGACGGACGACTGCTGTCCGAGTTGGCTCAATACGCCTTCGTGCACGAATCGTCAAGTCGGCCATCACAGCCCCGCCCACGCGCCCTTTCGCTATGCACAAGCCCGCTGTGCAGCTTCTCAACCGCATCGCTACCTCCGTCTCTCTAAATGAACCTGTTCTCCTAACGGGTGAGACAGGTACAGGGAAGACGAGCGCGGTCACACACCTCGCTGCGCTACTCAATCGGCCGCTCGTCTCGCTTAACCTCTCGAATCAGACGGAGTCGTCGGACCTTGTTGGCGGGTTCAAACCTGTTGACGCTCGGGTCCCCGGCATGGAATTGCTGGAACGTTTCGGAGAGCTCTTCGCAGGGACATTCAGCAGGAAGAAGAACGCAAGGTTCGAGGATTCAGTGAGGAAGGCGGTACAAGAGGGCAAGTGGAAACGCGCGGTCGGACTATGGAGGGAGGCAATCAAGTTGGCGAAGGAGAAGATCCAGGAGAGATTGGCTGATGATGCGGGGTATGTATACACTTCGCATGAGATGTACTCAAAATTAACGGTGCACTCTCCAAGGTCCCAATCGCCAAGGTCCCAGCCTCCGAGGGAAGGAGAAGGGCCAAGAAAGCGCCGCAAGCTGGAGCAAGATGGCTTGAATGTATCGGCCGCGGCCTGGGAGGCATTCGAGGAGGATTTGCAGACTTTCGAAGTCCAACATGTACAGGGGAAGAGTAAATTTGCTTTCGCTTTCGTCGAGGGTCTACTCGTCAAGGCACTGCGTTCGGGGGACTGGTATGTACATTCGCATGAGGTATGCGATACTCCGCTGACCATCGCACAGGATTCTACTTGATGAAATAAACCTTGCCACGCCCGAGACACTTGAATGTATATCGTCTCTTCTACACAGCCCTACGGCGTCGATCACGTTGACCGAACAGGGCTCGCTAGAGCCGGTCCCTCGTCACCCGGATTTCCGTCTGTTTGCTTGCATGAATCCGGCGACAGATGTGGGAAAGAGAGACCTCCCACCGAACATCCGTGCCCGCTTCACGGAGATTGACGTTCCTCCCCCTGATGCGGATAAGGAGACCCTGCTCAGCATCGTCGACCAGTACATTGGGCGATGTGCAGTTGGCGATCGCGGCGCTGTCCTCGACGTGGCCGAGTTCTACTTGGCTGTCAAGCAGCTTGTTGACGCGCGCAAGATTGCGGATGGGTCGAACCACCGTCCAAATTTCAGTATGCGTACCCTGGCACGCGCGTTGACCTTTGCAGCCGACATGGCGAGTACCTTCTCCCTACGACGCGCGCTCTGGGAGGGTTGTTTGATGACCTTCACTATGGTCCTGGATGAGCCTAGCGCAGCGGCAGTTACTGCACTTGCTCAGCGTCACTTACTCGCCGGTGTGCGCAACCCCAGGTCCCTACTCTCCCGTGAACCTACTGCTCCTCAGCCCATTGACAACTACCTGAAAATTGGGCCATTCTATCTTGAAAGGGGGCCTCTTTCTGAAGATCCAGCTGAAGGCTACATCATGACGCCGTCTGTGGAGAAGAAACTCGTCGACCTCGCACGTATCATATCCGCTAAGCGATTCCCTGTCCTAATCGAAGGACCGACGTCCGCTGGTAAAACGAGCTCCATCGAGTACTTGGCCAAGCGAACGGGCCATCGCTTCGTCCGAATCAATAATCACGAGCATACCGACATCCAGGAGTACATCGGCTCTTATGTTTCGGACACAACCACAGGCAAGCTGGTATTCCAAGATGGATTGCTCGTTAGGGCCCTCCGCAATGGCGATTGGATCGTCCTCGATGAACTCAACTTGGCCCCAACCGATGTCCTCGAGGCCTTGAATCGTTTACTGGACGACAACCGGGAGTTGGTCATTCCGGAGACCCAGGAAATTGTCCGCCCACACCCCCACTTCATGCTCTTCGCCACGCAGAATCCCCCTGGCCTGTACGCTGGCAGGAAGGTCTTATCTCGGGCGTTCCGCAACCGATTCCTGGAGGTCCACTTCGATGACGTACCGCAGGCGGAATTAGAAACCATTCTCTGCCAGCGATGCCGTATTGCTCCTTCGTACGGCCAGCGGATCGTCAGCGTGTTTCGGGAGTTGCAAAAGCGACGGCAGTCGTCACGAGTCTTTGAGAGCAAACATGGGTTCGCAACCCTCCGGGATCTCTTTCGATGGGCGCAGCGGGACGCGTTGGATTACCAAGAACTCGCGGAGAATGGCTACATGCTGTTGGCAGAGCGCACCCGCCGGGACGACGACAAGGCTGTGGTCAAAGAAGTCATCGAGTCGATCATGAAAGTCCGCATCGATGATTCGAAGATGTACGACATGCAAGGCAAAGGCCAAGAGCTGGAGGATTTCCTGGGCTGCTCGTTACCTTCCAGGTCGTCACTCGTTTGGACATCAGCCATGCAACGACTCTTCGTTCTCGTCACTCGCGCATTACGCTTCAACGAGCCCGTGTTGCTGGTGGGTGAGACTGGATGCGGAAAGACTTCTGTATGCCAGCTGTATGCGGAGATAGTCTCAAAGACGCTGCGTACGCTGAATTGTCACCAGAATACGGAGACCGCCGACCTCATCGGAGGCTTGAGACCCGTTCGTAATCGGTCAGCGCTGGAGTCTGAGACACTGTTGCAGGTCTTGGCCATCACGCGTGAGCTGGGCATGCCGGCTCCGGAGCAAGACCAGAAGTCCCTTGCTGCAACAATTGACCTTCTCACGAAGAGCAGCGCCCTCAACAGCGAGCAGCTAGCGTCGCTACGAGAAGCGAAGGCGAACTTGCGACGGCTCTCTGCCATTTTTGAATGGAGAGATGGACCTCTCGTACAAGCAATGCGCCATGGGGAGGTGTTTCTTCTTGACGAAATATCTTTGGCCGATGACTCTGTGTTGGAGAGAATCAACAGTGTATTGGAGCCCGAGCGCAGTCTCGTTCTTGCTGAACGAGGAGGGGATTCTGGGGAGCTCCCGCTACTCAGGGCTGACGGTGATTTCAAGCTCGTGGCCACGATGAACCCAGGTGGTGATTATGGAAAGAAGGAGTTGTCTCCAGCCCTGAGAAACAGGTTCACCGAGATTTGGGTGCCCCCGCTCATCAACAGGCTCGACTTCGAATCCATCATCAACAACCTGTGGCATGACGAGGACCTCCGACTGTACTCTGCGCCTATCTTGGACTTTGTGGAATGGCTGTCTATCCGAGCGGACGAGTGGTCAATCAGCAGTATCCGAGACATCCTGGTACGTAGAGTTGCCGGACATCTCGAAGCCTCTGTGGTTGACGATATGCTCCTAACAGAGTTGGGTACATTTCACTAATACAGTATATACCTCAAGCGGCCGCACTTTTCCCTCCGATGAGATATTTGTACGTGCTACAAAAATTCGGAAGAAACCGCTCATCTCACTTAGTACATCCGTAGCATCACGCAGCGCAACTGACCTATCTGGATGGCCTCGAATCATTGCCACAATTCTCATCGTACTCCCGCGACGCTCTTGCGAAGCTGCGCTCAGATGCCTCCGCCAAGCTGCACGAACTTGTTCCTGTCCCTCAAGGAAAACTGGACCATACAATGGCTTCTGATCCTTCAACCGCTGTTCAGCTGGGATTCTTCTCTATCCCGCGAGGCCCTGGGGATTCTTCTCCTCATAATTTCAACCTTCAGGCTCCTACCACCCAAGATAACGTCATGCGAGTCGTCAGAGCTTGCCAGCTTCCAAAGCCGGTCCTTCTGGAGGGTAGTCCAGGTGTCGGAAAGACAAGTCTTGTCACCGCTCTTGCCAACCTCTGCGGTTATCAGCTATGTCGCATCAACCTATCCGACCAGACCGACATAGTGGACCTGTTCGGTTCGGACTTACCAGTGGAAGGCGGAGAGCCTGGGCAATTCGCCTGGAGAGATGCCGAATTCCTTCGCGCACTACAGGAGGGGCATTGGGTATTACTCGACGAGATGAACTTGGCTCCCCAAGCGATCTTGGAGGGTCTGAACGCAGTTCTAGACCATCGCGGTACGGTCTACATTCCAGAGTTAGGCCGCTCCTTCACGCGTCACCCTTCCTTCCGTATCTTCGCTGCGCAGAACCCGCTCAGTCAAGGCGGTGGTCGCAAGGGTTTGCCGAAGTCATTCGTCAATCGGTTTACCAAGGTCTACGTTCAAGAGCTGACACCCTCCGATCTCCTCCTCATATGCCGACACATGTACCCGGTTCACTCCGAAGAGACTTTGCGCACGATGATCAGCTACACAAGTCGGCTGAACGAGGATGTCACAATCAGGCGCGAATTCGGCCGCCAGGGCGCCCCCTGGGAATTCAACCTTCGCGATGTCATTCGCTGGGCGACATTGCTCGAGCGCGCCGGGCCACAGACTTGTCCCTCAGACTTTCTCATTCCAGTATTCCTGGAGCGTTTCAGGAGCTCCGTTGATAGGAACCATGCTCAAACGCTCTTCCAGTCCATCTCTCCCAATGCGCCACTCGGCAACGAACACAGCATCATAGCGACTGCATCCCATCTACAGCTAGGGTGTTCAGTGCTCGCTCGAGACGGAACGTGGCGCGGCCGCCGTCCCGGACAAGTACTTCAAGCGAGGCATGCGACTTTGGAGACTTTAGGCGCTTGTGTCGCCAACGGATGGCTGACCATCCTCACGGGGGATCGAGGCAGCGGGAAGACGAGTGTCGTCCGCCTATTAGCATATCTCTGTGGCAGGGTTCTACACGAGCTGCAGGTCAACAGCGCCACCGATCCTTCGGACATCCTGGGAAGCTTCGAGGAGGTGGACTCACAGCAGCAATGCCTGGACTTACTACACCAGGTCAGCAACTATCTGGACGAAGCTACAACTTCTGCTGTAGTATCGTATTCGCGGGTCGCTACGCAACGTGACGTGCTGCACCGCGTGCTTGCCTCCATCAAGCCTACGGCCGCCATCATAAAGACCGCGATGCAAGCCGCTGTCGTCGCCCTGGAAGCCTTGCGATCGTTGCCCGACCCATGGTGCGCCAGAAGGGACATCTTCCGGGTGCAATTGGCTGCTTCCCTTGAAGGCACGATCCGCAGAGGCAGATTGGAGTGGGTAGATGGACCTCTTGTGCGTGCACTGCAGGAGGGCCATTGGGTTTTGCTAGACGGTGCCAATCTCTGCAACCCGTCTGTTCTGGATCGTCTGAACTCGCTCTGCGAGTTAGGCGGGTCTTTGACTCTCAACGAAAGAGGACAAGTCGATGGTGCGGTGCGCATCGTCAAGCCGCATCCTAATTTCAGGCTCTTCATGTCCGTGGACCCACAATATGGCGAACTGTCTCGTGCGATGCGTAACAGGGGCCTCGAAGTCTCTCTCGCGGAGGTCCCGACCTCTGAAGATCGCAGGAGGGTCCTAAATCACCTGCACCTTCCCGTCAACCTTATGCAGCAGGAGAAGGCGGCCTCCCTGGTCTACGAATCCTGCAGGCGTGGGTTGTCCCATGTGGGACTCACGAATGTTGCCGATAGTTGGCTTCACAGCCAACTGCTCGGCACAGATTGCCCTTCCGCATTCAATGTCCACATAGCGCCTTCTATAGGGTTATCCCAGCATCAGGCCCATGAACCCACCCTACGTCCAGTATCCCATTTCATCGCAAGTGTCATGGTGCCTCTATACTCGGGTCATTTGTCGCGATTCATAAGGGTGCACGTCTCACATAAGCAGGAATCACACCTGACCAAACTCTTGCATGTCGTCGAGGCAATCTCACACAGCCATATATCGAGCTTGATATGCAGGAAGAAGGAGGAATGGAGTATGACGACCGCGAACACGACAAACGTCATTCTTGCACAGGTGCGTGATCAATGCCAATTAACTGGAAAAGCGCTGATTGCTCCAATCGCATATTATACAGCCGCTTGGTATGCTGAAGCTGCGAACACACAGAACAGCACCGGCCCACAAAGCTGAATCAGGTGTCGAGAACGTCATTGATGTATTGCGCTTGCTTGTCTCGATTGAACTGGACCTCGACAACGAGACCGTTGCACACCAAGACGAGTTGGATGTTGGCACGTTGGAGAGGCGTGACCGTTCAGACACTCGGCGAATGCACGCCGTCCGTGCCGCCCAGTCGCTTTCCGAAGCCATAGGATACGAGGCGCGAACATTCTTGAATGGGATTAATACTGAGAGCATAGTACAAACTGTAAGTCTCTGGTCTCATCTTCTGCGAATCCGGGCTAACTCAGTTGCGCAGACGGACGCCAGAGTCATGATTCAGCTCATGACTTATGGTCGCCACCTACGAGAGATCATTCTCCAGAATCCTCTAGATTATTCTGCTCTCCAGGTGTTCGTGAAATGGGTTACTCAGATATCAAGCGTGCCTTCGCCTACGTTGGCCAACATACACTCCTGCGCACAGCTGCTTGATAGAATCGTTTCCCCGACGTCTGGACTACTGCTCATCGAACTCTGGAATTCGTTGGCATCCTTGGAACCGACAGCTACTGCCAAACAACAGGTTGATCGACTGTCTCTCGCAGAGAGTCGGCTCCTGTCGTCATCGAACATACCACCCAATCCGAGTGACCCTAGATCAATGAATTCCTTGGTCTCTTCGCCTAGAATTTTGGAGGTCATGTCACTTTGGACCTTGCCACAAGCTAGATCTGCAGCAGACGACGAGGAGCTTATGCGCTTAACTGATTCGATCTGTCAGGTATGTTCAATACCCGTACAACGAAGACGCTAGGCTCATATATTGCACCAGAAGGTTCTCGGGGATGATCATCACAGTCACTATGCTGGCGTTCGCCGCCTCGATAACGTCAGCCTTAGTCTAGAGTTAGCTCTGCTGTCACAACCGGACGCGGTAGCAGTCTCTGAGGTATGGTTGCGTGCCATCGTCGGCAGATAATCCACTCACTGATCCCTTCGGTTCCAGGCTTTGGAGGGATTCCTTGAATTTGGGTGCCGGTACCTTCCACTGAAGAGATTGATGCCGTACAAACAAATCGATTGGGCTCTCAACACCAAGAAAGGTCAGCGACTAGCAATTTTTTGCTTGTATTTAGCTTATTCTTGTGTCACAGCGAACCCCGTGTTGATGCTGAGGGCGCAGATCCAGTGGCTTGAAGGCCTCTGGGATGTAACACGTTCGTCCGAGGTATGGACCATCCTGTTCGCTTGTCAACATCAGACTAATGATGAGTCAGGCGATGGAGTCGTATACCCTGATCACCGGGCCAGTTGACATGCAAGACACGCTCATCACTTGGTAAGCGCAATTGCATCTCGGTCACACGTTGCTGACTGCGAGCAGTGCTCCAGAAGCGCAACGTCTAGAGGACTTGCACGAATACGAGGAGATTTTGCGCCGTAGACTGGAGGCGTCTTGTATGCACCTACTCGGAGAAGTCCCACCTCGTTCCGGGCAGCTCACGATGATACTCGCTCAGACTGTAGACATGGTAAGTGATTGCTGCGGGATCTATTGTACACTCATCAAACGTATTTCGCTAGATACTCAAGTGCACCGATGCACCACCTGATAACGGCGAACATGTTTCCCAAGAATGTCCGCAGGCAAGACCTGTCCGACGCAGCTCATCCTTGGTCGACGCCGTTGAAGCACTCAACAGAGAGAACCGCCCTGCGTTGGAACCCTTGAAACAGGAATTGCTTCCGGTGCTCCAGCAGTTGATCCAAACGCGGACCTTGCAGGACAGCAGCGGACTTTCATTGTTGGGACGTTGCTGGATTGCTCTCGCCAAAGGTCTGCTGCAAATCTACGTGCCGGATGCTCCCGTCGATCCCGCGGCAATGCAACGATGCACAGCGGACTTCTGGCGCGAAGAACAAATGGTGGTTACTCGGCAGCTCGATCTACATGTCGATCATGATCGGCGCACCGGCGAGCTGTGCAATGGCAGCATCACCCAGTATTTGCGCCAACTACTCGCTACCGTGGAGCGTAGGGTCTTGGAAAGCACAGAGTATCGATCTACGGAGCGGGGCGGCGTCGCTCGACTACACTCGTTCTGGACCGAAGTCATGCAGCTCCTCACGCAGGTTCTATCGTCGTCGAAGCTCGATGCCTTGATCGTGGACTTGCAGGCTCAGTCTTCTCATGCGAGGACCCGCGAAAATGTGATTCAGGAGTCTTTGAGCGCATTCATCCAGCGCCTTGACACGATCTATCCGGAATTCATTGACATCAGCGGGACCGTCAAGCTGGCTTTGTTGTACATCAAACTGGGCATTCATTTGATAGCGGTGAGCGCGAAAGCCGCATCATCTACGGACCAACAGTACTCCATCGCCGCCCGTGCAGTTTTCGCTTTCCCAACGGTCAAGAGTACCGAGCTTTTGCGGCATGTTCAAATCCCAAGTTCGACATCTACATCCGCAGTTGAATCAAAGTTGGTCGTCATCGCTGGAATCGCCCTCGACATCGCACTTGGTACCGACGTACAGACTTACTGGGACTTG